TATAAATGTAGAGAAGCAAGGCGATATCTCCGAAGGCCAAATGACACCCCTGTCCACGAACCAAACCTTCGGGACCGGGTTATTGATCGCTCATCAGTAGTCGTCACTTTGGTCTTTCCCAATATGCGATCAGTAGATGCATAATGCCATTGAACATTTAGCGGTCCGGTAACAATGACGAGGTCGGTCTGGTTAAGCGTTTCCAAGTAGATGCTAGCTTGTTTTGTTTTCTCCTTGTTGGCTTCAGATTATATCGAGGAAATTCCTGCTTGGTTATTACTTGCGGAGGTTGGGTTTGCAGATGGTACTGTGTGAGCAGTAAGCATTTCATTTGACTGTTAGTGTTCCGTGATTTCGAACCCGCAGATCCCAGATTCGAACATCAGCACAACGCCAATCTGTTGATTTCAGTCGTCGTCGTGTTAGCTAACACTCGTGCAGCCAACAGTGGTGGGATATATAAATAGAGCCAAAGAGCCTTGTCCCGTTCTGTCCACCGAGCAGTGACCATGCGTTCCGCAGGAAGAGCGGAATCGAACCGGAAGAGAAAGCGATAAGAAAAGGCTGCGTGGCGCAACCGTCAACCGTGACTCGTCCAATACCACCAACGGCGTGTCTATGTGGTGTGTGCCGTGTATGTGTGACCATAAGCCATCGGGAAATAATCCGACTGCAGAACAGTCATATCCATTCAACTGCATGGAAAGAAACTGCCGTATGGTGTAGCTACGGCTTCTGCTGCCGCGAATGGATCCCAGTTGATGACGCCGGTTGTCAAAGAAGACAATGAAACTTTCAACAGTTTTGGACCAACATCTAAAAGAAAACGACAATAACATGAAACCGCTGAGAGTTCTCCGGAAATCTGAAAGGAGTCGTTTTCGCCTGGCAGGGCGGAAGAGCGGAAGGGATATGTAGTGTAGCTAATCTCCTTGGATGGTCTGAATGTAGTTAGACAGGCCAAGCAGCCAAGGCAGGGGGTCTGGATGCTTCGTTTTACCGGACTTGGTGAAGAGGGTCAAGGGGGGGGATGCAAGGAACAAAAAGCCCAAAACTGACAAGTGACCGATTCTTTGCTACACTTTTAGCGCGAACCAGTCCCAGGCCAGTCTAGCGTATTCTGTAGATGATGGAATTTGTGATGTACTGTGACAGATGTACGCATAACGCATGATTGTTCTATATTTGAAAGTGGAAGACGCGGAACACAATTGTATCATTGAACCGCTCAAGAAGGGTTTTCCGCTTTCTTTGTAAAGACGGGAGTCCAGACCATGTTTGTCACATATCCAGATCGATAAGCCGCTTCCATCCAGTATCGTATTGCAGCAAACGCCGGAGAAAAAAAACAAATAAATGGACCTTAACAATGGCATTATAAACCAGGGATATTGCGAATGGAACCTCCATTATGTATGAAGTTTGTCCAACTTTTTTTGAAAAGATGCCAAAAGTCGCCATCTCCAATCAAGTCAGGTAGTACCTGGATAAAGACGACCAACTAGGGTTTCATCCAAAGCCCCTAGTTCATTCATCACCGAACCTAATGGCCACCCCTGCTGGGAACACCCAGGTTGCCCTCGCTTTTGGGATACCAAATGACGGAAAACGGGAATTGGCTTCTTCGCATACACGTGGTGGTAGCTTGGCTGGGTCGGGGGTGCTAGGGTCGGGGATCTGGTAGACTTGGATGGTGATCTAGGGTTCCCATGAGTGATAAGTGAGTGAGATGTGATTGCTAAGTAGCGCATGGATTATTCGTCTCGATGGACTTTCTGTTGAGAAAAGAAACAAGATCGCCAGCATAAACTCCGAAGCATGTTTCGCTCTCCAGAGTATGATGTTTCGTCAGTGCTATTCTTGTCTGCATGAAGAGACGGGCAAGACGAGTGTTTGAGCAGCCAGTGTTTGGTCTCATCATGTATCCCCTTGGAATTGACCATGGAAACACGTGGAGTCGAGTTCACGGTGATTAGTGCAGCTTGGTACGACAGTGACTTGAGTAGCCGAGTACTGTGTTGCATCGAATCCGAATTTCTTCCTCTTTTGAGAGAGAACGTTGCGCGCCTTAACGCGGACACACGTGTGAAGGTGGTACAAAGTATGTGAAAGCTCCTGAAGCGGACGAAATGAACCTGGAGATGCGAAAGGGCAATCAGGGACTTCCCCGGACCGTGGAAATGAGCGAGGTGGGAATACCCGCCAGAGGCCGCCAGAGTGAGGAGTCGAGGATGAAGAGACTTGTGATGGGAGAAGGGAGGAAAACCGCCGAGTACGGAGCTCCTTCTAGGTAATCTCCAATGGATCCACTTTCCCTTGACCTTACACCCGCCAACCGTTTCCCCAAGGAGCGGAGTGCACGGGCCATCTCAATCAACGGCTGGAGTTGACATTGGGGGACCTTGGACATAAGTTGAAGAGCAAAAAGGTCTCATGGGAACAGTGTAGTACCATAAGCACTGATTGATATGAGTGAGCTGACGACGGAAAAGGCCCGAAAATGGTGAGGTGCTTCAGGCAATGGGAGCAACGAGGAGAGAAACTGGAGGCTATTCGGAAAGTGGATGTTTTGCCCATCGGCTCCGTAACCAGCTGGACCAGCTGGGTCTTGATGTCGTCCAATTATGGCTTTTGATCGGACACTAGACGCAGATTTTCTCAAGATTGACAACCGTCGACAATCATTGCTTTGCCTGCAAACGGTCAACCGCCAAGAGAGTAAAAAGCAACTATGAGGACGCCGGTCTTTTTGGATCCTGGTATGGATCTGCCAAGTGTTTGTAGAGAGTCAGTTGAGACATGAATGTCGTCACGGTCATGTCTGACTGTCTGTTGTCGGGGGCGGAGGCGGCGTAGGGGGCAAGGTGAAAGTTCATGACAAAACCCGGCGCATTGAGTTGCGAGACACGGACGAGAACCACTCGGCGCCCCTTTACCTACCTCAAGTCATCTTCCATGCCTGTCGCCTCGTGGCAGAGCTGTCCTGAAGAAAGCCCCCAACGGACCCCAACTCAATATGTAGCCACAGCTAGTTCCCTAGCTAGGTATGACCTGACAAGGCGAGACCAATGGTGGACACTCTTGCGTGACCCGAGAATTGGATTCGGGTATCGATCAGGAAATCAGTAATATCGCCGGGTCACAGACTGGCCTGCCCGGTCGTTGTAGTCGTCGTCGGGGTCGTCGTCGTCGTCGTCGGGGTCACTGTCATGGTTCACGCTAAGGATTTAATGGGCAGTGGAGTGAGATCGGCAGTGTTCAGAGCAACGAAGGGGACTGGTGGTTTTTATAACCGGTGGAGCTGACTCCCGAAGATGTGGCTCCTGCACTCCTCTTCTAGCGGCTCCTTCCAGACATTGGCGTCTTTCCCCTCATCCAACGAGGAGACGAGTAGCTGTTGCCAGAATGCCGTATGAGGTCTAGCGGGGCTTACGCCAGGCGGAGCTCGCTGCCCCCACTATGTCTTGGCGACACCTCGGAATTACATCCAATAACAAAAGGCCTGCCTTCCACTTTGGCTTCCAAGTATTTTCCCCAACAGAGCTGGGATTTATGTAGACAAAAGGTCCTATAATAGTGTAGTGCTGTTTCATTCAGGTAATTAGCCCTGTGCTGGTGACACTCACTTTGAGCAAGCGGGCGAAGTGCTAGCACAATTGCGGCTTAGCATAGTGTAGTGTAGGCTTTCGTCAGGAGGGCTGCACTCACTCACTGCCCTGAGAAGTGAAGCTGAGTGGAGGAGAGTGGTGGATCTGCTGTTCAACTGCCGCACCACCCAACACAATGCTCCTCATTGGCTCCATGGCCTCTTGGCCTCTTCAAGCCTTCCGCAGTTCCAAACCAAATGAGCCTTTCCAGCCAATCCAGCGTTTGTCGCTTTGCTCACTGCAGTCAGTCGGTGCTACAGTACGGCTGCCTTCCACCATTATTTGCTTTTCCTCCTTCGTTGGTTTTCACTGCCTCATCTCACGATTTTCGACTTCTTCCAGCATCCGGGCACCGTGACCTGCTTCGTCTGTATCCGCGCGGGGACTCCCACACTGCACAGAGCAACAAGCACATCGACGAGAAGGCGTCAAACTAGAGGCAAAGGACGGTACCTTGCCTACTGCAGTCTGCAGCGACTTGAAACCATCCAAACCCGACAGCACAAGCGTCACGGCATCCTTCCACTTTGGCTGGCGTCAACTCGCTTAAAGCGGCCTGCCCTGGCAATTCACCATCGTATTGACAAAGTCTCTGGATCTGCGCATTTTAGACCGGGTGGTCGGTGACAATAACACGAACCCGGACCACTTTACACACTGGCCGCCGGGCAACGTGGAACACTCGGGGATCCAGGGCATAGTGTACAGTGACCCCAGCAACCCCCCCGTTTTTTGTCGCGACCTGGGCATCCTGGGCCCCCATCTCCCCCGTCCCGCAAAACTTAACAAAAGGTACTGGCTGCCTATCTGCCTGCCTGCCAATTCACCTCTACCTCACCTGGCTTTTGGCTTTACCTCCCGTCCGTCAATTATTCCCGACACACCACCAACCAAACAACAACCCATCTCGCCTTTCAATCCATTGCGGCGTCCGTCGATTTTCTTTGTCGCCGACCCTTTCGAAACCGTTTACCGACGGCGCGCGTGTACGCCAACCAACTGTCGGAATCGGCGACTGCCAGCCAAAGAAAGACTGCCATTCAACCAGCGAGAGAGAGAGGCGACGAACGGCTAACGATCCAAACGATTCGGACTGCATCCACTCAAGACGTCACAACCAACTCCAACCACCCGTGGTCCCTGTTGTGTCGACTTACTTGGAGAGCCTCCCACCGAACACAAGTCGCCAAAGTCGACCATACATAAAATTGCCCATCAATTGCGTCAGTTGACCAAATCGTCTCGAACCCGCATTATTTAGGTCGCCCATTTCCGGAGATCCCAGCTACAAGGCGATTGACGGACGACGACGAACAAGTCTGCCCCTGGTCGACAAAAGTGAAGGCCGAGCAAGGGTTATCCGAGCGACGAAGCTGAACTGCACATCACACCAAACATTCGCCGGAAAAAAAGTCGTCTTCATGGTTTTCTAGAACAGACCCGTGAACAGACGAGCATCTTCTTATCCGCCAGGTCCAAGTTCCCGGCCATCATCGGCTGCCTCATCTAGCCACCGCAGTCGAAAGGGATTGATGATCAAGATGGGCGCATGCATGAGCAAGAACGACGAGGAGACGGAGCAGAAGAAGAGGAGCCAGAAGATTGATCGCGACCTAGAGGAGGACTCCAAGAAGCTACGGAAAGAATGCAAGATTCTACTTTTGGGTGCGTACCCCTGTTGTCCTTCCCTAAAATCGTTTCTGCTAACATGCGTGCGCGTACAGGCTCCGGCGAGAGCGGTAAATCGACCATTGTGAAGCAGATGAAGATCATACATCTCAAGGGCTATTCAGATGAGGAGCTCACAAATTACCGACCAACCGTCTACAAGAATCTGTTGGAATGCGCAAAGGCGGTTGTGAATGCTATGCACCAGTTCGATATCCAGCCAGCAGATCCGTCGCTACGGCCCTACGTCGAGTTCTTGCAGGATTACAACATGGAGGGGTGTCCACCAGGACAGTCGATAGACCCCAAAGTCGGCACAGCTATCCAGGCACTATGGAATGATCCAGCAAAGGAGCAACTCATGGAGAGGCAAACAGAGTTTTACCTTATGGACTCTGCAGAATAGTGCGTGTCCGGTTTTTTTTCCCTTCAAGAACTCACGTTTGCTGACTTGGCACAGTTTCTTCACCGAGGTCACGAGGATTGTGGCCGAAGACTACCGACCAAATGAAATGGATGTACTTCGCGCCAGAACAAAGACGACGGGTATCTACGAAACGAGATTCAAGATGGGGCAGCTCAGTATCCAGTAAGTGTGCCTGATGGACATCTGTTACCCTCGTGCCCCTCAGCTCACACAATGATCTAGCATGTTTGATGTGGGCGGGCAACGTAGTGAACGCAAGAAGTGGATTCACTGCTTCGAAAACGTCACATCCATCATCTTCTGTGTTGCCTTGAGTGAGTACGACCAAGTGTTGCTCGAGGAGAGCAGTCAGGTATGTCCACCCACCACGTCACCGCCTGGTACAGAGATGGTGCTAACATGTAACAGAACCGCATGATGGAAAGTCTGCTACTCTTCGATTCGGTCGTCAATTCACGGTGGTTTATGAGAACGAGTATCATCCTGTTTCTTAACAAAGTCGACATTTTCAAGCAGAAACTGGGGCGGTCACCTCTAGGGAACTACTTTCCGGATTACTCCGGTGGAAACGACGTCAACAAGGCCGCCAAGTATCTACTGTGGCGGTTCAACCAGGTGAACAGGGCTCACCTTAACCTATATCCTCAGTATGTCCTCTACATCATCCTGTCTTGGTGTATGCACCTCATGCTAACATTGTCACAGCTTGACACAAGCCACCGATACCTCCAACATCCGTCTCGTGTTTGCTGCCGTCAAGGAAACCATTCTCAATAACGCCCTTAAAGACTCCGGTATTCTATGATGAAAGACCCTTTTTTTCGCTCACGCATCTTCTTCCTCTTTCTCGCAACAGCGTTCAGAATATTACCAAGTCTCCCTTCTTGCATGACTCGGCGTTTCAAAGGGGTGGTAGCTGTCCAGCTAGCCGGCTAGCAAAAGCACGGCGGTGACAGCAACGAAGGCGGCGGTTGTTGTTTCTTATCATATCTTAGGGTTCACGCGCGTTTGGAACGTTGCCAACCTGAGGTTTGCTTTTGCTTCCCATCGGTTTCTCTTTTCCATTAGCATGCATTCATCTGAGCGACAGGCAGCGCCATCAACCATACCCTACCAAACGGAACTTATTGTAATCTTGTTTACGCACCATTTGTGTGTTTTGCGCCGACGCAGAACAGCATAGGTGCACCTTTTTTTTTTCTTCACGGCGGCGACTGGATCGACTGAGCAGGTCCTTGCTTTCTCTTTTTTTTTTGTACATTCCTTTTCAACCGCATTTACAAGAAAACGGGAGGTGGAGAAGAGACATTGTCCTTAAGAGGTGTCACTGTACTCTCATGGGGAGGTGCATGGCAAAAAAAAAAGAAAGATGTCTGAGCTAGTAGAAAGCCAGGGAGTTGAAAAGGGAACATTGTTCGCCTCCCAGTGAGGTTTTGGATCCTGCATTGAAATGCGGTCCGAGGTATCCCCAGGCCCATCCAAGAGATGGGAGGGTGGGCGCAAAGAAGGAGAAGAAGCCATGATGTTCACGATTTCGTTAACTGTCTCTGGTAGTAGTGGGACGCAGAGAGAGAGAGAGATAGTAGGAGACAAAACTACTGTTTGTTCGTCACAAAGAGACTCACACAGGATACCTATTTAATGAAAGTAAAGGACTCTTCGAACAAACAGAGTATCTTATTAATGAGTTGATTATCAAGTGGAATAGAGATGCTGCATCTGAGACATACGAAAAGCGCTGGCAGTTTGCTAGCAGTAGTATCTTGACACGTCGTCCGTCGGTATAGAATAGGAAACCGACGGACGGACGGAGAGACAGACAGACAGACGAACAGACAATTTAAATTGGTTGAGAAGCAAATAAAGAAACACATACGGCCATACCCACTGGAAAACTCGGGATCCCGTTCGGTCTCGTAATTGCGGAAGGAAAATGTGATCGCCCCGGTGGAACCCGACACGTGGAGAAGCACGGCCCCTATAAGTTGAAGATGCTACCATACACATCGCTGCTACCGCGAGACCTCCTCGAGCTACGTCTTGACAATAGAGCCTGCCGTACCCGACGGAAGAGAGCCTAGACTGTAATTTACTCCGAATACTAATGTTCTTAGACCTACCCCCTGTCCCACCGTGACACTTGAGCTTGTTTTCTCATCCTTCTTTTACCATCTACCTACCTAGGTATACATGAAGACTACGAGATACTCGACATCACGGCAAAAATCATGCCAACCATGCTCGAACGCCAAAGCGAAATGCGATCGCAAGGTAACATCATGTAGCCGATGCGCGCTACGAGGACTAGCTTGCACGTACTCCCAGGCATCTTTGTCTGGAGGTTCCCGAGTTTCTCTCGAAAAAACGGAGACAACAGGCAGCCTGGTTTCCGTATCGGGGAGCCTCCCGCTTCATGGCTCAACTCCCGAGCCGAATGTTGCCATGTCACCGACAACACAGACCTCGAGTCTTGCCGGTGAATCTACATGTATCCAGCCTGGGGCTGGTAGTCTCGATGGCCTAGTCAGCCCGGCTTCAAAAAACCTTGCAGACACGAGCCGGTCCGCTCATCAAAGACGGCACCAAGTTACATCCCATACCACCCGAGGAGGGTCAGCTGCACATGCACTCGACTTCTCACATGTCGATCTCGTGTGTCCCATTAACGCGAATGACATCCAAAACCGCTGGCTCAAACCTTACATTGTAGCTGTCCGCGGGCAGACGGCCAAAACGCTTTCCCCGAGCATCACAGCCTTCACATACAGAATCCTCAAATCGTACGCGGCTATTGCGGTTCGAGGCGGCCATGATAGCATCCCGCCATTTCTACACCCAGTTCATGTGCTTCACACATTACCGAACACACCAGCGCTCTCGACTTGCTTAAGCCTGATTCGGAGCTGCGAAAAGCCGCTGCCTGGCAGCGAAGGAGTCCTTGCCGAGGTTTTGCAGCGCGAGATGAACAAGCTCTACGAGCAATACGGCACTCAAACTTGCGATGATGATGATGATGATGATTCGGCTGCGCTGCTTGCGGCATTCCAGGCTTACTTGGTGTACACCTTGGTTTTGTACTATCGACTCCATGTCGGCCGGGATGCTGCGGACTACCCCTTCCTCCGACTACAACAAGCAATGATGCATCTCCAGGAGATTGCATGCGCCTGTTCGGCGCGGGGGCTAGTGTGCTCGACCGAACAAGACGGAGCACAAGGAGCCCGGCCAAGGTGGGAAACGTGGATCGTGGCCGAGACGAAACGGCGAACGCTCTACACCATGTATCTTTTGGACAACATGCTCACTGCTAAAGAGGGTCTTCCGACTTTTCTTGGCACCGAGTTGCGAGGATTACCGGCGCCAGCAAGCAAAGCTCTGTGGCAGGCATCAGCTCGGGATGAGTGGGAAAAGGCATATAACTTGCACTTGGCCGAGTGGTACCCTGAGGGTGGTGGCCTTTGCATCGATGAGCTTTGGGCAGTTCCAGCAGACATGGATGAGGCGGGCTTGGTTGAAAGGCGCAGGAGAGTGGACCAGTGGTTGGAGGGTGTCGATGAGTTTGGGACAATGATGTATGCGGTGACGAGTTGCACGCATGGAGGCTAATTCTTGCTGAAAGAATTTCTTGTTGCAATTTTTCCCTCTCAGTGAGCTTCTAATTGATTCATTCATACGATGCCCTCGTGCAGCTGGTGGAAACTACTAACCACCTCTAGGCGAGAAGAAAATATGCTTCGCTACAAAGACTGCTCCAGAGCCCAAAGCGCTTGCTCAATCGTGATTGCCCGCAGATTCAATTTGGGCAGGAGAGTACCTATTCAAGAAGAGCAGAGAAAATTTGCTTCCGTCATGGCCTGCTGGCAGGTCCAACACATTGCTCAAAATGACATAAACTTGTTTGTAGTCCAAATCAAACAACCGATAAACTGTGCTCAACACAACACCAGAGAGTGAGACCGGACTGGGGGAGAATTTGGTCAGTTAGGTAGGTAGTCCAATCCACTTTAGAAAGGGCAATCAGCTGGCCGCCTAGAGGTACGTACAATGACAACGGTATCGATGCAGTTCTGTGACCTTAAGATCTCCTCGCGGGGGGGCATTTCCTGCGCCAGCGTACCTACCATCTCGTCTTCTGAAGAATGATGTCCTGCTCATCGACCACGAAGTGAGGATCGATTTGCACTCCGGAGGAACCTAGCTCAAAAGCAGGACCTCTATCAAAGGCTCGAACCAACTTCAATGGTAAACGGCACGCTATTGTCCTTTGCCAGTTCGGGTTGTGACGGATTTGAGAAGAACAGACTGCCTGGTGAAGATGGTGGTGAGCAGCCGAGGATTGATCTTTCCGGTGCACAGCATCGTTCCACCGCACACAGCTACCTAGAGATGAAAGCTGCTCCTTCGTCGGTAGGTATGCTTCAATCGCGGCGTCTATCAAAATCGACATTACATAGGTCAAGGTTGAGAATGGCGTAGCGTTGCTCAAAGGAAACAAAGCTCTCGGCCGTTTTCTGTTCGTTGCGGATCCATTTTCAAGATGACAGTTAGGTAGGTAGGTAAGTATCAACGCAAGATGAAGATGAATGGTGTCTTTTTCTGTTGAAATAAGAATCGAAACCTCAACTCCAAATGCCGGTAAAAGCTCTACATACCTAACCAACACAAAGTTGGTCTGGCTACTGCTCCGGAGTTGAAACCCCTGGATCTCTCTCAAGTCCGAAAGTGGAAAGCTCAACTCCGAACTCCGTAAGGCGACGTTATGCCTGCGATGTCTGCCCGTATTTGCTTAAGAGCAGACTTATGTGTGCATACAACATGTCCTGGATCACATGCAGTATCCAGATCCGATCCATGACAAAGTTAGTTGGCGCTTGCCATTGACCATGATCTCTAAAGTTCAAAATCAACCGCCTTTCCCTGATGGCACTTCTGCCGCCACCTTTCCTCCACCAGAAGCCGCGGAGCAACCGTATAGCATCTTTGATAAGCGACAGAAAGCCCTAATCGTCGTTATAATTTCTGTCGCTGCAACATGTAAGTGGTGAATTCTGTCCAAGCGTGGTTGGCGAGTATGTTTGGGGTCTGACAGATAAAAAAAACAAAAAGTCTCCGGCTTTGCGTCGAATGTATACTTTCCCGCTCTGCCTACTATCGCCAAGGACCTCAATGTTTCCATCGAGCTCGTCAACTTGACCGTCACCTCGTACCTCATCTTCCAAGGCATAGCGCCAAGCTTGTGGGGCCCCATCTCGGATGTGAAGGGGCGCCGGATCACGTACTGTTGCACCTTTGTGGTCTTTCTCGGCGCCTGCATTGGCCTGGGAGAGGCCAAGAGCTATGCTGCGGTGCTCGTGTTACGATGCCTCCAGAGCACGGGCAGCGCGAGCACCATCGCCATCGGCTCGGGCGTGATTGGAGATATCACGACACGTGATGAGCGTGGCGGCTTCATGGGCATCTTCCAAGCAGGATTGCTCGTGCCTGTGGCTGTGGGACCGATCATCGGGGGCGCGCTGGCGGACTGTTTGGGATGGAGGGCCATCTTTTGGTTCTTGGCCATCTACAGCGGTGTTTTCGTCGTGTCCTTGATTCTCTTGATGCCCGAGACACTGAGGTCGGTTGTTGGCAATGGGAGCCGGATTCCGTCAAACCCTATCGCCCGGTATCCGCTTGTCGTCTACCAAAGAACTAGCCGCATCAAATGGGACGTCGCCACCGAGCCCGCGGCAAGAAAACGCATCGACCTTGTCGGTCCCTTTCGGATTCTTGTCAGCAAACAAGCCGCGCCCGTCATCGTCTTTCTCGCTGTTTATTACGCTGTTTGGCAGATGAGCATCACGGCCATGTCCACTCTCCTTGAGGACCGGTATGGGCTTGGGGAAACCGAAATTGGTCTTAGCTTCATCGCCAATGGTGTGGGATCCATGGTTGGGACGCTGGTCATGGGAAAGGTCCTTGACAATGACTATCGCCGCATCAAAGCCCGGTATGAGTCTCGGTCAAACTCGGCCCCTAACGCCAACATTGATGGTGACGACTCGGACGGCAATGATTTCCCCCTCGAAAAGGCGCGTCTGCGCCTGGTCCCGATCTTTGCCCTCCTACAGTGCGCATCCATCACTTTGTTTGGCTGGACCATCCAGTACCCGCAAAAGGTGCACATGGCGGTACCGATTGTGTCCACCTTCATCACGGGCTGGACGGCCATCGCCACCCAATCCGTCATCATGACCTACCTTGTCGATGTGTTCCACGACCGCAGCGCAGCCGCCAGTGCGAGCCTGAACCTCGCCCGGTGCCTGTTCGCCGCCGCCGGTACGAGCTCCGTGATGCCCATGGTCAATGCCCTTGGCGTCGGGCTAGCCTTCACCGTCTGCGTCGTGGCTCAGCTCGTCGCGCTGCTGGGGCTGGCGGTGCAGTGGAGATTCGGCGCTAGATGGAGGAGAGAGGTTGAGAGACGGAGATAGGAGGTAAATAAGTCAACCCGAATGCTCATTGCGAGGTAATCGAGCTGCTTGGTGTTACGACGCCTATAATAGATGTAAAGACTTTTGTGTAAGAAAGAGGAAGAAGGAGTACATATGATGTCGAATTGCACGAAATGTAGCAAGGACCGAAAAATGGGTCCAGAAGGTGGAAAGCGGAGATCGCACAGGGAATCTACACTACCCTATCCGCCTTCTTTCATCTCTCTCCATGATGCATCAGGAGGCAGAGAAGAATATAAACAACTGACAGAAAACGAACAAGCACATACGACCATACCTACTGGAAAACTCGGGATCCCGTCCGCTCTCCCATAGATAAGCCAGTGAGGGCCTGACTAGTAGTTGGGTCGGTGACGACCAGCGAATCCCAGGTGTTGTATGTTTGTCTTCTTTTTTTGCAGTTTTGGTGTGAGGAGTGAAGGGGGGATGGATATCTGGATTTCTTTCTTGGTGTCTGGATCTTGTTTTGGTCGTCAGCAGAAGTAACTAGTACCCTAATACATAGCTATGCCGCTAGTGACTGAAAGTTTCGTAATGTAGCACGCAGGGGAAATCGGCAAAAAGGAAAAGGAGTGAGTGTCATGATATATTCATCGACCTTAGCATGTCAGTTCTTCATCAACTCAAGTTAGTCATCCCCAGGTATTGGTGGCTGCTGTGACGTCTCCCACCGTTCCTTGTCTGGTGTCCCGGGAATGACTTGTTCCCCCATGGCGGTATCCTCTGCTATAGCATCCTTTCCATGGGCTTGCCCGTCGTGTTCTGCACCCGCGTCATCCACTTTCCCCAGTCGTGGTGGACTTGATGGCGGGACAATATCCATCGGTGTTGGCGCTGCACTGCTTTCCCCCTCTCTCGCTTGTAATGTTGGAAGTTCAGCTGGGGTAATATCCTCCTTCCCATCCCCACCCTCACCCTTAGTATCCGCCTTCTCCCCATTCCCATCCAAAGTCTGCCTCTTAATCCCCTTCCTGGCCTGCTTGATCAAATCCCCAAAACTCCCTCCATACCGAGTTGCCCAAGCTTTGCCATCGAACTCCTTGTCCTTGATCTGCGCTCCCGTAGCTTGCGCCCTCGCCACAAGTCCGAGTCCCTGCTGCCCTCCTCCTCCTCCTGCTGCTGTGCCGGGATTCCCTACTGTCCGTTCCCATTCGTCTAGATCGCGAAGTAATTCGGACCGCTTTTTGGGTCGCGAAGAGTCGCAGTTGGCGTTCCAAAGCGTGATCCACTCCTTGTGGCGCTTCTCCAAGAGCTGGCGAGAACCGTGGGTGGAGAGGCCGAGTTCGGAGAGTTTCTTGCGCAGGGCGGTGTCGCGCAGCATGGAGTAGGCTAGGGCGGGGAGTCGTTCGGGTGGTTTTTGGTTTTGGTTGGCGATGCTGGTCTGAGATGTGAGGCGGCTGTTGAAGGATGGAAAGGTTGATGGCTGTGATGTTTGAGCGGGGATCGGTCGTCGTTTGGATGCGGCCTGAGGAGAACCGGGACAAGAGGTGTCGAGGTGGCGATCAACTTGCTGTTCTTTCATGCGGGTGAGGCAGATGGGGCAGGCTACTAGGCCGTCGTCTGGTTGGGAATTAGTGATGATGATGATGGAAGTGGGAGGGGGAGATGAGGGGGACGAACCGGGTGGTTGGTCAACGTAATCTGGGTCGGCTGAAGGTGTGGTGTCTTGCTCTTCTTGTAGTATTGCTGCTGTCAACTCGGCGGCCCGGGCTCTTGTTGATCTGGTTGACCTCCTTGGCCTCTTGGTTTCTGGGTCCTCTTCTTTCGGCCCCTCCAATTCGGTCGCCTTTCGTTTTGATGGCGAACTGGGGCCTGCTTGGTCTGGCAGTATCGCCTGAATGGTCGGTGGTGTCCTAGCAAACTCGAGAAGGACTTTACGGGAGTTCTTGAAGGCTTCTACGGCTTCGCGCAAAGCCCAGTTGCCTCTGAGCTTGGATTCCTGGTCGGTGGCGCGACATAGCGGACACTTGCTGTCGACGGACAGACATCTTCGGATGCACAATGAGCAAAAGGTGTGATTGCAGGATGTGAGCATGGGAGAGTCGTAAAAGTCCTTGCATACGTGACAGCGGAAAGCCTGTTCGACGGGCATCAGGCATGCGAGGGGCGTGCCCAGCCAGTCGGTCGAGTCGGGGACGTTGAAGGCATCATCGCCAAAGACGTCCATGATAATGTCGGTTGTACTGAAGAGTATCCGAATGCTTTGGTGGTGGTGATGGTTGCCTTCGTTCTACCTGAAAGTAGGATTGTAGAAGAGACGGAAGATGTGAGACGCGATGTCTGCAGGTCGGACGAGGCTGGTCGCGACTTTGTCGAGGAGGAGAATTCCATTACACTGTATTTACACAAACTGGCCGAGGGTCAGGAAGGATACCGAAGAGTGACCCGGGTATCTAACACTCGGGATCTTTTCCATGAGGATTGCTGTTTCGCTTGATGCTTTTGTCTAAAGTTGAACATGGCTCTTTGAAGCATCTCCACTGTCATTATCCAACCTTTACATCTCTTTGTGACCATCCTTCCACGGACCTTTGACCTCTCCATGACGGTATTGATTGTGACCACGATACGGTAATGACAGGGCCTGCACGTGAATTGGCGACGGGAGGCGTGCAGCGGGTGTTCTGGGGGCCTTTTTCCAGGCACAAAAGCGCTGCAACAGTGGAAACAGAAGCCCCACCTCTTCGCTCAGCCCAGACTATTCCCTTTTGGGCATCAATCAAAACAAAGACTGGAGCGGATTGGGTAACAATTGAAACCACTGCAAGACAAGGGAATTTGCTCCGGCAACAGGAACTCCATCCCAGGTCAAGTCTCCAATCCCTCGCTTTTTGCTTGGTTCACTTTGACTTTCACTTTGTTGCTTTGACTCGATCGACGCAATCCCGTCATCCCTCCGACAACCACCATTATACCACATCGCCAGCCTCGTCGCCCACCTCCCTCCCTTTCTTTGACCAATTAATTATACCAATGCTTTGAACATCTCACTTGTTGCCATTCCTTTCTTTTTCAATCATTGCTTGGGGTTTTTAGCTTTCCCCACATCCCCAAATCCGGTTTGTTGACTTTTGGCGCCAAAGTAAACAAACAGCAAAAATGGCGATGCGCAAGGCACCACGTCTGCCCGTCGGCTCGGCAGCGTGGGTTGCAGAAGAGCGCGCATCGGCGCTCAAGGTGGCAGAGGAGGAAGTCGAAGAGTTCTCGTATGCTGCGCGCAACGAGATGGACTGGCTGAACGAGCACATGGAGGACATTTTCTTGGGCGAGAACCAAATGTGCGTGTCTTTGTTTTATTTCTCTCTCTTTGTCTCGCTGACCAGGAACAGGAACATTGCCGAAATCTTCAAAACACCAGCACGACCACGAGGCAAGACACCGAGAACAATTCGCAAAGGACCCAATACCGAAGTGAGAGTGGTAAGCATCCAGACAGCGCCCATTCTTCTGCGACGGGCGACACAAAGATTGATTGATGTTATTCTAACCTATAGCAGCCCTTGGCCAGCATCTTCTCGGCAACACCCCAGGGGACACCTAACCCTTTCGTCCTCGCGCCGCCCACCAATAACTCGTCATGGACGCCCAAGATCAGGCCCGATACGCCGGAAGCCGATGTCGAAGCTGATGACGAAGCCGATGATGTTCCCAAGAATCCCACGACTCCCTCGACGCGCCGTGTGAGCCCCCGAAAATCAGTTACTGCAAAGTCGCCAAGCCCAGTCAAGAGCGTTGCCGCGCCATCACGACAGCCGAGCCCAGTCAAGCCAAACAACACCACGCCCATGCGACCACCCGCAAGTCCAGCAAAGCCAGTTGCCGCTACCCCGTCCAAAGTCAGAAGCCCGATCAAACATCTCAATGGCTCCCCTTTGCCAATTCTTTCCAAGTCACCTACCCCGGTCAAGGCCACCGACTCCGGATACTATGGCAGTCAGCAGCTGGATATCATGGATGTGGACGAGGTCGAAAAGGTTGCTGATGCCGATGTCGATGTCGATGTCGATATGGGAGAACCAGCGCACGAGCCGACAATGGAATTGACTCAGCAGTCGGCGCAGGAGCAATTACAACAACAACCTCCGCAAGAGCCCACACAGGAGCAGACAGAGGAATTAACACAGCCGTCAAATGAGCTCAACCAGGAACCGACGCAGGAGGAACCAGAGCAGCAGGAGATAGAGTCACAGGATCTTGGAGTTCAGCCAGCCCCCACCGAGCCGGAGCAACACGGCAGTCCCGTATTACAGGAGACGGCCGAACTACTACGAACCACAACACCTTCAGATGAACCTGTTGAGCCTACCGTTCAATACCCACGACTTCTCTCGCCCGTGCTGGATGTGGCTAGGTCTAGTAGCCCAGTCCACATGCTCATTCCGTCGCCCACCAGGTCTATCCATGCGCCTTCACCCCAAAAGGCTGCCTCGCCCATTAAGGCCCCCTCGCCTCAGAAGCTCGCATCGCCAGCAAAGCGCCTTTCCCCCGAGAAGAGGATTTCCCCGGTCAAGGTGGCCTCCCCCCAGAAGGCTCCTTCACCAGAAAAGATTCCCTCCCCCGAGAAGACTTTGGAGCTTGAAAAAGAGGAATCACCTGTGGATAGCGCTCCCGTCCTGTCACCAAAAAAGAGATCGCCAGAGACAGAGCCAGTTACTGAACAGCAACCCAAGACTCCGGCGCCCTTTGTACACGCCCAGTCAGAGAATGATCATGCGGACGACCAAGCGGATGACAAGGTGGACGATGGCGCCAACTCATCCATGGAAGCCTCTAGCCCCATTAGCCCGGTTAAGCGCCTGAGCAGTCTGAACTTTGCATCGCTTCCCGCACGCGAGCCGATGACCTCTAAGAAGAGCCTCGGTACTAGGATGTCGAGGACGAGCCATGTCGACGTAACGCGAACCTCCTTCTACCATCGCCAGACGGGAGGAAAGAGTCTTGGACATACTACCCGACAGAATTTCGATGATGACGACGACGAGATGGACATTGATGGTGATCACACTCAGGAACCCAGGACTGCCAAATCATACACGCAGCGACTGCAGGATCAGATCAACATGCTGGGCAAGGGACAGTCAATGGGACCGAGACCATCGAAATCGATAGCCCACCTCTTGCCGACACAACAACCCGCATCCACTTCACAGGCACCAACGACACAGCCCGTTCCGGAGCCCACCAGATCCTCACCCAAGAAGCCACCCGTGGTTACTCCCAGGGCATTTCCCACACCGGGAGCATTCCCACTGGACGATGATGATGACTGGATTGGACCTCCTAGCAAGGGAGCGGATATGTCCACTCCCATGGTGTGGAACGCGCGCAAAGACACACGGTTAAGTCAGCCAATGGAAGGAATGAACTTATTCGCAAGGGAGGCATCTCCGACCCTTGGAGAATCCTTCATGGAGAACAGGCACGAGTCACCAAGTAAAGCGCCCATCATCCAGGAACCACCTGCTGCGTCTTCCTCAACAACACATGTCAAATCGGCTTCTGTTCCCACGCTACCCAGTTTGCACGAGCCTCCCGTGCCAAAAACCGCCAGCCCCAAGAAAGAGGCATCTGTCTCTACTTCCAACCTCCCCGAAATGCCAGCGCACGAACCTGCTTCGCCCTTCAAGTCCCCCTCCAAGGCATTCCGCGAGAACACGCTGGAGAGGGTCAAGAACAAGTTTTCCTCCCTTATGAAATCATCCAAGGGACTTCTCCCAACCAGTGCACATTCAAATGCCGAAGCAAAACTGACTGGGCTCTTCACGACTCCCTCAACTGCTCGACTGGAAGAACATCCCAGTTTATCCGAAGCTTCCTTCAAGACAGCCGATAATGTCGTCTATCCTGATCTATCTCACCATGCACAGGCCGAAGCCCCCGTAGCCGCCACCCCCATCCGACCCACGCGAAAAACCCGAGCGTCGACCGAGAGGGAACGAAAGGAGGCAGAGGAAAGGGAGAAGGAAAAGAAGAGGGAAGAGAAGGAGGCCAAGCAATATGCCAAGACATATGTCAAGCAGAATGAGAAGCTGGAGAAGATGCGCGAGAAGGAAGCGGAAAAGGCCCGTCTCTTCCAACAAGAGCAAGAGAGACAGGCAGAGATGGAGAGACGCGCTGCTGAACAGAGGGAGCAGGAACAACAACACAAGCTTACCAAGGCACGACCGCAGTCCAAGCAGTTGTTCGAGACACCAGGACCTTCCAAATCGGCACCCAAGAGCCCCAAGAAAGCTACTCGGACTAGTCTTCGCAGAGGAGCCAAGCAGGGTGAAGCCGAAAAGGAGGAAGCCGATGTCGATATGGGAGACGTTACTATCTCCACGAAGGCACCTCAATCGATTCCTCGACCTCCATCTGCTCAAGCCTCCCGTGGCACGGGTATCAAGCGACCTATTAGACCCACGAAGGAGGCCTTGACGAGGGCCAAGCCCGCCCCGACTCGCATCCGCGTCAACACCACCAGCTCCCAGCAGGGGGCATTCCACACTTCGACCAACAGTGTTCTCAGCACCACCAGCCAGGAGAGCCTCGGTCAGTCGCACGGAAGGCAGCAACTTGTGAGCAAGGCCAGCACGTCTTCGCTCACCAAGAAGCCTTCCCTTCAGAGTCTTAAGGGGTCTTATTCTTCGACTGTCGGGCGGCCTAAAGCGTTGGAGCTGGCGGCCAAACAAAAGGAGCAAGAGGAGCGCGAGATCCAGCGCAGGCGTGATCAGAAGGCGGAAAATGAGCGCAAGAGGGCCGAGATGAAGGAGGAAGAGCAGCGCAAGCAAGCTGCGGCAGCTAAGAAGGCCGCGATTGAGCAAGCCAAACGGACCCGTGCGCCGCCCCCGCCGCCGAGGTCCCAGCCTAATGGCCCTCCGGATCACTTGGCGGAGAGTAGGCAACCTTCGAGACCCAATTCTCGTCTTGGGCCGACGATGCACGATAGCCGACCAGTCAATGCTGTGCTGGGCAAGGCGGCTTCCAAGCGTCCGTTGACGCAGGTGCAAGAGGCCCATCAGGATTCGAAGCGGATTCGCGTGTCTGAGGACTTTGATGCGGATATCGAGATGGCTGAGGGTAACACCAAGCAGCAGAGGAGCATCAGAGGGGCGCCCGTTCGACCTTCTGCAGTCCGGCCTTCGGGCGTGAGGCCGTCGGCAGCCGTTAGACAACCCTCAGTTGGGTTCAAGAAGGATTTGTCGACTACTACCACGACAGGCAAGTCGATTTTCGCCTCGAACTATACCAACGTTCCGCACGCCCCTCCCCCTCCTTCGCGGACAGTCGACCTCTTCAAAAAGACCACCGTCAACCAAATCAAGACGGGCCACGCACTGGACACGGCCCAATTCCAAAAGGGCAACCACATCCCCTTTGCCTCCAACCCCAACGGCGCCGGTCCTTCCGCTGCTGCTCAGGTCGGATCGTCCCGCCATCCGCTCCAAACCCCAGCGCGTCCGGGTGCTACTGCCGCCCGCGCCCTGGCCCTCACATCCGCCACCCAGCCCACTCGCACCTCTCCCCGCCTCGCCGCCATCGCCGCCGGCGACTCCATCGAGCTCCCTGAGATCCAAACGGACGACGAAGACGGGGTCGACACGCCCCGTCCATCCACCTCCAACCCCAACCTCCGCTCGTCGCTGAATGGTGGCAACTGGACCGACAGCCCTTACCTCAAGGCGCAGCTTTTGGCACAAGAGCAGCTGGATCCGATGGTTATCTTTGGACCACCTGCTCCGCTGAACATGGAGGAGGTATTTAGCAAGGACAAGAGCAGACATCACCGGTTCAGGGCCAGAACGAGCAGCGCGAACTGGGAAGGTCAGGATCGGTTGACGGAGGAGGAGGTGTGTAGGGACCGAGAGGCGAGGGAGAGGATGAGGAAGGAGGGAGGATGGAGTTGGGGATTGGGAAGGACTTTGGGGTAATGATAATGGAGTATGACAGGGGGGAAGGTTGTATTGACTATTCTTTTGCACATATTCAGTGTTGGAGTTGGCTACCTCTATGGGCTTCTATACCAGCAGCGTTAACTTCCGGATGAGAAGGCTGCGGTATTGGAATGGAAGGGAAAGGGTATAGCATTTTTTTTCTAGGCTGAGAATTGGTTCATGTTCATTATGGAGGGTTGAATGACGGCTCTTTGCATAGATGTTAGGTTAGGACTGGGGGTCTGTATCGTGGCATTCATGAAGGTCATTACCTACGTTACCAGGTCAGGAAAACCGGAGTATAGCTTATTGTTACCCCAGAGTATGAACAATGAACTTTTTACACACATCTGATTCAATGCATAACCGAACATTGACATAGCCAATCAATGTCATCAAGATAACCTACTATACGATAGGAAACAAATACCACAGAGACAAGGACACCACTTCCCCTCCTTACAATTTAGCATTTACTCCCACTCACCCAATACCTACCTACACAATCACGTCAAAGGCGGCGCCTCTGGATCCTCCATGCACTGATCAACCCTCATCAACCGCTTCCCACTCGCCTTCGCCAACTGTATAAACTCCTCCAAATACCCCACCGTGCTCTCATACAAATAATGCATCACCACCAAGTTTCCCCCCGCTTTCAAATCTCTTTTAAACGCCTCCAGCTGCTTCTCGGGCGTCTCGCTCTCCGCCCACAACCAATCCTCCACATCGACACTCCAGCCCACTATATACGCTTTTTCATTTCCTAAGTTTTCAACCAACCGCTGCCGCATCCTCGCCCCTTCAGTCCCAAACGGCGGCCGAAAATACGGACTTATCTTACTAGATGGAAACGTCTGTCGCACAGCCCCTATATCATTTTGGTATTCCCAATCTATATCTTGTACGGTAGGCAACCCTTCCATTTTCGGATGGGTATACGAATGTAAAGCGATCTGGTGGCCCTTTGATGCCATGTCGCGGTAGATTTTGGATAAGTTCGTGGACGGGTCTAGTAGGGGTAGGCCCACCGTGAAAAAGGTTACGGGGATTTGGGCGGCTTCGACGATGGACATGACGCGGGGAGCGAGGTGCGGGTCGCCGTCGTCGATGGCGAAGGCGAAGGAGTTGGGGCGCGTGCAGGCGAAGACGAGAGTGCCGGAGGGGAGTTTGTGCGGGATGGAAATACCTGAGGGGATGGAGGGGATGATTTCGAGGAGGGTGATGGTTGTTGATTCGGAAGGGGAAAAGAAGCCGCGGAGGTTGAAGCCGATGGTGCGGGTTAGGTTGATGTGGAAGTGGGAGATGGGAATGTAAATGTCGGATTTACCTCCGGTGGTGATGAAGGAGTAGCGCGCGGCTTCGAGCGAGTCCCAGGTTTCTGGGTAGGGTTTGATGGAGTCGTCGCAGTGGGCATTGTGTTGTTGGAGGGCAATCGAGAACTTGTTGCTCCCACTGTAGGCGACGTGCAGATAGGCGGTGGAATAGGGCGTCATGTCAAAGCAGGTGCTTGCTAGCTGCGTGTTCCAGCCGAGGTCAGAGTCGTTGGTGCGGATGGTGATGGAGTTCTTGCCAAAAGTGACTGTCATGCCGTCGTCGCCACCGTGCCACTGGCCGAGACTGTTGGTGTCCTTGTTGGCGAAGGTGTCAATGACAAAGGGCTTGGCGTTGGAGGAAGGGGCCGGCACGGTCGGGGACGCGCCCGTGTTGGCAGGCGGCGGGAGGGAAGGGAGGATGCATTCGGAGGCGGTGCTGCCGCAGTAGAAGGACATGGGGCCGAGGATCACGGCGGCGTTGAAGGACGAAAAGTAGATCATATCGAGCTTTGTCGTGTCCAGGCCGGTGAAGACGGAAAAGGGAAACCAGTAGAGTCGCTCGGTGCCGTCAAAGGTCCATTTGAGCTGTGTGGACGTCATGGAGATGGTCTTGCGCCCGGTGCTGGAGCCGCAGGTTGCGAAATAGGACATTTGTACGGTAAAGGTGGTGCCGCGTGCGGCGCGGATGCGGAAGGAGATGCCGCCGTACTTGTCGTTAGTGTTCAGACAGCCGAATTGGCTGTAAAAGTACGACTCTTGGTTCTTGGGGGTCAGCAGGACGCGGTGGTTACTGACCACGATGGAGGACATGGTGCCGTCATCGTTCGAGGCTTGATTCATGGCATTGTAGCCCAGGAAGGTCAGGCGGGATTGTGACTCCCAGTCATCGATCAGCAAGTTCGAGCAGGCAGTAGCTGTCGGACTGGCGGATGACCTAGTGACCGTTGTGATGACAGAGCGAGTGGTGGAGGTTGGTACTATGGAACGGGTTGTGGAAGAGACTGATGAAGTCGTTACTCGTTAGTGTTCATAGCCAAACATAAGGGGTAGGAAAGATATACGTGTAGTGGTAGAGGCAGCTGTGGTGGTTGGAACAGCCACAGCTCCGCAAGTCAACTTGATGTTGCCGACGGACCAGATGGCATTCGTCTGAGAGAACTCGGACCAGACAAGCCCAACGATGGCATCATAGTTGGGATTGTTGTCAAAGCCCAGTAGTGGCAAGTCGATGGTCTGCTGGCTTCCCGTCAAGCCGCTGATAACATTGTAGGAGCTGGTGTAATTGCCTGTGTCACTGGCGTTGCAACTCGCAGATGTCTGTAGTTCGAATGCAACAGACCCTCCAGCTGGCCCCTGAAGAGTGAACTGGATTCCGCCATAACCGAGGGTGACGGCTTGTTGGCATGAGAAGGATTCGTAAAAGTACGATCCACCGTCTTTGGGAATGAACTGAACCTTGCCCGCAGCGGCAGCAATCGAGGTCATGGATCCATCGTCTGTTTGTGTTAGTTACAGGTTTCTTTGCTTTGTTTTGCATGTACAAGAGTGACTGACCTCCATTGGGCCAATTTAGATTGTTTGTTCCCTCAACCCATTTGGAAAAGTCGTCGATGAGGAGGTCGGTGCAGGCAGCGCTGACCGTGGAGACGGCTAACAGACCAGAAACCACGGTTACAAGACGGCGATCGAGCAACATGGCAGTCAATTCTCCGAAGATCGGTGCTACAATCCATTCTGTCGACATAGGCCATGACTGCGTGCAGTGAGTTATATGTGTTTTCGGATCTGATGGTCGAGAAGCATAAGGACATGGGCCGGCCGTTCTGTTCAGGAGTGATCAACCACGAGGATGCAATATTACCCGACTGGGGCGCGTGTCACTCGAATTGCCATGGCTTCCGCGACCGTTGTATGAGATATTGCTAAGAAGAGAACAGCCATATGGGATTACGCAACCAACGCCCGAGGTTGGGTAAATGGAGTGCGGAGACTGGAATGAAAGAAAAGGGATAAAATCCTACGATGCAGTGTTCCGCGGTTCATGTGGCACTACTGCCCATGGTAAACCAGGAACTGGCCAGCTCGTGTATGCTATGTAACAATAAGGTAGTATATGAGCTGAACAGCTCTTCCTGTACCTGCAAGTCTCAACTTGGGACCTGGATGTTGTGTTCGTTTTTGATACCGATAGCATGGTGTAATCGAGCACTTTCGACCCGAAGTTCAAGCCACTCGGCTCAAGAAGCATCATGGACCTGTAGCGCGTTTTCTAGCTTCAGTCGGTTGGTGACGAGGCTGGTGAAGGATGAGGTCCGATGCAAGGCCCGGTGAGCGGAAAGATACATGAGCACCCGAATGGAGGTGAGATCCGAGTTGACATGTTTAGCCTCCAGAAAGATGAGGATCTAGTATATGGAACGGGAAGAGGGTAGGATTTAATCCGCAGAAAAGAAGAGTGATGAGGACATTTTCATATACCAAAGAGGGGAACGTTTTCGGCATGTATGTTCCAGGAAGTTGATGAGGTTGATATTGAGGTGTTCTTGGCTTGCAGCCGGGGGTAGCATTGCGGTGATAGAGGCCGGCGGAGATCAGGTACCATGTCGGATCGAGCCGTTGTTGGCTTCTCATGTTGACTCGGTTTTCCGTAAAGGCCACAACATGGCAGTCAACGTTACCTTTGGCTGGCCACTGAGGCCGTGTTCGTTGTGGCAGTAGTGCAGTAAAGGGATCACTTCCAACCCTGCCACAACGAACACGGCCTGACACTATAGCCAACCGGAACATTCAGCCGAGATGGCTAATGATGAGCCACCGTCTGTGAGTGTCCGTGACATTGTCGCCATGGAGGCATGTTGTCAACAGGCGTCACCGTATTCCGCAAATCGGATAATGCTTGAACGTGGGTGGGGCTGCCATTGTTTACTTTGTTCAGGGGAAGGATGAAAGAGGAAAAGCCGCAGATGAAGGACGTCTTGGGTATCATGACAAGCTCCACGTGATAGGTTACAGTATTCTGGCATAAGAGGATAGGAAAACACAGATGGAAGCACAGACCACCGAGACGTCAGATGGCGGAGGACGCGGAGCCCCGAAGATTAACGTCGCTTTCAGGGCCGCGGCGCCGACTGATCTCACTGATTGTTTCCACACCTTCCCCGTTCCGTCCCCGTCCATCTTCCGCAGGCCGTCACAAGTCCACCCGCTTGCTGCCGCCGTAACCTTGCTTACGCCGATACCTCTACCGTGCTCCACGCCGGACACCCGACGGATACCTCTACTACCACACCCTGCTACTAGTAGTTGTCCACCACAGTAGTCTACGGACTTAGCTTACAGAGACACTTTGTTGTCGTCACAGCATTTGCACCGTAACAACAGCCCGCCCGTCGAAACATACCTACCGTCACCCGTAATCACAACCACCTTACAGCAACCACCAACGTACCTTGCATAGCTGATCCACTACCTACGCCGACCCCGACATATTATTCACAGGAAGGCATACACTTCCACTCCTTCATGCAGTCCGCCAACAATGCGCCGCCCCCCAACGACCCCCTCGCGTCGCTGCCCATGGCCAACCCCACCATGAAACCCCTACCCTCCAAGCAACGGGGACAGCCGCTGGTCCTCGACTCCCGCTCCCATTCCCAGCCCGAAGCCCAACCGACCACGCCTGTCCGCGAACGCCGAACGAACCCCTCGGCTGCCTCCCTGTTCAGGTCGACACTTACACCACCGGGCTCCCGCTCCGGGTCACCAGCACCCATGGGGTCCCCAGCCCGCAGCCTGACCGGCTCCGTCTTTGGCAGCGGCGGCTTCAAGCAATCTCTCCTCGACACCGCGGCCGCCGAGAACCCGGGCGATCCTCTCAACCTGATCCTCAAGAGCTTCGTCCCCCACATTGCTATCCATGACTCGCAAGATGTCGAACATTTGGTCAAGGAAAAGGGCTTCAAAGGAGGTCTGTTTGAGCTGCTCCGCCCGTTCGGAGAGCGCGTTCAGGGAAGGGTTACCATTCGCGACAGCAACGGGGCATCGCGCACGTGGGACGACTTCTCAGTCCGATTTACACGGTTCGGCGAAGCGGTCGAGGATCCAGATACGCTGCCAGATCCCCGCTCACTGAGGGGACCTCCACCGAACGGACAACCACAATACAACATGCCGAGGAAGAAGACGAGCTTGGTTCAACAGGTCGAACAAGTGGTGGAGAAGCACTTGGGCTTCGCAGAGGAGGCAAGCATGGGGGCAGCAACACCGACGACGCCCACAAGGCAAGGTCTCGACACGGACACTACATCGCCCTACTACGCACTCTACCTCCGACGGCTACTATCCGGTATCCCCATGGCCTCCCACGAAACTTTCTCTCACCCGGTCGCCTGCGTAATCGCCATCAGCTCGCGACATCCCGCCCCCATCGAAGCCCTCCGGCAACTCTACAGCGAAACTACCCCCGCCGAGCAGCGAATACCACCGTGGGTAGATGGGGACTTCTTGCGCTACTATGTGCTCGTACACGACGAAGAACGCAGCGACATCACCAAGTCCATGCAGCTGTTTGACCAAATGAAGCGCCACTTTGGCCTACACTGCCACCTACTCCGCATCCGCTCCTCCCAAGCCGCCGAGACCGACGACGACAGCATCCCGCTCCCTCGCTCCGACTGGATGTCCGCCTCCGAAGAGCTCGCCGACATCGAACGGTCCGAACAGCTCCAAGACTCCTTCGATGACGACCCGCACCTCTTCAACCGGTACATCTTCGAGTCCGACGCTACCGCCATCCGCACCTTTATCCGCGAAATGGTTATCCAATCGATCATCCCGACCATGGAGCGCAACGTCTCACTATGGAATGACCAAGTCGCGTCCCGGCGTCGCGGTATCTCTGGGCGCTTCATGTCCTTGTCGAAACGCTTCACAGTCTTTGGCTCCTCTTCTTCCTCCTCGCGCAGCTCCACCAGCAGTTCAAACAACGGTTTCGAGACCCTAGGTTACTACCGCCCCGACACGCCCGAAGCCATCATGCGCCGGCTTGCCGACTTTGCCTTCATGCTGCGCGACTGGAAGCTGGCCATGTCCACCTACGACTTGCTGAGGACCGACTTCCAAAACGACAAAGCGTGGAAATACCACGCTTCAGCCAACGAAATGGCCGCCTTGTCTCTGCTTATCATGCCGCAGACCATGTTCTCCAAGAACCGAGTGGAAATCATTAACCCCATGGTCGAACAGGCTCTCTATTCTTACCACACGCGCTGCTCATCTCTTTACGGAGCCGTTCGGGCCACGCTCCTTTCTTTGGAGCTCCTCCGACTCCGCGGCGGCATCGGGATAGATGAATCCGTCCGCTGGGGCACGCGCCTCCTCGAAATGCGACTCTTTGGTCCCGTCGGCGACGCCTTGCTCCGTGAACGACTCGCAGTCTGCTATGCCTCTAAGCGAGGCACCGGTTCCCAGCTATGGGGCAGCAGGCGACGCAAGTCAGCAATGTGGAGCGTGCTTGCCGCCCAGGCGTGGGTAAGCATGGGCAAGTACTTGCAGGCACAAAAGTGTTTGGCTGATGCAAGGAGGATGTACTCTTTGCTGCCAAGCGAGTGGGGCGTGCAAGGTTTCAACGGAGCCAGCGAGTGTCTGGCAGGGTTGAACGAGGCAGCCAGAGAGGGGTTGAGGGTGACAAGGGAGTACGCCGAGGCATTGGAGGCTGAGGGGGGACATTCTCAGGGCGGTGGTAATAGAGAAGGAGAAGGGGAAGAGGGATTGGGGCTGGGATTGCAGTTCGACGAAAGCAGTAACCTCACGATCCGACCCAAGGCCGACGACCAGACAGCAGCAGCATCTACCGACCACAACAACACGCAGACGGAAGTGGACGTGGACGTGGACGTGGAGCAAAGCGGGTTTAACGGACAGTCATCACAATTACCATCACGACCGCCGCAAATACCCACACCCACCGCGTCTTCCAAGTCCCCAACACCGGAAACAACTCGAGGAGGTGATGAACAACCAGAAGGCTTCGAAGACGCGACTCCCACCAGTGGGCCCAGTAGCGGACATAGTCCCACCCGACCGCGAAAGGCAAGCATGGCCGTTCGAACATCCAGGGTATTATCGTCAGCGGATCTGGAGCCAGCAGCGCCGCTGCCGCCGTTAATTCCCGCGAGGCTGGCGAGCACGAGCGGGAGGGATGAGAATAAGAGTAAAGATGGGAAGGACGGTGGGTTTGGTTAACAAGGGTTTGTTATTTTGTAGAGGTGAATGGGAGACGGACGGGGACAGGCATGGGAAGACACATTAGACGGCAGCAGCAGGCTTGTTTAGCACCAACAAAAAGTATATGAATAGTAATGACGAATGGAATATCTAGAGTAATGAATGGTATGCATCATTGTCTGATTGTAATCATCCAAACGAGGTATCTTTTTCTTCCCACAACTTCCCCTCCTTCCATCTTCCCTTTTCACTTCTTCTCTCCCCCCTTTTTCCCCCTTTCCCCCTCCTCTTCCTGTGTTCCCCCCTCCCCCTTCCCCTACCCTACAGTTTAAAAAGAATGAACCCGTTCCGCAAACCCAACCCACTCCTCCACCCCCCTCACATACGCATCCCCGCCCGCATCCGCCAAATGCTCATGTCCCCAAACCACCACCTCCTCAAACTCCGCTTGGACTTCCATCGCCCCTCCCACTTGCACTTGCACTTCCGGCTCTTGCCCACCACTCCCAGCTTCAGAATCGAGGTCGATGACTTCCGGTTCATCATTCTCCATGACGAAAGACATTTCATGCGCTAGCCTTGGTTTCTGATTTTGGGTTTGTTGCTTAGGGGAGACCTTGGAAGCAACTACACCCTTGTATCCTTCTGGTAGAGGGAGGGTCTTGCCGTGGAGTTTGCGGCCGCGGAAGTAGGCTATTTTGAGATTACCATCTTAGGTGAGGGTGTTAGTTTCAGGGTTACTGGGTACTGGGAAGAAACAGGTAGAGTGGGAGTGAGAAGTACCTTGTTCATGATGAGGGCTCCAAAACGAGTCGGTAGGTTCTACGGACCCGGAGTGGTGGATGCGGCAGGGAAGGAGGTTGGGTGTGGTTTTTGGTGGGGAGTTGGAGGAGGATGTGAAAGCGAGGATGGGTTGTTGGGTCATTCTGATTGGGTGTTTTGTTATTTTGGAGAATTTCACTGAGCTGGGTTTGTTGTTGAATGTTCGGGAAGTTCGTGAGGTGGTTTTTACAGAGTGATGAAGTTGATGGTTGGTGATGAATGAATGAGTGAGACGCGAATGTTGAAGTGGAAAACGCGACGGATGAGGATCAAATGCAGGGGAACGCACGGATCACTTGGTTAAGTGCTTGCGTTTAGTAGCAACAAGGAGATACCCGTGCCCTGAAATGGCCAACCAAGATCGAGCCCGTTAAAATGACTGTGTCCCATGTTTAAACGACTGTCCCTGAACAGGCATCTAAATTCATCGAACTTCGAATTGCCCTTCTTTCTAGACTGAGTTCCTCCTTCTCTTTACATCTTCTACAAACAACAACTTAAAGAATTAACCACATTTTCCATCGCCTTTCCCCTCATCACTGTATAATCTCTACAATCTGTCAATAACCTCATCACAAGCTTCTATAATAGGCCTGTAGAGTTGGTCCGGGTTTCCTTCGGGTGTTCCCAAGAGCATTCGTACCTTTTGGTCATACGGGGCAAAAAGAATCTTCCTGATACGGAAACAAAGCGGTTTCACAGGGCCCAACGACTTTGGGAACTGAACCATCAGGTCTCCAAGCGTATCTTGGGACGACATGTCACCTCTCTTGTTCAAAGCAATATTCTTCAAATTGCCGTTTTCCCATCGATCAAGAAAGCTCTTCCCAGGTATTTGCTCGTCTTTGCCGGAAAATCCATTAGACTACGATTGGCGCGCATATATCCAAAGTAGGACGTAGAAGAACGATTCGAGATTGTGATAGTATATATAATTAACCTTGCGCAATACTTCAATCGCTATAAACGGGAGTATGTTAATTGTTGGTTGTCCGCTCGGGTCCTAGTCGTCCTTCTAAACCTTGGCCGCTATGTTCAGTATGCCCTTGAGGCCATTTGTAATACTGGGGTCCGTTATAATAATATTGTCTGGAGAGATATTGCGGTGCAGAATATTGCGGGTGAAGTAGAGATATCGGTGCGCCTTGATTGCATCTCGCATCGATTCTAGCAGTTGCTTGACTGTACGAAACCTGCTGATAACATGCCCGGCTGGTGGGCTGACGAGGCAGTTATAGATTTTCTCTTCCCATAGGTCTTTGTCCTTGTTTGTCAACGGCGGTAGCTGGATGCCCCAACTCGAGTTGGTATCAACAGGCGTTTGTGAGATGGTGGCGCGCGGGTCGAGGAGGCAAAAGACGGCAGCCCAAATGGCATTGTCGTTGGTATTGTCGTCAACGACAACTCGGACGAGAGGGCGAAATAGGTGAGATTTGCTCTCTTCTTCCCATCTCGCACTTCCAATCGCAGACGCAGTAGTTGCAAATATGGAATGCCATCATAATTACCTTTTTCGTCGGAAATGAGAATTTCACAACCCGCTGAAGAACCGCAAAGCGCCTGTATAAGGTCTGCGATATTTTTTCGATGCGTCTTGTCGGCTTCGTTAGAGTCGCGCAGTTTCTCGCGAACGCTGTCAAGAGTACCGCCGAGCGGATTTTTTGCAATGATCTTCTTCTGTTGCTCTGAAAGGGGCCAGGGATTTCTGATATGGGCGATGGATCCTGGCTTTCTTGGAGAACTGTGCGATAGAAGCCATGATTAGTGTGGTGTTTAGAGCTTTACTGCATATCGTCCAGTCTTCAAGGCCTTGAGGGGACGGAAAGAGGCATAACAGGAAACAAATAAGAGGCTTCTGTCGTGTTCTAAGCCCTTGCCATTGTCCCATGTCGCTTCCGACGGAGGACAGTTTCTCTCTTTATCCCACGTGTTGATGATGATGTGACTCGAGATCTGGAGTGCAACTCACCTTGAGATCGGTCGGGTTCTTGATGTTGAAAACCCCGCGATTTGAACCCTGATGGCCGTGAATCTGAACATGTCGCTAGACTTGGCGCTTGCTTTTCTAAGGAGAGACTGCATCGCGATTCGCGAGTTTGGTGTTCGTTGAATAGCCGAGTCTGTTAGCGGGACTGGGTTCTAACCAACTGTGTACCTTGGGCCTGCGTCAGGGCAGTCAGTATCAGGGTTGACGGTTAGGGTCAGTTGGTGTTAGATCCAGGGTTCAGATACCGGCGAGAGACTTCCGCGTAGGTGTGAATGGTGGTTTGGCCTTGGGAAGACGTCGGGTGGATTCAAGCTTTGGATGTCGTGGTGTTGAATGATGATTCTGGTGACTGGTAGTGAGCGTGAAACATGCACCACTGACGCCAAGTTTAGCAGTTCAGCATGTTAGGCCATGCGAAGTTCGATACATTTGGGTGTTAAGAATGGGACACAGTCATTCTAACGGGTTGAATCGCAGCCTAGTAGGGAGCGTGCTCAACCCCGTCAGCGACGAGAACTGGAGGGAGACACTCAATGATTACATGGTCAAGACCGGTCGCCTTGCTTGTCGCTGCTGCATGACCGTAATTGAAAGAGAAAGGCAGACAAGTTAACAAATAAAGTCATTGTCGTCACACTGCGTGGTCAAAAAACAGCCATGTACAAGTCCACCAACCTCAACGCCTTCGTTCACTTTTCTTCCCCACGACACCACCTCTCAGGCAGTCTTCGCAGTGAAAAAAAAGAGAAAGTCAATCAGAGCTTGACTTGGGCTCAATTTGAGTAGCCAAAAATTATGGCCGGATCCCCTCCGAAGCAGAGATACATGACAGCAGACAACTCTCGCATATGCAGTGCACTGTTCATTGAGCTGCCGCCGCCATACTACGCAGGGATCTTGAGCTCCCGCGCAGTCAGCCTCTCTAAGTCGGCGTGGAGAGAAAAGGGAAAAGAGGAGAGGAAAAGTGAGAGGGGAGAGGGGGGTTATATAGCCTTGGGACTGGCTGGCCCCAGATGCTGGGATGGATTAGGGATGGGCAACGGGAATGGGTTGGGGACGAGAAATCGAGAAATCGAGAAGGAAGAGTTGGGGGAGAGAGGAGAAGAAAGAGTGATTGTTGCCTCTTCTGGGGAGGATTTGGGCAAGTGGTCGGTTGTTGTGAAGAGCTGGAGACTCGGGTTGATGAGGTGCAGTCGAGTGGCTGCAGTGATTTTCATTTCCTCGCCAAATGGCACTTTATGGCAAGCACGACATTTCCTTTGACTTCAGTACTTCCAGTTCCTGCTGATGGATTGAGCAGAACACAGGCAAGTCGGAAGTATGTCCGCTGATGCTTCAGTTCAGTTTGGAAAGGACGACTCGATGGTTAACAGACTCGGAGTGTCTGATCCGGGTTCGCCAGGCAAGTCTGATCATCGAATCTTGGCGGACCGCGCTTCGACACACATGGTGAGGACTCAAGTAAGAGCCTGGCTTGCCCGGTATTGTCCGTACAAGGTCAGCGAGCGGCGTAATCAGTACAGGTCTTGCAAATCTCACAAGGACCAGTATGCCCTACGATCTTCCCTGTCTGATCCATTCAGTTCCAGGGGCATCAGCATACAGAGAATATCTACCACGGAGGTTCCCGTGATCCATTGTCTTTGGGGTTTCGAGTGATTGATAAGTATCGTCAGGTACCTGCCGCATCTGAGAGAGGTCGCTCTTGCGGTTTCAAGTTGCTCATCAGTCCTTCGGCTATGAAAGGCTTGCCGCAACCGCACCTGTAGCGACCAAAGTGGAAGTGACGCGGTCTCCCGCTTCTAAAAGTGCCTTCCGTATTCGCACAAGAAAGATCCTTCAAGTCTGGACTTTGGTTGGAGTCCTCACCGCCAACTTGGAGACTCTCGAGGGGCAAAAGATTGCCGATTCACATCTCTGCCGGACGGCGCTACAAATATTTGGATATCTCAGCACTTTTCAACACTTCACTTGACCATTTCCCATCCTATAGCATCGGCCGTGATAGCCTTGCTCATGCTCCTATACTCGTGATTCTCGTCTTCGGCCTCATCCTTCCGGGCCGACTCAAATTCTCCTATTGCCGTTGGCTGCGCTCCATTGTTGACCTGCCAATTGGACCTGACACTCTTTCGTCCCAACTCTTGCAAACCTGAAAGCCCCCTTTTCTGATATACCTGCGCAGATTCGCGCGTCAGACACAATAGCGCGTCTGCTATTCACTCGGACTTGCGGCCTCCAATCTAGCCCAGACTCCAACCTTTTCTGGTGACTCAGATTAGCTCCCAACGCTTCCTCCTCGATACAAATTCTGCCAACTCCCGATCTCATAGCTTCCCAGGAACAGGATCCCGAAGAGTAGGCGCTTCTCATCAACTTTCTCTCCCCCCTACTTGCACTAACGACCACCGGCCCTCTTCCAGGTACGAGTGGAACCAACCTGAGGCAGTCCACAAGCGCATCTATCCTCAATCGAATCACGAAAAAGCAGAAAGTCTCATGGATCACTTCGCAAGAGGCCTGGAGTTCAGAGAGATACACCCTCTACAACATCTTGCCAACATTCACGAAGGTCTCACGGAGATCATCTACCTGGGCACTGCGCATCTGCGCTACAAGCTAGGTAGCTTGACATGGGGTCCCGCCGTCCAGTTCGCCAAAGACATGGCCCAAACCACGTTCGCTTCCCTCAAAGTTGGCACCTTTCTTCTCGTTGACCAAGTGTCCGACGAGGTTTTTGTGCACGGCGAATCATTCGGCACTGGGCCTGACGAGCTCGGCAACCTCGTCCTCTGCCTCCGCCGCCCTTCCGGATCTGAGGACGAGCGTAAGGCCACCGATCTCCCTGGTGCGGAGCTGGTTGTGAAGGACGACGCGTTCTGGTTGCGACTACTTCTGTTCACCGACATGGGTTTTGCAGAGTCGTACATGCTCGGCGAGTTCGAGTGTGATGATCTGACGTCCTTCTTCCAATTATTCATCTTGAACCGTGAACAGCTGAACAACGGCACGACTTTGTTCTCTGGGTTATTTTCCCACATCGCCGGTCTCGCTCGCCTGGCAAATACCATGGACAATGCTCGTCTGAACATCGTCAGGCATTACGACGTCAGCAACGGCATGTTTGCTGCTTTTCTGTCGCCAGATATGATGTATTCGTGTCCCATCTGGAACCACACGACCAACAGTCGCACCAAACAGGAGGAGAGTCTGGAAAGTGCTCAGATGAGGAAGATCAACTATTTCATTGAAGCAGCCAAAATCAAGCGAACCGACCATGTCCTGGAATTTGGAACCGGCTGGGGCACCATGGCTATTGAAGCCGTGCGCCAGACAGGCTGCCGCGTCACGACTATAACCCTGTCACAGGAGCAAAAGACCTTCGCTGAGAGGAGGATCTGGGCAGCGGGGTTTTCGGACAAGATTGCAGTGCATCTGTTGGACTACCGAATGCTGCCTGACCCGGAGGTCCCCTACGACAAAATCATATCTTGCGAAATGATCGAGGCCGTGGGCGAAAAGTTTCTAGCCACGTTTTTCTCGCGCGTTGACAAGCTGCTGAAGAAAGACGGAGGGATTGCCGTGTTCCAGTGCATCACCATGCCGGAGGGACGACATAAAGGCTATTCGAAGCGTGAAGAGTGAGTCGTCGGTCCCTTGTGGGGTGTATCATCAGCTAACGGCTGTAGCTTCATTAACCACTACATATTCCCTGGAGGATACCTCCCATCGGTCACGCAGTTGATCAACCACATCACGGCCGAGTCCAACGGAACGCTCATTGTCGAAAAGATCAAGAACATCGGCCCACATTATGTCAAGGCGCTGAGGCTGTGGAGGGAGGCCTTTATGGACAAGTTCGACAGCCGGATCGCGCCTGCTTTGATGGAGGATCATCCTGGCATGACGAAGACGGACGTTGAAGTGTTCAAGCGGAAGTGGGAGGTGAGTTATTCTTCCGGTGATTGGAGTTGACGAAGCTGACACATGGCCCAGTACTACTTTTCGTATAGTGAGGCCGGTTTCCTGACCAAGACGTTAGGAGACGTGATTATCACAGTTGGCAGGGAGGGTGCGCTTGAGCTGATGGAGGGTATTCCGTTGTGATCGTTACTGAGGATCGCAGTGCTGATGATTTTACCTCCATTTTCGTGTACAGCAAAGCATTGTGGTAATCATGACCAGTAAGGAAAGGGCGGGTGTTGGTGATCGTTAGAGATGGTTTCGGGCAGCAACATATAGACCGCGGCATGGCATCTTGTGAGTTTTAGGCGTCCGTTTGCTAGTTTCACTCGGATTGTATGCGAAGCAAGAAAACGACGATCGATGTCAAGGACAAGATAGATTTTGCTTTCTGCTGTTTGATCAGTTGCTGATGAGAAGAGCTGAAGAAAGCAGGAATGGGTATACCTACACAAGAGAATCTGGGGATGCAAACATGATATCCAGGTAAAGGCGGATAGGCACCTTAGACCTAATAGACTCCTCCCTCCTTCCATCTCTTCACTTCTTGCCCTTCTTCTTCTTTCCTCCTCCACCACCACCATTACCTCCTTTCTTGGCCTGCCCCTCCTCATACCGATTACTATTCTCCATATCAAAGCCATGCTTCTCCTTTCTAAACAACAACATGGCCACCCTCGCATCCTCCACACTACTATGCTGTCCCTGATGAATCTCGATGCCCAACACCTCCTTGGCCAACACCCGCAAACTTGGCTTCGGCCCATGTCCGTACTTACGAAACCCACTGTACTTGGCCGTATCCCTAATATCCCGATGCGGATGCTCAAACCCCAACACCTCCAAATCATGCTTGACATCATGACCCACCAATATCCGACCTTTCAAAAGGGCAGCCACAGTCGCTTGTACGGACTCAAACGACCTAGCGGACGCCATGTGGCGCTTGGAAATGCCTGATACGTGCGTGCGCCAGTCGGTTACGAAAGCAGTGGGGCGAACGTACGAGTCGTAAATTTGGTGCCCGTGGAAGTCGACGATGGAGCATCGCGCTAGGACACTGGTGACGCCGGAAGGACCGGTGCCGACCATTTCGCAGTCGATGGAGAGGTATTTGCCGAGCGTGTTGGATTTGGTTGCTTGCAGGATTAGAGCGAGGTCGGTGGTGGTGGAGGTGTCGAGTGTGAGACCGTTGGAGAGGGTGAGGGATGAGGGAAGGTCGGTTGGTAAGGGGAGGCCATTTTTGTTGCTTGGGGTGGAAGAGGTGGAAGAAGAAGAAGAAGAAGAAGAAGATTGGCCGGGGAGAGTGAGGCCTGCGTTGGGGATGGCGGGGGGGAGGGTGGAGAGGAGAGGGATGTGTGAAGATGAAGAGGAGGTGCTGCGGAGACCAAGGTTGTATGCTTCGGCGAGGGATTCAGAGGAGATGCCTTGTTCGTCGGCCCAGAGGTGGAGGGAGGGGAGGGTGCTGTTTGGAGAGGAGGAGGTGGTGGGCTTGGATTGGACGTTGCCGCCCATTTTTTCTTCTGTTGGTTTCTGGCTGGGTTGAGACTGGGTTTGGGACTTTTGTCTTTTTGGCTTCTTGGAAGGGTTGGAAATCTGTTGTTGTTGGCTCTCCTCGGCCTTGCGCTTGAGGGTCTCGGAAGAGATGGACTTTTTGGAAATGGCTTGCTTGAAGGCGGCTTCTTGGCTGATGGGAGCTGATTTGGTTGGTTGAGGGGCCTTGAGCTTTTCTTGCAACTTCTTCCAGTTGGAGGAGAGTTCCGGGGCCATGGTTGGTGACAGGAGGGTCTCCTGCCTTGGTGGTTTTGGTGGTGGTGGTGGTGGTGGTGAAGTTCTGAGTGAAGACAGACAAGTGAGGGTGTCACTGTCAATGAGGAGTCACTTGTGGTATGTCCGATTGAGAAATGTCGGCCGAGGTTATGTGAAGTCCAATTGGTGCTGAATTCTTTTTTGGAGTGAGAGAAAGTAAACAAAAGGTTGAGATAAGCGGAAGATTTCCAGAAGGTGATAACTTTTTGTATGAACGTGAAAGTGGATGTTGAACATGGGCCCCACTTTGGTGTTCACTCAAAAATTCAACTGGGGAAATCGGTTCCTGGGCGATTGACAGGGTAGACAAGCCATGCAGGGATCTGCCGCTGTGTCCCATCGCATCCCCGCTGAAATGACGGCCCAAACACGTGGGCTCGCCACTGAAGGACCCCTCCAAAATGTTCGGGAAGCGTCCACTGAAAGAGTCGCTGAACACTCCAAAACACGTCAAGACCGACATTCGCGCGTCACCCGTTAAATTGATCGCATTCAATCGCTCACTGTCCACAACCATCAATTCTTGTTGCAAACCATCGCAGTTTATTGACCGAACCTTATTCAATCGAACACAACAACACCGCCATCATGAGTCCCCCAGGTGGCGATGCCACTGTCGGCTCCGACGAGAAGCGACAGAAGGGCAAGGCGACGCCCGATACCATCAAGTATGTTTCCGTCCCATCATTGTCCACGGCACCCCCCATCGTCGTTGAAGAACCTGGTACTAACACCCCCAAACAGAATGGGATGTATTGCCATGGTAATGAAAGAAGGCCAATTACGACGAGCAGAGATCCTCAGTATCAAGGACACCAAATCCGGCCGGCAATTCTACTGCAACTTTGACAACTTCAACAAGCGTCTCGACGAATGGGTGCCGGCCGCCAGAATCGATTTTGAGCAGGACGTCGAGTGGCCCAACCCGGACAAGGATAAGCAGAAGGACGCCAAGACCAAGAAGAACAACTCGACAGTATCCAAGAAACAGCCGTCCAAGAAGAACAACCAGAAGAAGGCCAGCAAGAGGGAGCAGTCAGTCGCATCGGACGGGCAGACACCACACCCATGGACCGAGTTTGTCGATAGCCAGCCAGGGAAGAATAACAGGCAACGGGGGAAGACGGAAGATGGAACCGACGTCAACGCCAGTTTGGAGGTTGGTGGGGACAAGGGAGTCAAGAGGAAGGCCGACGAGATCGATATGGATGAGGACGAAATACCAGCCGCTAAGAAACAACGCCAACCGTCTTTTTCCAGGGAACAAGAGATTGAGAAGCTGCGAACATCTGGCTCCATGACCCAGAACCCCACGGAAATCTCGCGCATTCGAAACATCTCCAAGGTGGAATTCGGCCGCTACGTCCTCTTCCCGTGGTACTTCTCCCCCTACCCGCAGATCTTTGACCAAGAAGACTGCATCTACATCTGCGAGTTCTGTCTTTCGTACTACGGCGAGTTGAAATCCTTTGTGCGTCACCGACAAAAGTGCACTTTACACCACCCGCCCGGAAACGAAATCTATCGGGACGACTACGTCTCCTTCTTCGAAATCGACGGGCGACGTCAGCGCACCTGGTGTCGCAACCTCTGCTTGCTGTCCAAGATGTTTCTCGACCACAAAACCCTTTACTACGACGTCGACCCGTTCTTGTTCTACGTCATGACCACCCGCGACGACCGGGGGTGCCACATCATCGGGTACTTCTCCAAAGAGAAAGAGTCTACAGACGGGTACAACGTCGCCTGTATCTTGACCCTCCCACAGTACCAACGCAAGGGATACGGTCGCCTGCTCATTCAATTCTCGTACGAACTGTCCAAAATCGAAGGCAAGCTCGGCTCGCCCGAGAAGCCCCTGTCCGATCTGGGTCTGCTGTCATATAGACAGTACTGGTCCGAGAACATTATCGATATCCTGCTCGGGTATAACGAGCGAAAGGAAGCTTGCACGATTGAGAACATTGCTGTGGCCCTAGCCATGACGACGCAGGATGTGGAGCATACGTTGCAGGCGCTCAAGATGCAGGTGTACCACAAGGGCGAGCACAAGATTGTGGTGCCGGAGAAGCTGATCAAGCAGAGGGAGAAGAGCAAGGCGAAGCAAAAGAGGTTGATTGATCCCGAGAGGATCCAGTGGAAGCCGCCGGTCTTCACGGCGCTTAATCGGACGTGGGGGTGGTAGTTGCGCTCGCCTCCCAAATATTAATGATACACCAAGACGACACACTCGTGACACCACCACACAGATTCATGACCCAATAAAAATACGAAACTATCAGCATTGCGCCAACCAAAGAAGATCAATATCTGGATCGACTAGATATTGGAAATCCTGCAGTAGTGTATGGAAACACAGGGAGCATTAAAATGGTAGCAAAGTGCACTTGACTTTGTTGGATTTTTACTATGGTTTCGTTAATTTATTGGGTCATGACTACGTGTGGTGTGTCGTCTTGGTATATCATTTTATATCTGGAGAGCGAGAGTTTCTGCTTGGACGTCTGTGTTATTCTCGTTGTAATAGTCATGAGAACAAGATTGCATGGGTAGCAAGCGGGTTGGTTAGTATGATATGGCGTTGGTTTTTGTTTTGGACGGTACTTGGGGAAAATGGCTTACAGGAGGGGTAAAAAGGTACACCATATGTATCACTATTACGGCCAAAAGCACCAGAATAGTTTGTCATTTCTTCTCAAGTGATTAGGAATATAATTACCAGAATAGCGAAGTAGAGGCTAGTCATAATCTCTACTCATGATCAGCGAAAAAGCCTGTTTGATATAACACAAAATCTTGATGAAAGTTTAGCTCAAGCTCCCCGACTTTACTATTTAGAGCATGGCTGCTTTAGGCGTCATCAAACGTGGGTGTATTCCCCGATCTTACAGACCGCTTTCGCCAACTGAAGCTTGTGAATGGTTATACCGGCTAGTCGTCGGAGATCTCCCGGGCCGTGTTCGGTAGTGAGACCTCCAGACGTCACCTCAGCCCCGTCCAGCCCCACACCTCCGGCCGGCCGGCCCCGCAACCTAGATTCCCCGCAATACGACATCACTCACGACGGCGATCACGACGGACAAATGGGTTGGGCTGATATACATAAACTAAATGGTTTCACCACGGCATGTAAAAATCACCCGCCATATTGATAGCAAAGCTATGGTCCCAAAACCACTACCGACCTTACCCAGATTCCACTCATCCCACCAACAAGTCAACATTCCAACGTCTTCATCACTCACAATCAACATCTACACATCAACAACAGCAACAACAACCACCGCCAACATGCCCCCCTCAACACCCCCCGCCCTCTCCGACCCCGACGTCCCAACCCCTCTCTCCCAACCCGGCGAAAACATGAAGAAACAAATCAACCTCCTCCGCGGCTGGCCCTCCCCCCACCTCCTTCCCCCCTCCCACCTTCTCTCCGCCAGCACCTCGCTCCTCACCTCTCCTCCCCCAGATGAACCACCCTCATCCAAATTTTCTTTCAACGTCCCCGCCCTCCAATACGGTGCCGACCCAGGCTACTTACCCCTCCGACACTCCCTAGCAGCCTGGTTGACGAACAACTATACCGCCCACGAGACGTATCCGTCCCATGGATTTCCCACCTTGACAACGGCAGAGCAGATTTGTATTACAGGCGGGGCGAGCCAGAACTTGGCGAATATTCTGCAGGGGTTCACGGACCCGGCGTATACGAGGGCTGTGTGGGCGGTTAGTCCGTGCTATTTTTTGGCGGTGCCGATTTTTGAGGATGCGGGGTTTGCGGTGGGGAATGGGAAGTTGAAGGGGGTGAGGGAGGATGAAGAGGGAGTGGATTTGGAGGAGTTGGAGAGGGGGATTTTGGAAGTGGAGGGGGGGAGGGAATGGCCGGGGAAGCCGGTGAGTTTTGTCTTCTGTTGTTGATTTAGGGAATGGGAGCAAAGGGTGATAGGGGAGGAAGAAGAGGGATGGAAGGGGATGACAGTGAGGAATGAGGAAGCAAAGAAAGGAATATATGGAGTAAGCGGGAGGAAATCGAGAAAGGGGGAGAGAAACCCTCTTCTCGGATTTCTTGCTCTCACTCTACTGTTCTACCTTGCTTCTCATCCCCAAAACTTTCACTCTCAGTCCGACTTTCACTCCCACCCCTCTCATCACCACCTTTTATACCCCCATTCAGAATCACAACTAACAACCACCCAGGTCTACAAAACCCCCGGCCCCCACCGCAAATGCTATAAACACATCATTTACCTCGTCGCCACCTCCGCCAACCCCTCGGGCATCACCACCTCTCTCGCCCGCCGCCACGCGCTCGTCCAACTCGCCCGCAAATACGACGCCCTCATCATCTCCGACGACGTCTACGACTTTCTCCAATGGCCCGTCCTCCCCTCTTCCTCATCTTCCCCCTCCTCCCCTTCCAACCCCCTCTCCCTACCCACCCCCCTCCCCCGCCTCTCCGACATCGACATCTCCCTCGGCCCCTCCCTCCACGACCTATCTCTCTCCGCACACTACACCCGTTCTTCACCTTCCGATATCCCCAACGAACAAGAGGAAAAAGACATGCAACCCCTCTTCCCCACCCGCACAATCTCCTCCCTCCACTTCGGCCACGCCGTCTCCAACGGCTCCTTTTCTAAACTCCTATCGCCCGGTCTCCGCACAGGCTGGACACACTCCACGCCTGCCTTCGCCTACGGTCTCTCCCAGACGGGAAGCACCCGCTCAGGCGGCGCCCCGTCCCAGTTCTGCGCGGCGCTCATTCACGAACTTATCCAGTCTGGCGCGTTAGATAAGCACTTAAGTGAGGTAGTTCGCCCCGGACTTCAGAAGCGACATGCAGTGATGATGGAAGCAATCAAGCGCGAATTAGTGGGGCCGTTGGGGGTGAGAGTGATTGAGGATAATAGGACTGGTGCCGAGAAGGAAAAAAACAGGGAGGGGTTGTTTGGCGGGTACTTTTTGTGGTTGGAGTTGCCGGAGGAGATGGGGTTCACGGCGAAGGAAGTGGCGGAGCGGGCGCTGGAAGAGGAACGACTGGTGGTTAGTCCGGGGGAGAATGCGGAGGTTAGTGGGGAGGGAGTACATGTAGCGAAGGAAGAAAAAGGGGGGATTAGGTTCCCGAGACATTTGAGGGTGTGTTTTAGTTGGGAGGAGGAGGAGGATTTGGTGGAGGGGGTGCAGAGGCTGGGGAGGGTGTTGAGGAGGATGATGGAGGAGGCGAAGGAGGGGGGGAAGGTAAAGAAGGCCGGGGGGGAGGGGTTGAAGGCGTTTAAGTGAGGGATTGATGGTTTGTTGGGTTGGTTTGGATAGCGTTGATTTGGGAAAGTCAATGAATACTTGAATGTGTTACACATGCGTGTTCTGGTGCAGGTATCGTCCATGCCGTGGTCGTTTACCTCGGAAGGGCGATTCGAATGCCAAGTCAACTTAATTGTGGCAGTTCATGATACTGCCGTGTACATAGACTACAACCTAGTCTGGATTAGTACCCCGATCTCATACTTCAACGCTCACTGGGTCATTCGCCCAGATCACATAACAGAGTGATGCATCCTCCGGTACAGACAGATTTATAGCAGTAAAGTAGATGGAATTGGCCAACCTTTGATCAAGATCTAATGCAATATGGAACAAATTTTGGTCAATCTTGAATAAACTCACCGGTGATTGAAGGAGTAGATTACATAGTTTGTCAGTTCATTAACTAGCCATATTTCTTTTTTTGTTGCTTTGAATGCCTGAACGGAAACGAATTTATCCTTTTACAGATGCAGAAATTGTTCGTGACACTACCAGTCTAACGCCCAGGTAGTTGTACAGACCAGAACGAACATAGCAATGCGGTTGGTTCTCTACTCGGACAATTCGAAACTGCAATAACTGGTAGATGTAAGTTATACGTTTGCATAACTTGCTTGTTCAAAGATATTACTCCATGTCAAAAGAGAAACAAGAACACTTTTTCTTCAGCCTAGCAAAGGAGGAAACAAAAAGTGAAAGCAACAACCATGAGAGCAACCGGTAGTCCCCGCATCATCTTTCTTGTGTTCTACACACTTCGTCAGCAGGCAAGCATCAAAAGCAACATCAACCTTTTCTTCGATAAAAACCCCTTGCCCCCCACAACGTCTACGATACGTTCAACGGCCATCAAGAATGGACCAAGATATATCTCATTGTTTGCTTTCATTTTACTTGTTCGCACACGCGAATTTGCATAGTGTACATGCATGCACTAAGCTAGCTTCCATGTGGATTTAGGTAATCCCCCATCAATACACGACAAAAAGATGAAAGATCAAAGATTTGTCTTTCCCCATCTCAGTTCGTTCACAAAACAAACAAAAAGTCCTGCGTGAATTGTGACATTTTTTGTCGTTCCATTCGTATCGTGTGATCGTATTAACCCTTTGCGCTTCTTGCCGCTCTCCCTTATGCTTGGTAGGGAGTGAAGTGGTGGAAGCCGCTTTTTGAAGCCCGTTCGCTGACTGCAGTGAAGCCTAGATACTGAGCCTCCCTTCTCCTTATGTGTCTCCGTGTTACTGTCACCCTGTTTAGCTATTGTAGCTTGTTCCACCTGCGTTCAAGCCGTGCTTGCTTCTCCTCCTCCACTTTGTTTGTAACTCCCATGTTGACTACTTCCTCATAGAACTTTGGCTCCTCACATGCTTTGGCTGATTCCATAACAAAAAATTCGATCTGTAACCGATCTTGAGCGCAAGTCAAGAACAGTTGGGTACATACCATGCCGACCAACTTCCAGACCGAAATAAAATATGTGCTTACAACGTAACCGTTCTCACTTTGTTGGCCTTCGGTTTCTTGCCGCCCGGACAAGCCAGAGAAACAGACAACTGCCTCGCCAGTTTCCGGATGTTATCCGCCGAAGGTTTCTTCTCCTTCAGACAGGTATCCGAGCTGACCTCATGATCCTCAACCCAGGAATCGACTGTTGGCTCTCGCGATTTCTGCCTTATAAGCAACCGGACCCCGTTCTAGGAAGTCTGAATAGCGGTTGGTGCACTCCTCGACCAGGCACTATCCCTACCCCTGTAGCCACCACCTCGGCCCCTACTCTGCTGGTGCGACCCGTTAGGTCCGGTAGGAGGACCGGTGGGTCCTTGGTCATTGGGTGAAGAAGCGTCTCTACTACTGCCACGACCTCCAGGCATGCCGCGCTGATTGTGAGGTGCCGCGGGATGGCGACCGCCGCGTGATGTACCGCCGCCACGACGAGGGTTGCTGCGAGTCCTGCTGAAAGGAATAGTCACCGCGGTGACGAAGGGCGGGTGCCGGTCAGTCCCGGGGAATGCAATGCGAATGACGCTGCCAATTCCGTTCGAGCTGGTGTCGATGCGGATTGGCTCGGCGCTGGTCGTCAGGGGGAAGAACTTCCGATGGAGAGGCTTGGGTGGCGGTGCGGATGTAGGCGACCAGGCCATCTCCGGAAGCTCAGTAGGAATCCGGACAGTAGGTAAGGAACCCATCTCCTGCTCCTCAAAGCAGTCCTCATCCATGTCCTTCGTTGTAGGAGATGCTTCGGCGATCATAGCGGCGGTAAGCGACACCGTAACAGACGTCTCTGGGTGCTCATAGGCAGCGCGGCTCGTCGAGTCCACTCCCGCAGCTGGCTTCTGCTGTGTTTGAGAAGGCTTACGAGCTCCGAGCAGATTGTCGATCCGAGCTTGCCAGGGACTACCCGGGTTGGGTGCTGGTGAACGCTCCTCGCCCTTGTACGCAACCGTGTTAGCCCACGAGAAGGACGGACCTGGCGGCTTGGGAGCCTCTGGATGTTGTACCTTTGGTTCCTCTCTCGCCTGAGAGGGGGGTGGTAGGCGAACTTGGGGCCTGGGCGTAGGAATGCAGACGTGGGGGTGCTTGACATCGCCGTCGAATGCCGGATGACCCGTCGTCTCCGTATCGGGGGGAGGAGGCGAAGGGGAATGAGGGCGTTGGTATTCCGCAGCAGCGATGGTCTGCTGGCGACTAGGGAAGAACCTAGATGAGGTCCGTGGTGCTGCGCCGGCATTACCGAGCATAGATGTATTCGCGGCCGGGGGTTGTGTCTGCTGAGAAGGCTGAGAGGCAGCCCACGGGTTCTCCTTGCCAACCCGGACGGTTTGTCGGGGACCAGCCTCGATCCTCATGCCGTTCTCGTCAAGCTTGGTGGGACGCCAGACATCCTTGACCACAGGCTGGATGTCTTCAGCCGTGAGCCCCTTTTCAGCCCGGCGACGGTCCTGCTCAGCAAATCTGTCCTTGAGCATGTTCTCGAAGGCCTCGTCATTGAGACGCGCAGCACTGACCCATTGATTCGCCTTGGCCTGTCGTTCGCCTGTAGACAAAGTGCCGCTGGGTGCGTTGGAGTGATTAGGAGGGGCAATGGGTGGCAGCCGAGCGGGAGCACCGTCAGGGAACAGATTGGTCTTGGTGGCCATGGTGGTGGTGTTCCGGCTGGGAGGTGCAATTGGGCCGGGTCCGGGCTTGTTCGAAACCGGAGGAGGTGATGTGCCTAGGTCGGGGTTGAAGGTGCCGTTTCCTAGAGTGCGGTTGTTGGTAGGAGGACCCCAGACGTTCTTGGTTGATGTCTGCGAACCCCAAGTAGTAGCTGTGTACCGCCCTTGTTGTTGTTGTTGTTGTTGTTGTTGTTGTTGTTGTTGTTGTTGTTGCTTAGCACTGCTGCTAGACCAAAGAGGCTGGCGGCTTTCGAGGGGCTCAGAGTCCGGTAGGATTTGTAGAGGCACACCGTTTGGTGGCTGTTCAGCTTTTTCAGGTTGAGTGGTAGGCGGGGTTTTCACCTCGGTCTTCTCGACAGCCTTTTGTTCGTCAGTCGCCGCGCCTGTCTGGGCGGCACCTTCCGTTGTAGAAGCAGGTTGCTCCTTCGCTGCAGCCTTCTTGGCACTGTTGGATTTGGGGGCAGGACCCAGCGCCTGCAACTTGAGCCGGATACGCTCCTCGCGAGCTGCCTTTTCGCGCTCTTCTTCTTCCATGCGCCGTTTCCGAGCAGCCTCTACCTTCTCACGCATCAACCTCTTCTGCAGCTCAATCTCTTGATCCGTAACCAACGGCACTTGTTCCTGGACAGGCGGCGGCGGGCCAACTGGGGGCACCCCAACCATATCGGGACCGTGATGATGTGGTGCCGGTACTGCGTGACTCACGGCTGGGGAAACCCGCGGAGGCCAGCCCTGGTGGTGCGGGTGAAGGGGAGGGTGAGGGTGAGGGTGAGGGTGACGAGGCCCGTGCTGCATGCCAGAAGGCGAGAAGTTCCTCGGTGACCCAGGGCCGTCACTACCGGCCGTCATGGATTCGCGCCTGGCGTTGAGAATTTCGGGGGGTTGCAATGGCTGCTCAAAGCCCTTGGTACGGTTCAAGAAGCCGCTGCTAACGCCACTAACGTTGGACGAGCCGCGCCTACGGCCGTAGGGCACATGTTGGTCGCTAGTCCTATGTGTTTGGAAAGCGGCAGAGGGTTCGGCCGGGCCGTGGTGATCGTTGTGGGCAGGGCGTTGCAAGACAGAAGGCTGTCTGCCGTACTGCGGCTCTGGGCGTATTGATCCACGGCGGTCCTGAACGGGTTCGTAGCGTCCGGAATGTGAATTATATAGCTCTCTGTTTCCACCACCACCTGGCCCGTCTCTCCACGGTCCTCTGCTGAAATCATCCGCGGCGATTTCCTTCGGCCCCGCAGGAGGAAAACCAGCATATTGAGCCGGCCCATCTCTCGGGGGATACCTCGGTGCATGGTGATTCGGCGGCGGCGGTTCAACGACCATGGGAGAAACTTTCTCCACCTTTGGTATCGGTGCCCAGGGTGACTTGACGGGCGCTGGCGGGGGCGGAGGCTTTGCGACGAGGGTAGGCTTTTCGGGGGCACCCTTGAGAATAAGACCCTTTCCAGACCCTAGAACTCCAGGCTTAATGATAGACGCGTGGCCTGGGGCAGGTGATTTCGGTTTCTCCGCAGCCACACTTTCCTTGATGGCTTCGACAGGTTTTGGAACGGGTTCCGGTTCCGGCGCTGGCGCTGGCGCTGGCGTGGGGGGTGCCGGGGGTTGCTCTTCGGTATGTGGGATAGCAATCTTAGTGCCATCCTTCCATGTGATCGTTTCCGGTGCCCAATCTTCGTCGTCGTCGTCAATGTCGGCCCAATTCGCCTGACCCTTGGTGTCTTCGGGTTGGAGACGGCTCGCCATGTGAATTCCATATTTCTTTAGCTCCTCGTCGGTATACTTTTTCGGCTCGGGAGGTGGGACAGCTGCCTGCTAGTTAGCCATCCACAAGTCCGTTTCGTCTGGCATGGATATATGCTCACGTCTGTTCTTGTTCCACACGGCATTTGGATCTGGCGCACTACCCGTTTTGCCATTAGCACCGGTGGCCGATTTGACCGACCCGCTTCCCGTCTTCGCAATGAGCCTGGGCCGCGGTGTCAGACTTCCAGGTGTAGAGCTGAGGGTCGTTGTCGCCGCAGGCTTCTCGGCGACTTTGGCCGGGGCGGCCGGCGTAGTGGCCTTTGTGGTGAGAAATTTTTGGTTGACATTGATGGCCTTGAAGGCAATGGGCTTCTTAACGGTTGACGAACTGCGGGGCTTGTCGTCCTTGCTCTTGGTGGCTTCATTGTCGGATCCTCCGCTAACACTGACTTCGGCCGAGGTTACCACTTCATTCGCGATGTCGGAGATGTGCTTATTCTCGATCTCTTCCGTAGCAGCAGGGGTGGCACTTTCGCCTGTTAGTTGCGACTGGTCGAGTGGAGCATTCTGCGCGTCCGGAGCATCGATCTTGATCGTCTGGTGAGAGGGTGAGCGGGTCAGTGAAGTGAAGCAGTTGTTGAGAGGCGGGGCTTCGGAGAGCGTTGGGCCAAGGTACTCACAGGCTCGGCCTCGGAAGTTACGTGTGTTGCATCATCAGATCGGTCCTTTGCTACCTCAGCGGCCATCATACGCTGTGAGATTTCGGGTAATAGTCGGTACGACGAGGGGGGAGGACTGGAATCGCAAGGGCTCGCGTAATGCGCCGGGGTATCTCGAGATTAAAGAAAGACGTCGTTTGTCGTGTGGGGTAAGTCGGTGGTAGACTGTTTGGGGTGAAGATTCCGTCAGTATTGCTGCTGAATATGTACTGGATGTTGCCGTGGGACAAAAGAGCGCGCGCCGAATATGCGATGCGACTTTTTGCGCAACAAGAGGCCTGACCAGACAGAGCTGAGACGGAGGTGAAAGAAGGGTGCGGGGGGAAGCGAAGGACGGAGGGGAGGGGGGAGGGAGAGAACAGGCAGGCGAGGTTAAGGTGAGGTGAAGTGCAAGAAGGGGCCAGCAAGTTGTAGGCAGGTGTAGGTACGTACCCCTCCTTGATGTCGCTTTGGGGACAGAACTGAATGAAAGCAGGCAGCTGAGTGTCGAGTCTCTAGACTTGGTACTACTGTACAATGTAATGTTGAGCCTCTGAGTTGCCGTGTCGTTGGAGAGGGAACGAAAGGGAAAATGTAGGTAGGTAAGGAGGTGAGGAAGGAAACGCCAACGGAGACGTTGAGGTTGTGTGGTGGCTCGTTGTGAGGGTGAGGTAGGTAGAGTTTCGGTAGGGAGGAGTAACGGGATGCCGTGGGGGGGACTTTTACTCCAGTGAAGGCGATGGAGGTGCAACAAGATGGAAAATGGAAGTGGATCACACCCACTGGCTGACCACGCACTCTGTCTGGTCCCCGTCACTGGGCCACTGGGTAGGTCACTGGGCTGAGACGACTCAGCAGAGGGACTACTGGTGGGTAGGTAGCCGGCAGCGAGGCAGCGATCATCAGCAGTCGGGTTTCAGGTCCCCTCCTCCTGCTGAGTCGTCCTTCTTTTTTTTTTTTTTTTTTTTTTTTTTTTCTCATGTGGCAGGGGACTCGACCAAACAGCACTGACTGCCGTGGCTCTAACGAGAATGAAACAAGCAACTGTTGAGATGAAGTGTCTCTGACTCTACCTCGTTAAACAAACAAACAAAAAAAGAGAAAACTACCTCTAGGTACTTACTCACCTTGGACTTGGGAGGAGATTGATTATTCACAGTCTCGCCGTTTGCTTGGGTTCAGTTCACAAAGCCAGTGACTGGACGAACGAGGGGTGGACTGCGGTTGTCTGTCACAGTGGAAAGTTGAGTGGGTGTGAGGTGCCGTCGAAAGATCACTGCAGAGACGGGGAACTCACTGCCTGTTGTTCAGGTGGCACCCATGCTTCCTTTTTGTTTCCGGCCTAGCGCAGACCCGGCCGGCCACCACCCCCCCCCGCGACCCGCACGCACCAAAAGGGAGCTTGGACCTCCCGCTTTCTCCAGACTGAGGACCACAACACGGCACGGACATTATCAAATGGCAAGGCTACAAAGCAAGAAACCAGGGGTTCTCTTCACATCAACAACAGCCACACCCCTCGACTACAAGTAACGTCCATGCGTCATGCAAAGCTCGTGAGCATGACATATCCGTGAGATATCAGGTTGCCATTGCCATGTCGGTGCGGTGGAGTCAATCTACATGGCTCATGATAATTGTTGAATCCAGTCTTTGGGGTTCTCGCAACCCCTCCTCGAGCTTGTTCAGTTATAAACTACTGGACCGAAACTGACAAACTCAGGACTTCGCAGACTCCCCGGGTATCTTTCATCTGGAAATGCCATGGCATGATCTAGGATGCTGTCTTAGTCTGATTAATTCAAGCCGGCGCCAGCTTCCACGTGGATGATTTTCCGGCTGACTCCCCATACTTCTATCTCCTCATGTCTTCACGTTGGTGGATTCAACTGACGTTGGTGAATTCAACCCCACACCGCTGAATATAATTCGTTTCACATTAAGCCACATTTGGTACCACGTTAAATCATCATCCGCCGTCGGGAGGAACCTTGGGAACCACGGCATTCCATCTATTAGATAGCACTTATGTACACGGCTGATTTCTTTGATTGTTCATCGCCAAGTAGGGAAAAGGGATATCTCATGAACTATGTTCCGCCCGCTTAGTGAGCGTGGTTCTTGTGGTGGCCTTTTTGTCACATGTCAGCATCTGTCCCCTTTTCTCTTCTGATCCATCTTCACAGAGGGCAATGTTGAACTTACGGAGGTGGAAGTAGTAGTTCTGAGCATAACCGACGATCAGAAGACCGACAATGGCGTGAACGATGGCTGTTTTCCTCTGTCAGCATCTTTCCCACTCTCTTTCTCTCTTCCTTCCTGACCCGTCCCCTTCCTCCTTTGGGACCTTTGCCAGGCTTTTTCTCGGACCGGGACAGCATGTAGATGATGGTAGACGTACGCTTAGCCGAAGGGTTCTTGCCAAAGTGCTTGGCCTGGTACTTGCCCCAGAAGCCCTGGGGCTTGATCTCGGGAGCGGGGCCGCGGGGAAGCTTCTCGTAGAACGAGACGACGCGCTTCATGACGACAGCATCGGGGGCAGCGCCAATGGCCTGGATTTGGGGGGTTGTCGAGTTAGCCACTGGACCTCCTCGTTCTGTAAATCGCCGCCAATCGCATCATCCTGCTCCTTCACATTCCCTCCCTTGCTGTCGATCCGGTCTTCCTGCTCGTGTTGCTTTGATTCTAGTCCTCTCCATTTCGTTGTTGTCGTGTCCGTATGATCCGAGCCGGGATTTTGGCTGTGTCCGCATTGTTGTCGCACTTCCCCATCATGTCTCGTCCATTGCCGGATTTCCCAATCTTCCTTGCTCTTTCTCTCTCCCCCATCACTGCCCATCGCAGCAGTTGTCGCATTCGGCGCTGCCCAATCCATCTCGTCTATCGTCTCTTGTCTCGTCGGAATCGCAGGTTCATCAAAATCGAACGTACCTTGGGAGAGGCGACCTAGCACACACACAGCTTCTGTCAGCAACCAACCTCCCCACTTTTCACCCAGCTCCTACAAACAACACAACTCACCTTGGGGGGGATAAGGGTAGAGAGCGCACGGCGGGTGACGAAGCTCATTTTGGCGGTCGGGGGGTGGTTCAGCACTTGCACAGGTGTTGTTCCGGGTTTGGCGATGTTGTCACGGATTTGAGCTGTTAAAACGCAAGGACCTTCTCTTTTGGCGAACTTGAACCGGGCTGCCGTCTCTGCTGGGTGCGTGCACGGGCCCTCAGCGTCTGCCACTGGCACTGTCTGGGAAACACAGAGGGGACTGCAGTGAGTCTCTTCGGCAGGAAAGGTTCTTGCGCGGTTGTTTCCGGCTAGCCAATTGGAGGGGAGATGGTGGGGGTTGGGCTTGGCATTGACGGACAGCTTCGACTTCTGAGAGAGCCTCAGCAACACTCCAGCGTCAACCCGCGACGACACAGCAACAGCAGTAAAGCCAAGGTGGTCAGTGCTTAGGTCTCCCCGACTTCCCTACCTACCTCTCGGTTGCTTGACTGGGATATCGTCAGTTCCGAGTCCGTCACAATCAATCAATCAATTGCGGCTCCTCTTTTCGCGGTGGGAATTGGACGACAAGCTCCCTCCCCGAATCCACCGTGTACTCCTCTTCCGACTCCATCGATACCGACGCTCGGTATAGTTGATAAATCCCACGATATGTCTGCGCTACGAATCACCACCGCCTCGGCGGCGCGCATGTTGCGCACTTCGAATGCCGTGATGCCTTCTGTCATGGGTGCTGCTCAGCGTCGAGCACTCAGCGACTCTGCCGAACCCGCCCGCGTGCCCTCTGTCGAGTCCGCCCGCGTACCCGAGAAGCTTGCAAAGGAGGACTCGCCTCTGGCCACGCCCAAGCGGAACTCGCCCGATTACAATGTTCCCATTGACAAAGCCACTTCGTATGCGCTGCCCCGGTCTTCACCATAATGAATGACACCAAATACTACACCATATATCTTTTATCAAACAAGCATACAATGCAAGACCGAAAATGGAGGACCAACCCACCACCATGGCTGCATATTCTTCAGACGAAACCATAATGTAGCTTTGGGTCCATAAGCTGACAATATGGCTTGAAATGCAGCACCTGGACCCCAGTCCCCAAACACATCCAGAATGGTTCCGAGGAAGGCATCCTCCCAGCCGCCGTCGTCTCGGGCGCTCCCATGGAATTGCAAGCCCGCACTGTTCGGTATGCCATCTTTCCACTCCCCCTTAACCACAGTTCTCCTTCCGTACATATAACACAGGCTAACCAAGCACCAGCATCTTCCTCCCCTCCAAACCCGCCACCCAATCCTCCAACAGCCGCGTCCTCTGGCGCATGGACTGGGACGTGCTCGAAAAGGGCCACCGCTGGGAAAACGAGCTGATGGGCTGGCAATCGTCGGGCGACTTTGTGCAGGGCACGCACCTGACCTTCCGCACCAAGGAGGAGGCCATTCAGTTTGCCGAGAAGCAAGGGTACGAGTACTTTGTGCAGGAGCCGAACCAGCGCCACTTTACGCCCAAGGCGTACGCCAACAACTTTTTGTATAGCCCCAAGAAGTTGAAGATTGTCAGGACCAAGTAGATGTCCTGGCAGAGGAAGGGTTGGTTGGTGTTCTACGGAAAGGGAGGGGAACGTTGAGAGAGAGGGTACAGGAAAAGAGGGATCAACTGGACCTCTGTGAAGAATTGCTACAGGTACCGACCAACCAACAACAACAACAAAGAAGAAAGAGGGAAGAACGGAAACCTCTCTGAGACAGACAGTCTTCGATAAATATGGGAACCACGGAACCATAAGAGAGAAATGAAACCTAGAGCAAGCACTTCGTTTTTGCAACATGATATATTCTTTTCCTTCATACCTCTGTTGTGCTCTCTTTATGCGTGGGGATAAGTTTTGAAAATGATTTGGATCAAAAAGGGGCAAGTGAATGATTTTTTTTTGAAGGTCCAAGTGTAGGTCCAGGAACAGGATTGACTATGATTGCTCTCTGTGTTGGAGTGGAACAGACTTCTTCAAGAGACCAAAGTTAACATGATAGCTAAAGCAGATGTTGGTAGTACAGAGCGAAACCAGGTCATCAAGAGAGCACGGAGATCCAGAAGACACGAGCAGACTATTGGCGCGTGAAACTGCAGGATAAAAAAGGGGTGGTCAACACGCTGGAAGCATGAGACTCTAGAGTTGGAAGCGCTGTACTTTGTGTTCGTTAGGGATCTAGGTGTAGACAGTCTCTAGTCATGTGCCGTAAAGAGTACTCCGGACATCATCAGTTATGTAATAGCAACACATCAACACATCAGCTGGGACAGCAAGACACAGAATCACAACACCGGAATAACAACAAAAGTTGACCGTCAAAACATTATTGTATTGTGTCAATAGGCACCAAGTGCTACAACCCCCTCTTCGGATGATAATAATAGTGCGATGAACCAATCGCTGGCAATACTTTCTGCCTCAATAACAACCCAAGGCGTCGTGTTCTACCGCCTGTCCTAACGCCTTCAGCATGCTTCAACCCGTTGAACCTCCAATTATAAGAATAAAACTCCAGTCCTGTAAAGAAAAAAAAGCCCGAAAAGCAAAAAGCAAACCCCAAACCTAAAGGCACATCAAGGCTTAAGTCGTGACCATGGGGTCATGCCCATTATCATCCCCGTTGAGACCAAGCTCGATACGGTCAGGAAGGTTTCTCTTCTTGGACCGACACGATGCCTCGGCCCATGCACGCATGCGAACAAGTTGACGGATGGCAGCTTCACGCCGCTCCGTGTGTCGTTGCAGGACTACCTCGTTCACTTGAGCTGCCGTGTTACGGCGCAGGTCAGAGTGGAGGAGCGCGGCCAGGTCGGGTTGGAGCTTATCAGCCGGGAAGATGAGCAAGGCCATTGTTTTCTCGAGCTCCTTCAGGAACTGCTCGTTGGAGGCAGCACGGGGAGCAAGCTTCTCTTGGGCAAAGTTGATGGCTGCCGAGGGATCATATCCTCTGGCGTTGCGGATGAGCTCAATAAGCTGCAACCGAAGCAGGGAAAAGTGCAGGTGAGGATCACTGTCCAGAATCTAAGCAACTTTGTTAGTCAAGGTCCGACAGCAGTTGGATATGCGTGACAGAAAAGTTGATGTATGGTTGAGGAATCATAAAGAAGTGGTTGGTTCTCATCAAAGAGCCCGAAGGCTAGCCCAAAGGTCGACCCGAAAGCCAACCCAAAGGTTCACCGGAAGGCTTATGCGTGGTGCATGATTGAAACTCGTGTTCTAATCATCTCAAAGGAGGGAGTGTAAAGAGTAGAGGGGTGAACCTACACCAGGGTCGAGTTCATTCAGGTCAGAGATGGCCTTCTGGATGTCGCCAACATGGATGGCGTGCTGGATCTGCTGACGAGCATTGATGGTAGGGTCTTCCTGCCTGGGCTTCAAGTTTGCCTCTTTCTGGAACTTTTCGGCGGCCTTGGGATATCCCTCCATCATCAGGTAGTCGAGGATCAAAGCATTGATGTCACTGTCATGCTGTTAGCCATTGTCCAATGCCAAGCAATGTGTGTAATGGTGGCTTTGATGAAAAGGCAAAAGAATACAGCAATGTTCAGGGTTTTTCGAGATTAGATGCAGAGTTTCTCCTCATGGATATCAGAGAGATTCCCATTAAATGCGATCATCATGTTGCTGGGTGCAGTGCGGGGGAGGCGAGAGAAGGATGAAGCTTACCTCTTTGGCGACTTGACGTCGGCCACCCTCGTTTCAAAAGCATGTTTGGAGGGAGTTGCAGTCGAAGTTGAGGAAGTCTGGGATTGTACGCGGCGGTGAAGGTCCATTATTGGTGATGGCCGATGGCGTTCGATGGTGGTGATGGTAGGGCGAGATGCCAAAAGAGGCTCAAACCAGCCGGCCCGTGGGAGCAATGAAGCAGACGGGTATCGACGACGGAGAGTGGATGAGCCAGAACGCTGCTAATCAAACTGCCGCATCGGTTTTCTTTCACGTGTGCCAGCACACTGGTGAAGTCACCGAATGCCGCACGCGCGAGCGGTGGAGGGGGGGGTGGGTAGACCGAAACCGGAAGCCCGGCTGTGGTTAGAAGAGATAGAATCAAGAAAAGAAGAAACCTGGGATGACGCAGATTTTCGGCGTAGAAATAGTTTTTTCGCAGATGGGGGGTGGACGTGAAGAAATTGCGGATATCGACGTGGAGTTGGAGCCGAGTGGGAGCAGACGGCAGAATTGAACCAACGGAAAAGGCCAAGGTTTGTTCGGAAGCAAATGCGGCCCGTGCTCAATCGTGTTCGAGCTTCCCTTTCAAGTTCTGACCAGTTTGGCGGGGCAACACGCATTGTGCCCCGACCCACAGATGTAAACAGACCGTGTTCGATTGTGAGAATATACGAAATCGCTGCATCGAGCTGAGCTGAGCATCTACCTGCTTGCCCTAGCCTTTGAAGGAGGAGTTCGCGATGACACAGGCGGATTCGTTATCCAACATACACAGTCACTTACATTATCACGCCGTTGAGACAGCTTTGGTGAATGCCGGTGTCGGGACCAACGGGCTTGTGCCGGCACGGCAGAACGCCTACTTACCCCGCACACCTAAGCATTGGGGAAGGCGCCACTACACGATACAAGTAGCGAGACTAGTACGTAAGTAAACAAACAGAGCATCACGAGATGGAAGGAGCGCAAGGCTATGGAAAGGCCGACACAGCCACATAGGGAAGGAGGGCATCCACAAATGGAAAGCCCGTAAAGAGGTAGTTGACAGGCGGGTTGGCCACGAGAATTCGTGAATGCCGTGAATCCCGTCTCGCCAGGCTTTGAGAGCAGTCTGCTCCTCTCCAGACTTCACATACTACTTCTTCAGCTAGTCAATTGGTTACAGACCCTCTTTGCTTTCACCTGGAGCTTCATCTGGTCACTGCCCTTATTGTTATAGGAAGTTAGTGGGCACGAGAGTCCAAGTACTTCTGTAGCCTTCGCTGCCACACATGACGGGACCAAAATCCGCGGAGACAGCGCAGCTCTGCGAAGCATGCAGCCGAATTGACTTTGTTTCCATCTTTACAAGTCACCGTCTTCCCGTTGACCCAGCCCAGACTCCAACATGCAACTGTTTTGCAGCACTCAATGCCCGGGGGAGGCATGGCTGGCCTACCTCCGGCGACCCAACAGCGACGACAACAACGTGTGCCTTTTGCGCTTTCTACCTCGAGTGTCAGATCCGCTCAGAAGATATTAGGGAGCTGAGAGGCGAGGATCGAATGGGCGTCTGTCTAAAGTGGTTTCACTCCTTGCAAGGCTTTCGACTGCGACATGTCGATGAAGGGAAGAAAGACTCACCTTCAAGAGATTATGTGCACGATGTTGTGGCATTGCAAATCGTCGGGGTCCGGTGGCCTGCGCGGTTCGATACTCAGAGCAATGGACATGCGATTTTGCGTCTTGTCGACCATGACCACTCGTCTTCTTCGATGACGACAATGCTGACAAGAGCTAAAGAAACGGGTGGTGGGCTACTGGCTAGAAAAATCATTCCCGACAAGGTTAACTACCGCCTCATTAGAGAGTGGCTGCAACTTTGCCGGTCCAGACATGTATGGTGTGACTCCCGCGAGGCCAATGAGGGTGGTGTAGTAGGAACAGGCCAAATCCCTGGGTTCCAAATCATTGACTGCACCACGGGAAACATTGTGTCCTTTGCCTCCCTTACCGGTAGTACCTCCAGTGGAGAGCAGTCACAGACACCACCAAAATACGTCACGCTCAGTTATGTCTGGGGCCAAGGTCCCTTTGAAGGGCCAGTCAAGATCAAGCACCCTTCTGGCTCTCAACAACAACTGTCCCTGCCAGCCTCCCTACCGCTAACCATCAGTGACACGATCCACGTCGTCCAACGCCTCGGGTACAGATACCTCTGGATCGACAGGTATTGCATCCCTCAGGACGACCTGCCAGCCAAGCAGATCCAGATCGAGAACATGGGCCGCATCTACTCCCGCTCCGTGTTGACCATCATTGCCGCAGCTGGCGAGGGACCCGACTATGGGCTGCCGGGGGTTAGCGAGCGTCGGAGGGCCGAACAGTTTACTGTTCAAGTTGGTGCTGCTGCAGAAGGGAAAGGGATTTCCCTGGCGTTATACGAAAGGCCGAAAGCCGCCATCATGAACTCAAAGTGGCATACCCGCGGCTGGACGTACCAGGAGGGACTCCTGTCCAGGCGGAGGCTGGTGTTTACGGACCAGATGGCGTACTTTCAGTGTTATGAGATGCATGGGGACGAGGTCTTGTCGTTGCCGATTCCTGATGGCCTCAGCGGTGGGCATGTCTCTGATGTCAAGGACAAGGACAAGTATGACGAGATCCGCTGCCTCTCCCTGAATGACGAAGAGTCAAACTTTGGTTTCATCTTCCCCCGTCGAATAACGGATTGGTCCAATCCTGACACCGTCTGGGATCGAATTAAGGATTTTTGCCAGAGACAGCTTTCGTTTGATGCCGACACGCTCGATGCTGTTGCTGGTATCTTTGGGATGTACACAGCGGAAAAGTCGAACATGCACAAAGGGGACGGGATCTCCTTCTTCTACGGCATCCCCATTGCTCCTTTCCAGCCAGAGTTGAATGAACCAAACAAGCAAAGGCTGTGGACTTGTGAGTTGCGGACTTTTTGGGAAACATATGAGAACGTGGCCCCGGGAAGCATAGACCCGAACCCAAAACTGCCCCTGAAAATGGAGGTGGATGTAACGACTAGTCTCACCTACAAACTAGTTGAAAGCCTCCTCTGGACCAATTCCTGGCACCACTTCCGCAAATCCGACAGCGATCCTTCACAGCTACTGCAACAGCGGTCACAGTTCCGGAGGCCGGTATTTCCCAGCTGGACGTGGGCGGGCTGGAAGACGTGCATAGTCGAGCGCGACAGATTGTTTTCCAAAATGTTCGATAGTCGCACCAAGATTCATGTAGAGTACGAGGTTGAAGCTGGCCCAAGTCTCGCACACGCACCGAACGCAACGAAATGGAGGCAACTAGACTGGGAGCAAGACAACAAAGAGATCCTAGAGCTGGCACGAAATGCCGCTTATAAAATCCCGGCACGTTTGGTTATCAGGGGAACCGTGCTGGATATGAGGCTCAAGTGGCGCGATGGCGAGGAGAACAACGACGCTTGGTGGAGGAAGTTTGGGGAGTGGACGGTTACGTGGCCGCAGTTTATGGAAGGGAAGGGAATTGGCTTTCCGAGGGGATTGTTGGAGGATGCGGAACATGGAGGCCGTATTGGCAAGGGAGAAGAGGTACAGGCTCTCGCTCTAATATTAGCAGGACGGGCCTATTCGGGGGAGCCGAACGGATCTCTGTCGGCATTGTTGTTGAGACCCGTCACAAGGATGTTGAGTGGACGACCGGAAACGATGTATGAACGCGTACACAAGATGGATTTGCATGTGAAAAGGGAGGAGTATAAAGCTGAGTGGACACCGCTGGCTGGGTTGCTAAGGGAGATGGAGGTGAGATTGTGCTGACCATTCTACAACTAACCGACGCCGTGGCGGGGTACCGGATATCAACCAGCGAGTTCATGGCTGTATCATCCGAGTTGATGGACTCCTCCAGCCACTGTTGGAAATGTTGAAGCGGTTCAAAATCTCCAGGCCAACTCCCAAGGCTAAGCAGCTTCGGCGTACGAAACATGCCCGCGGCCAGGATGACCTCTCGTCTTACCGTCAGGACATTTATATGCAGCTGCATCTCGTCGCATCGTCCTGCTGCTGCTCTGAATAGGGCATCGCATTTCCTTCCCAATGTCTGAAATTTAACGGAAAAAACACGAGATGCTGTGTGTGGTTGCGGGCTCCTCCCGTGAGTGGGATGGTGTAAGTCGGATTTTGCAACCTTATCTCCGGCAGCAAGCCTGTGATCTCTTCTTTTGCACTCATCTCACTGAGCTCTCTTCCCCGTCATTTGTTTGGACTTCCGTACTCCTAAAGATCTATATTGCCCATACATGAAAATCTCCTTACGTTCTAGGACGTATCACTCTGCATCTGCTTGACCTCATCAAGTTGAACCTCTCAAGCATCCCTACATAATTTTCCCACCTACCTTTACCTAGGAAACGTTTAGCCATGCCTCGTTCCGGAAAGATAATTGTCTTGATCACCGGTATGGGAGACCATTTGGCTACCTCGAGTGAATAACGAGACTAACCACCAGGACAGGCGCAAACCAAGGCATCGGCTATGAGACAGCCAAGAATCTGGTCCACTCCTCAGCCGACTACCATGTCATTCTCGGCAGCCGCGACATCAGCAAAGGTAAGGCGGCAGTTCAGGCGCTACTACAAGCTGAAGTCGGCACCGGCGTAAAGGCAACGAAGGGTACCGCCTACTCGGTACCTCTAGACGTGGCGGACGAAGCGTCCATCGCAGCCGCAGTCGAGCATGTGGCAGCCGACTTCGGCAGGCTCGACGTATTGGTGAACAACGCAGGCATCATCTCGACAACCAGCCCGCCCACGGCCCAGACGCTCCGGCGGGTCCTCGAGACCAACGTGGTCGGCGCACTGGCTGTGACTGAGGCGTTTCTCGACTTGCTGCGCATGGCTTCGGAACACAGGCCGCCGCGTTTGGTGTTTGTCAGTTCGAGCATGGGATCCATCACCCACGCGGCGGACGCGACGTCTCCGTACTACCACCCGCACGGCACCGAGTATCGCACCAGTAAGGCGGCGTTGAATATGCTTATGACTATGGTCAGTCTTCCTCCATTCCTAGGCAACTAAGGTTCCAGTGACGGGTGATTAACTTTTCCCTATCGTCTCGCGTAGTACTCTGCTAGACTCAAGCCGGAAGGAATCCTCGTCATTGGTGCGGATCCCGGGCTCTGCGCTACCAACTTTACGGGTGATGCTGCGTCGCTGAGGAATAGAGGGGCGGCGGAACCGGCTGATGGGGGAAACCGAGTGGCAGCGGTCGTAAAGGGTGAGAAGGACGCTGATGCTGGAAAGGTCGTTGGTGTGTACGGGGTTAGTCCGTGGTAGAATCGGTCTATAAGCATCGGCCAGCTCAGCTCCGTCGTGGGACTGCACGGTAAGGACAACCTGCATCGGATCGGGTTGGATTCACTGATGGCCATCGGCGTTGCGTTGCTGGTTGAAGCTCCGTAGGGCAGCTAGAATAATAGATTGATGCCAGCTTATAGGTAGTGAAATGGAGATAAATCATCACATACGACCATACCCACTGGAAAACTCGGGATCCCGTCCGCTCTCCCATAGATAAGCCAGTGAGGGCCAGACTAGTAGTTGGGTCGGTGACGACCAGCGAATCCCTGGTGTTGTATGTTCTTTTGCTTTTTTCCATTTTCTCCTCTTCTGCTCCGTATGTCTTTTGGTTATGTACTTTGTGATTTGTTGCCAGTCCGTTCTGCTCCTCTCTCTTTTGCCGTAGACATGTTTGTATTGTCGTGTCGAGTGAGAATATGTCCTAACCCTAACCCCAAAGTGGTGCGCACTTGCACGTGTCGCAACGAGGCCTTCCCATGTGGCGCATATTGACGAATCACTGTCGCCTCCTTGAGATTGGATGGATGTCAAGCCACAGCAAGGTTGCATGCGGCACGAGGGTGATTGGTTGATAAGCAGCAGGTGGACAAGAGGGGACAGCCTTGTCTTGGGGTGACATCGGGCGGCATGTCCAGCTTCTTTGACATCGTGGGGTCCTTGGTCCAGTGCCAGTGGGTTGGGAGGGGTCACGGTGGATGGCAGCAGTCCAGAACGTTGGGTCACAAAAACATTTGCATTTTTTTAGGATGCCCTTGGGTGGTGTGTGTCGTGTGAGGGTTTTTGGAGTGTGAACGAACTGAAAAGCAGCCGCCAAGTGGTGTCGCGTGTTTCGTCCGGACTCGACTCGTGGATCGTGCACCTGCATTTTGTTCTCAAAAAAAGGTCTAGAAGCACACCCCCTTCATCATCTTCATCATCAACAACAACCTACCAGTCCAAGGTTTACTTTTCCCTCCAGTCGTCATCCTGCTCTTTTTCCCTTTTGGATAAGACCTGCAGTGACCGCATTTTCTCATCCAGGAACCCGCCTCCTTTTCCGCCTTGCATCAGTCCGTCGGATCTCTTCGAACCGGCGACCCAAGTGGAACTCTTTCCTTTCAAAGGACCCTGAACTCCCAAGAGAAAGGCAACCAATGATGTTGATAGGGTGACACTAGACGATAACACAACACATCATCATCATCAACCAAACCCCTTGGAGATATAAAACCCACCTATCTATACATCGCTACATTCCTACCTTATCTAAACACTATACAATCTATACAACCTGCACTACATCTCCCACCGAAACATCGATATTCCTGTACGGTATCAACCAACCAACTAACCAACCAACTCAACGCCCCTGAGGGAAACACAACATATCCGTCCTCCCGTTCCCGCTGCCGTTGCCGAATCTCGGGTACTATCTACTTGTACCTGTCGCATCCCTACTCTGCAACATCTCTTTCAGGTACCCAACCAATCAACAAATTCACCAACCATGCGCGGCGACACCCCCCGCGACCTCGTCGACAGCCTCACAGACGGCATCAAGGGTCTCGACGTGCGCGTGGTCGAGAACCCCGACAGCACCATTGCCAAGCGGGCGCACTATGCGCCTCCGTGGGCCGATGTCAGCATCATCGGTATCGCTGGTAGTTCGGGGTCGGGCAAGTCGACGCTGTCGCAGGCGATTGTGAAGAAGCTGAACCTGCCGTGGGTGGTGATTTTGTCCATCGACTCGTTCTACAAGAGCTTGGATGCCGAGTCGAGCAGGAAGGCGTTTATGAATGAGTATGATTTTGATTCGCCCGAGGTAAGTCTGTCTTTAAGGAAGGGTTGTAGTCTTGAAGATATGTCCTAAAACAGTGAAAAATGTCTAGGCACTGGATTTTGATGTCCTGGTAGATCGGTTGCAGGATCTCAAGGCTGGGTAAGTTTTTGAGCAATGTTGAGTGAGGAAGTAAAGTGAAAGTGGGCTCATTGTATCTGTCTATGCAGCAAGCGTGCAGAGATTCCGGTCTACTCGTTTGAGAAACATGCTCGCCTCGACCGGACTACCGCCATTTACTCGCCACACGTCCTCATTCTTGAGGGTATCTTTGCTCTCTACGATCCTAGAGTTCTTGAACTGCTGGATATGAAGGTACGTCTCCTTACAACTTGGCCAGGTGTAGTCAAGACATGCTAACTATTTCACTACAGATCTTCTGTGAGGCTGATGCCGACACTTGCCTTTCCCGAAGAAGTGGGTTTCCCGTCGACACTTGGTGGCCGATCGTTCATGTTCTGACAGAGTACCCCAGTTTTGCGTGATGTGAAGGATCGTGGTCGCGACGTTGATGGCATCATCAAGCAATGGTTCAACTATGTCAAGCCCAACTTTGAAAAGGTGAGCCTTTGAATCCCCCCTTTCGCAAAGAACCTCACTAACATATGCCCAGTTCGTCGACCCCCAAAGAAAGGTGGCCGACATTATCGTCCCCCGCGGTGTCGAGAACCACGTGGCTATGAGTAAGTCTAGGCCATTTTCAAACCCCTATTTGCGTCGGTCATACTAACACCCGCCACGCTTATAGCCATGGTAACTCAATTCATCCAACAAAAACTTCTCGAAAAGTCCAAACGCCACCGCGCCGCCCTGACCCGTTTGGAATCGCAAGCGCGCCACCAGCCCTTATCCAACAAGGTCGTCCAGCTCGACCAAACCCCGCAGCTGCGCGGCATGAACACGCTCATCCACGACATCGACACGTCCAAGGAGGACTTTATCTTTTACTTCAACCGCTTCACCACCCTGCTGATCGAAAAGGCCATGGATAACATCCCCTTTGCGTCCACCACCATCACGACCCCGCTCAACCGCGAATACGCCGGTCTCCGACCGCGAGGCCAAGTCTCGGCCGTGGTCGTCCTGCGCGGCGGCGCCGCTCTAGAGGCCGGACTGAAACGGGTGCTGCCCGACTGCAAGACGGGCCGGGTCCTGATCCAGAGTAATATGCGTACGGGCGAGCCGGAACTGCATTACCTGGCGCTGCCCAAGGACATTGACCAGCACGAGGCGGTGTTGCTGCTGGATGCGCAGATGAGCAGTGGCGGATCGGCGCTGATGGCGGTGCAGGTCCTGGTGGATCATGGTGTCAAGATGGACCGGATTGTGCTGGCGACGTATAGCGCGGGCAGGTTGGGGCTGCATAGGCTGACGACGGTGTTTCCGGAGGTGACGGTGGTGGTGGGGAATGTGATTCAGGATGTGGAGGAGAGGTGGGTGGAAAAGAGGTATTTCAGGTGTTAAAAGAAGAAGAAGAAGAAGAAGAGATGGTGATGGTCATTGATAGAAGTTGTTTGCATAGTTTTCTTTGGTGTGTGGTTTACATACTAGGTGTTGTTGTTGTAGCATGGATCTGGCGTATATGGAATGGATGGAGTCTAGCAGGCTGTTCTGTTAAGGTTGATGATCTTGGTAGTGTAGTGGATATGACAGCGAGATCATCCTCATGCTTTTACACTACGATGAACCTTCCTCTATGATTACTTCGGAAACTTTCGGAAAATGGTATGGAAGACGGACCAGGTGTTGGTTCCCTTGTGGTGGTCAACTCTGTCACCCGTTGACCCTACCCCTGATATCTGGAATATTCTGATCTCAACCCTAACCCGTTTGACATTGGACGAACTCGAAGCAGGTTCGGGACCGCCGGTATCGGGACACAACCCAATGCTGGTTAGTCTGTTAGCTCGGTACTCTTCAGCTGATAGACTATACGAGAGCTATCCCGGATTTGTCCGAGCCCCAGGAGGACGAAACGAGATAGCTGCCCTGGGTACGATTCAGTGGGCTATTAATAAAGAAAGTTCAATATGTATAGTACCCTGAATCTCGGCAAGAGCATACTCAAGGTAGGATCACACTTTAATTATGGACTGTTTGATATAAAACACCCAAGGAAGTTGACTCGAGGTCTTGAGCTAACAAGCACACCAGTCTTGGACTAAGCTCAATGCAGGGTGCACTTTCAGGGCAGTGACGGGGAGTGACAGGGGCATAACAGGGCACAACAGGGGCGTCCCGCTGTTAGTTGGGCCCCCACCTAGTCAGATCATCACTACTCGGAACGGACAATCAAGCGGAATGCGACGAAGATAAGACAAGACCCGACGTCAGTTCCTGAAAGAAATTCCCCGAATAAAACATACAAACGGGCTGACTTCCATGTGAACAAGCTGTTCAATTCCTTGACTTCTTTCTTTTCCCTCAAAGCTGACTGAGCCTTCTTCCTTTGCTGGCTGCACTAACATTAAACACTACACTGACCTAACACCAAGCGCCCGGACCTTATCACACACTGCCTTGGCTATTGACGTCATACCAAAGCAGCACAGCAGCAACAGCAGCAAAAAGTAAACAACAGCAGACAACCGACAGCAACACACCGTAGCCAACTGAACTCCCATACTGCAAAACAATGCTGCGCACATATCGAGTTGCGCGGGCTTCTGGCCTTCCTACAGCTCCTCGAACTTTGACTTTAACCTCGACGACAGCAACGCGACACTTGTTCACCCTACCAAAGAGTCTACAATTACGCCGTCCTGAGAAGCTCTCCCTCATCAGCCAACGCCAATTGTCAGGCAGACCACTACCGCGAACCCAGTCACGACTTCTCAACTTTGGCTATCGCACCGCTGCTTGGTTTGGCAGCTCCATCGCATTTGTCGGCCTCAGCTTCGTCGCCTTCTTCCTCTACGATGCCTCGACCTACAGCTCCCACGCGACAAATCAGGGCGACATTACTGTCCCCAAGCTCGCCCTAAACCCTCGTCGCGGCGGTCCCAAGAACCTACCCATCCTCGAGATCTTCCTCGACGACGACGACAGCGAAGAGAAAAAGAAACACAAGGAGAAACCCCGACTGGTCATCTTGGGTGGTGGCTGGGGCAGTGTTGCTCTGCTCAAGGAGCTCAACCCCGATGACTACCATGTCACTGTCGTCTCCCCGGCCAACTACTTCCTCTTCACGCCCATGCTGCCCTCGGCCACCGTGGGGACCCTCGAGCTCAAGTCCTTGGTAGAGCCCATCCGCAACATCATCGACCGAGTCAAGGGCCACTATATCCGTGCCGCCGCCGAAGATGTCGACTTCTCCTCCCGCCTGGTCGAGGTATCTCAAAAGGACCCCCGTGGCAACGAAGTGCGCTTCTACGTTCCCTACGACAAGCTCGTCATTGCCGTCGGCTCCACCACCAACCCTCACGGCGTCAAGGGTCTGGAGAACTGCCACTTCCTCAAAGACATCAACGACGCCCGCCAGATCCGCAACAAGATTATCCAAAACCTCGAGCTCTCCTGCCTGCCCACCACCTCGGACGAGGAGCGCAAGCGTCTGTTGTCCTTTGTCGTCTGCGGCGGCGGTCCCACCGGTGTTGAGTTCGCCGCCGAGCTCTTCGACCTTCTCAACGAGGACCTGACCCTCCACTTCCCGCGTCTCCTGCGCAACGAGATCTCCGTCCACCTCATCCAGTCCCGCGACCACATTCTCAACACGTACGATGAAGCCGTCTCCAAGTATGCCGAGGACCGCTTCTCGCGCGACCAAGTCGACGTACTAGTCAACTCTCGCGTAGCCGAAGTCCGCCCCGAGTCCATCCTCTTCACACAGCTAGGCCCCGACGGCAAGACCACCGTGACCAAGGAGCTCCCCATGGGCTTCTGCCTCTGGTCGACGGGCGTCTCGCAAGCCGAGTTCTGCAAGCGCATCTCGCGCCAACTCGGTCCCGCCCAAACGAACCGACACGCCCTCGAGACCGACACGCACCTGCGTCTCAACGGCACACCTCTGGGCGACGTGTACGCCATTGGCGACTGCTCCACGATCCAGAACAACGTCGCCGACCACATCATCACCTTCCTCCGCAACCTCGCCTGGAAGCACGGCAAGGACCCGGAAAGCCTCGAGCTGCACTTCTCTGACTGGCGCGACGTCGCGCAGCAGATCAAGAAGCGCTTCCCGCAAGCCACGGCCCACTTGAAGCGACTCGACAAGCTGTTTGAGGAATACGATAAGGACCAGAACGGTACCCTCGACTTTGGCGAGCTGCGCGAGCTGCTGAAGCAGATCGATAGCAAGCTCACCTCCCTCCCCGCCACCGCGCAGCGCGCCCACCAGCAAGGGCAGTACCTAGCGCACAAGTTCAACAAGCTTGCGCGCGCGGCGCCGGGGCTGTCGGCGAATGAGATTCACGAGGGCGATCTGGATGCGGCTGTGTACAAGGCGTTTGAGTACAGGCATTTGGGCAGTTTGGCGTATATTGGCAACAGCGCCGTGTTTGATTGGGGAGATGGATGGAACTTTTCCGGAGGGCTGTGGGCCGTTTATGCGTGGAGGAGCATTTACTTTACGCAGAGCGTGAGTTTGCGGACGAGGGTTCTTATGGCCATGGACTGGGGCAAGAGAGCGTTGTTTGGACGCGGTAAGTCTTGATCCAAGGCGATACGAAACAGTTTGAAAATGTTGCTAACGAAGTGAATGCAGACTTGATGAGCTACTAAAGCCGACTACTATTGATCCCTTTTGCTGTTTTCGGCACAATAAGAAAAGCAAGGACGTTTGGAGCTAAGCGGGAAAGCGAGCGTTTTCGTTTTTGGTGGCGGTTGTTGTTGTTTCTCGGGCTGTTACCTACATTCATACATTCATCTCACCTCACCTCGACCTCTTAACGAAAGTCATGATCCTTTTTTTGATTATTCATTGCGGTTCGGTTTTCTAGACGTGGGAATTGGTTGAGAGGCAGTAGTTGTTACCAAAAGCAAGTTTTAAAATTATATAGATTTCAATTAATTAATATCTTGCCACTTACTGTCTTTGTTCAATAAGAGCAATATCTCCCCCAAAGTGGTTACAGGGTTACCTGACAAGAGTAATACGATGATGCCTCGAGATAACTTGATACTTAACAAGCTGTTTCATGCATTCAAACCTATCATGACTCATCCAAACAATCACTCCTCCAAACAACATAGATACAACTTGATATTAATCCGTTTCTTACATTGATTCTTCCTCAAGTCCCCTTCAATCAATCACATCACTCTTAACAGCCCACTTCAATTCAAGTCAACTACCATGTATCATTTTCTCTATCTCCACCATACTTTTGCCCTCAAAAGTCTACACAACTTGATTTCAACTCCCATTAACCCCCCAAACCTCCCCCCACCGCCTACCACTCAACCTCAACGGGCCATCCAACCTCCCAAACCTCGCCTCCAGCCCACTGCTCGCCTCAGGCAAACACACCCACTCCCTTACGCAATCGGGGACTTCCTCCTTAATGTGACTAATGCAAATCAAGGCCTGCTCGTCCGTCAACCCATGCACCTTGACTTTACCTGCCTTGGCTTGCTCGCTATCTACCACTTCCACAGGAGCTACCGATAGACCCGCCTTCTTGGTCGTAGGAGTAGAGGCGGTAGAAGAAGCAAAAGTCTTGTTCTCTCCGTGCATCAAAAAAAGCATGCATTTGTCGCGGACGGCATCGTCCATCCCGCTAAAGGCCTCGTCGAGGACGACGATATCGGGGTTTTTGACAATAGCGCGCAAAAAGAGAAGTAAGCGCTGAGAAGAAAAGGGTAATTCGCCGAATTGGTAATCTTTTGCCCACTTCAGATTTGCTTCGTCGTCGTCTGCCTGAGCCAATTCGACGGGAGTGTGGTGCGAACGTTTGGCAAAGGATGGGTTAAGTTCGTGTGCGAACCAGGATAGAGTGGCGTCTACTTTTTCTGTTGCTTCAGGGGTAAGTTTGGGGACGGAGGAAAAAGTGTCGGCCCATGCGGATTCAAGAACGGAGCGGACGGTTAGCCGGCGAGGCATGTACTGGTGGATTTCGGGACTGGAGTGGCCGACGCGCGATTGGATGTCCCAGAAAGTTAAGGGGCGTTGACCGGATCCGGGTTCGGGCAAGCGGGACCGCCCAAAGAGTTTGATGGGGAGGGAGTAAGTCTGTGGATGGTCGGAGCAGAGTAGCGAGACGATGGTGGTTTTGCCGCTGCCGTTGGGACCGAAGACGCCCCACCGGGAGCCGCGGCGGACGGTCCAGTGGAGGCCCGAAGGCCAGTTGCCGAGAACAGTCTTGGAGCCGTAGCGGACGGTGACGCCGGACATTTCAACTAGAGGTTCTTTTTCTGCTTCCTCTTTTTCGGTCTTGGGAACAGGGGCGGAGTCGATGATGGGTGCTTGGTTGGTTGGGGAGCGGGTAAGTGCCTCGGCTAGTCCCTCCCCTTTGATACCATCCTTCGTCAAGGTGCGGCCGATGTCGATGAGAGCATGAACAGGCATTGTTTCGTCTTCAGAAAGTCCGCCCTTCCATACTCCGCGCACGTAGGCCCTCAAACCATCCAATACGGTCCCACGCTCGCCCATCGCGCCCACCTGGCTGTCTGTCCGCAGATACACCAGGTGCGTGATCCACTCCGGCAAGGGATCCTGTGGTCTTGCGGCCAACACCAACCGCGGACTCTTCTTCTCCGCTAGACTTTGCAGCAAGGGACTCAAGCCCGCGACCGTAGCCGGGTCCAGTCCCATGAAGGGTTCATCCAGCAATAAGACCTCCGGGTCTTTGAAGAGTGCTCGCGCGATCCTGGCCCTGCGGCCCTGTCCGTTGGAAAGAAACGAGACGGGGAGGTCGAGAAGGGTGTCCAGCCGCAAATCAACAACCACCCGTTCAAACAACTTCTCGTCCACCTTGTAATCCCCCGGCATCGAAGTCGGGTTAAGTTCCGTGTTGCCCAACAACCAATCCTTCACCGAAAAATCCGTCTGTTCCCTGTGACTTTCGTACCGCGCAGAAATGTAACTGGACGCCGCTGCCCCTAGACCCCCGGACGTGGAAGTGGCGTCGAACCCGACATACTGAATCGCTTTGGCTGGGTTTCCTCTCAGCCGGGCGGGGACGTCTTCGGTTGAGAGGTAGGGAAAGGAGCGAGCGGTGGGCGGGAAGCAGAGGTATTGGCCGCGGAGGAGTTGCAGGAAGCTGGTCTTTCCGGATTGGGAGGGGCCGAGGATGGCCCAGTTGTGCGGAGACGAAGGATGGGAGGGGATATCGAGAGTGAGGTTGGAGAAGAGTGGTGGGTTGGGGTGGCCGTGGCCGTGGCCGTGGGAGGAAGGTTGGTGCCGGTAAAAAGTGCCGTTGGTGATGCGTATTATGGGGGGACGGACAGTGGTCCCGGGTGGTGGGAAGCGCATTTTGAAGTAGGTGTTATTTGGGGAAGTAAAACTTGGATGTGCCGGACATCTCAAGTGACCATCTCAGATGAAGTCGGAGGGAATGTATAAATGAAGAGTGACTGTGACATGACATGGTACTTGAAGAGGTTGATACATACGTAGAAGTCGGGTGTAAGAAGCGACTTCGGAGTTAATTACATAATACGCCAATACCCTGTAATGACAATGACAATGACAAGTGACGGGGACACCGGGGAGCCTGGCAGACACCCCACTACCTACCTAGCGTCTGTCTGGGGTACGTACCGCCGCCGCCGTCCAGTGACAACAGCCCTGCCGCCCGCCTGCGACAACAGCGGCTGGGCAGTGAACGCGGAAGCTGCTTGGAGCCTTGACTTGGAGCTTCCCTTGCACTTCCATCTTCCATCTTCCATTCCTCAACAACGTCAAACGACCACAACTTCAAGCAACACGCGAACAATATTTTCTTGCGATACCCAAAGTAAAATCCAGCGATCAAGATACCATCGCAGTCGCGCAACGAAAACAATTCTGACATCCTGCGAACAAACAATCAATACGTAATCAACACCGCCGCCTAGCTTCATCAACCGCAAACCGTCAAGATGGTAAGCTATCACCACCCATTTGCCCCTCCATCATCACCTCCTCCTCACCCTACCTCCCCTTCCTCCATTTCCCCAGTTCCCTTCCTCCATCCCCTAATTATTTCCCCCCTTCTACCTCTAAACCATACTAACACCCGTGTCAAAGTCCCTCCGCATCGTCCCCGCCGACTCCCACTCCTCAACCTTCACCCACCTCCGCTCCATCGCCGCCCCCTCCGCTCCCGGGTTGCACGACACCCTCCGCTCAGGCCTAGCTCCCCACCCTCTCGACTCCGTCAAGTCTTCCTCCTCTTCTTCCTCTTCTGCTGGTACCGCATCCGTAGTCCCCATCTCCTCGCACCCGCTCGAATCGCGCCTCAAGCAATGGGAAGCCACGCGCGAGACCTTGCGCATGGAGACTTTGCGCCGCACATTCGGCATGGCCGAGCCGATTAGACGCCAAATGGAGCTCAAGATTGTGCGAGACGGCGAGTGGAAGCCCTTGGCTTTGGGCGGGGGTGTGGGCATGATGGGCGGCATGGGCAATGTACATGAGGAGATCTTGATGGGACGGGATGGGGATATCACGTGGGAGGATGTGTACACGGGAGAGGAGAGTAGGGCCGAGGTGAGCGTGCATGAGGAGATGGAGAGGAAGTTGAGGATTTCGGCCTAAGGCTTTGATGATATACGGGGTGGTTGGTGTCTGATGGGATATAATGGACGTGTGATGGCAAGTTGGGGAATGAGTTGAAAGTTCCTTACAACTGCCCAGCCCAGGAGATACTTTGAAATCAGCAATACGGCTATTAGACATGAACCACCCCTTTGGTGCTCGCACACAGGCACGCTGTTCGGGAGTACATACATCGGATGTCGGGCATACGGCATCGCACTAGAAGCTGGGGTTCGGGGCCATCTGTCATCGTTTTCCTCACCAAGCTACACAAGCAGTCATGGACAATAGAGCGAACGTCAAAGAGATTCTCATCATTCAATATTTCCCAACGCCCAGTAAACTCGTAATATGTACATGACCACCATACTCATCTCTCCGAGGTCGGTCATCGTATCCATACGCTCTGCCCGCGAGCTCCAATCCCTCATCCATGTGGTTCGGGAGGAGCCCCTCATGGCCCCAGTATTCACATCAGCCACCAATCATCGCCGCACCTCTATCCCATTCTCCCAAAGAAAAAAGAAAAAAAGGTTCCTCCAGCTCTCTCCCACCAATACGCTAGTCAAGCACAGACAACAACAACTCCCGCTGAGTGGGCAATAACTGCTCTCCACACACACCCAATGAAAACATAAACAAGAAAGGAGCGTTGTATACAAGACGCCATTCCCGGTACAGCCCCGTCTGTAAGCAAAGCCATGGAAAAACATATCCGACGAACAACAGGTGAGTGAGCGAAACGAAGAAGGAAGGGAAAGTGAAAACAGAAACATTCCGCCCAAGCCTTCCTACAACAAGAATACATGAAATACATGAAATAGCCAAATATAGCTCTTTAAACAATAACGGCCACCAACCGGCCTCTTATCTGAAATGCAATAGTGACAAGTAAGGGTTCGCTTGTGGATGTAGGACAAATCGTCCTCACCACAAGTGCATTCGTAGGGTACTGAACAAGGGTCCAGCTAGACTGACATCAGGTGCCGGATCTTTGTCGCTTCAAAGGGGCCAAAGACTCGTTCGTCGAGTCGACGCTGGGTCCACTGCTGTTCAGATTGATTTGTCGATATTCAATCGGTATCGGTAGCGACATCAACCGAACCCAATCTGATATCACTCTGATGTTGATATAAAGACGCTTCGAAACAGCGAGCCGGCAAAGGACGAGATAAGCAGAGAGCATGTTGTGTCCATCCCTCATAGAATAACACAACACCCACCTCCTCCTTCTCTCCTCGATCCTTCTCGCCCGCCTGCGGTCTTGCCGCCTTTGGCGCCTTCGCCGTCTTCTTCCATCATCTCGGCTGGTCGAACCGACATGTGGACGACGTTGGGGGTGTCGGGGGAGAATTTGTATTCTGTTTTTGAAGGTTTGTTAGCATATTTCAATCATAATTGATTTATCAAATTCTCCCGCAATTATTGCCGCAAACCAATCTATCCCTTTCCATCTCCATTATATCTCCAGGGTCACTTTTCGACACTGGCATTCCCTTTTCCCTTCCCTTATCTATTCCGACCATCACAGAGATCCCCACCCCCCGTCCCCATCCTCGTCTCCCTCCACTTTCTCCCCTCCATCCCTTACCATCATTCTCTCCAACGAAAAAGAAAAGGAAATCGGGCAAAACTCACTCTTCAAACTCTCTTTATCATCCAACAACTTCCCAAAGTGAATCAACCGAATGCTAGTCGGACTCGCCGGCTTCCCCTCCCACTCCTCCCTCCACTCCCTCAGTATCAACTCCTTGACCTTATACACGGAGATGCTGAACGGATCCGGCTGGCCCGTCCCCGCCACGGTCTCAGGGATGTCGACACCCCGTTTGGACAGATACTTTTCGTCGATCTTGTATGGGTGTCGGGCTCCCGTGGGTAGGAGGAGGGTGATGTTGCAGACTGGGGCTTCGGTACTACTGGGTCCCGACGCTGACTGAGATGCTTGAGATATCGAGTCGGGATCGTTGACGGCTTGTGGTTGGGATTCTGGGGGGGAAACTGGGTCGGTTTCGTCCATGACATCTTGCAATGTGACGGGCACGGCGCCGGTGACTGTGGGTATTGATGGTTCGCCTTCCTTGTTGTTCTGGGCATGGGACGGTGAGCCTGTTGTTGCGGTTGTTGCGGAGGCGGTGGCTGGTTGGTTGTTAACATGTTCCATCTGGATTACGCCGCCTGTTGCTGGTGTCGCTTGTTGCTGTTGTTGTTGAAGCGCATCGTCGGTCTCTGGGCGTTTACCGAGGCGTTTTGATTCGGTTGTGTCGGCCATATTGAATGTTTAGTGTAGGTCTGTCGAAAACGATGCCCGGTTTGAAATGAAGTTGATCGTATTCAAATGATTGTTTTGCTAGTAGTTTGGCGGTTGTGGTTTGGAGTGCGTCCCCCCCTGGATGGCACAGGCGCTTCTCCGGAAAATCGATCGAAATTAAAGAGGGTGTGGCTTGCTTCTGTGATGTAGCGTCGACGCGGGTCCGTCAAAAAAAGAACGTTGTTGCTATCAGGTGCTGATAAAACTGAAGTGTGGTTGTGACTAGAGTAAAATTGCAAAATGCAATGTATCGATGGATGCTGGCTTCGCTTCGGTCCTTATTCAGATTGCCGGGAAGTCAGGTCAGGTCAGGTCAGGTCAGGGTGAAGGGAAGTGTGATGGAGTGCAGTTGTGGTGGTCGTTGGATGTCCGGAAGCGGCTTCCTTGGTAACTAAGTCGGTGGGTCTCGAGTTCCCTGAGTGGAAAGTGATCGCTGCCGTGGATTGAGACGAAGTGGGTGCTTGTGGTGGTTGATTGCGCACACCCGATTGAATGGACCTTTTGTTCCTTTTCTCCTTCTCTCGGTGGAATGAATCAATGAAGGAAGAAAAAGCAAAGATGGAGGGATGGATGACTCGATGGAGTGGGAAAGAGAAAATAGGTAACAAAACAGCGATGATGGATTGGGTCTTGCGATCTGGGATGATCAATAGAGGTAACTACTGCGATGAGCGGTGACCGCTTCGTGAGTGGTTGACTCGAATATGGGCTGGGTTCTAAGAAGGGAGGGAAAAAAAAAAAAAAAGGGTTGGTGTAATGTGTAATGGTTTACGTCCGTGGTTTGGGACAAGATAACGACAACGATGTCGTACAGTAGCAGAGTTTAATTCTGATGCAAGTCAAGTAAGCAATGTACCTGACCGAGCGACTGCAAAATGCGATGCGGCCAAGTTGTTGGTGCGGGCTATCGTGCGCGCTGCGAATGCGGTGCGGGTGGGAGAGATGATGTCTGAGCGGGTACGAAAAGACAAAAGTCGAAATCGAGAACGGGGTGGACGGGTCAGGCGGGAGGGAGGTTCGCTTTTGTGTGAGCTGCTGGTTGCCCACCTCACTAACCTGGAGTTTGTGGAGGTGGATATCGAATACCGGTGAGGTTGTATTGATGAAACCCAAGGTTAATGACGACGTCTCTGTCTTCTTTCTTTCCGCAGCGTAGACAACGGGACGTCAAGGGTTCCCGCTCTCCGGATGTCTCCGGTCTATGTATTGGACGGTTGAGGCAAAAGCTACATTTATGTTCCGATGCTGAATTCAGACGATGGGCCGCCCGGTTCTGATTTCTGGATGAGCGCATGCGTCTGGCCAAAGCTGAGGCTCGGAGCCGGGGCGGCTGGCCAAGATCGGGGATGACCCTGGATGGGGGAGATCAGAAGCGATTGCTAGTGTAGCGTAGATGTGATGTTGATTGATTGAGTTGATGTAATTACCAGTGCTCGAGTCCTCCAAGACGTCAAACTATGGTAGTGTAGACTTCCCAATACCCGAAGTCAATGGCCCGAAATCGGAATGAAAAGCCCCGATGAAATCGTGCGGCCCGAGTCCGTACCTAGCGTCCGGTCTCGAGCCGGTCTATCCGCCGCGGCAAAGCATGTTGGAGGTCAGGGACGTCTGGTGTTTTTTTTCCTCTTTTGTGATGACGAACAATCTCGATGGGCGCAATGGCACCAATTCGGGAGGTCGGGGACTGGACGTGGGTTGGGTGGCCCATCGTAGATTATTTTGATTGGTTGATGCTGTGACTGCAAGGTCCACACCTGATCGGCAAACCCCCGCACAGTTAGTTAGGCCATCATGATTGTGGAGTTCATGATGCATCGTTGCCAAGTGATTTTCGTCTCGTTTCTACATAAATCACGAATCACGCTTCTTTTCGGGAAGACACTCCTTCGTCAGAACTGCAGAAAGCGAAGGTAATGGCTGAATACTTGGCAAATCAACTTGACTCGCGCTCAAATTTCATGATTGTACGTCAAGAGGAACCGACGAGTGTCTGTCACAGAAGAACCAGTAAGGGAAGTCGGAAGAGATGGCCGAGTTACCACAAACTCACTCAATGTCTTCATGTTTACATCTCGAAAGAAAGTATTGCCTCGGAATGCCGAATATGAATGTGTGTCATCAACCTATATCACCGCAACCAAATTACGCCCACGGAACCTCCTCAATCAATCGCTTTGAAGAGACGTGGAAGAGCTATGGGTTTGAGTCTCTGCCAACTAGAAAGGTCAATCTGTTCTGCTGGAAGTATATATTAAGCACTCAATAAACGTCCTCCAATCCAGGTTAACCCCATCTACGACCGACCGTTTGGGCTCGAGACACTCGGCAATTTTGTTCTCAAAGACCAGGGGACAGCCCTTCCGAAACGCGTCTTGGAACCCGACCACGTTCCTGGGGTTTACCCATCTTCTTGGTCGTTGTTGGACTGGATCTGGGCAGTATCATTGTCTTGAAACATTACGGTGCTTCCTACTCCACGGGGATTTCAGTGACTGACTGACCACTACTCTAGTATACGATACCAACAGAGGATAGACTCGCCTCTACCTTGTAAGAGATAACATCACACAGGTAGTCTTGATGGGATGCTCAATGTCAAGTTCGCATCTACAGCCACAGAATCTTCCAGCTGCCGGCCGGAGAGTGGCCTCTGAGAGCTGGTAACACCGTCACTCGCGAGTCAATTTGTGTCTGTACCTCATATTGGGTGAACTTTAGGTCACACTGAGGAGGAGCTAGGAATGTCGGGCATGGAGGCTGGTGTTTGATCTTCTATCTGGTTGATGCCTGCTTGCAAAAATTGAGTCCTACAGATTCGACGGGACTCCTCCAAGTCCCCGTCATATCGTGATATGATGCGGACAGACGGTTCATCAAGCGTCATTTCGGCAAGAAATCATGCCAGTGACGTTGAGACGGAAGCACCAAAGATGGCTACAGTCCACGAGCTCCCGTGTGCACCATTGGAATCCACGAATGCCTGACACCACCGAGGTCAAAATCGTGACCATGGCCACTCTTGTCTTCCAGATCTCGTTTGTGAGTTTGACCTACGAGGAACGTCCAGCTCAACGGGCCTTCCCAGACATCCGATGAAATATGGCAGAGGCACTGTGGTGGTTACCAACAGGTTGTCACCATCATGATGTCCTTACTGAGGTCAAGGTCAAAGGTGCGGCAGGCGATGGTGAATGGCGTATATCTTGTCGTGCCTGCCGTCCTAGTCATACAAACAACTTGAAGCGTGGGGCAATCTGGACCTTGGAGCGTTCCTTCCTTTTTAACACTCGACTCCTGGTTGATGTGTAGTGCAGCCAGTCCTCAAGGTTCCCTCACTTGGACTTCTCCTTCCCGCCTTCGGCCTCCTCAACCTGGCCCTTTTTTCCTCCACAAACTCGCAATAATTTCGAAACCAAATCCACAAATCAAACCAACACATTAAACCCTCCAGAACACGAACATTCTTACCCGCGCAGTCTACCTACATTGTAGTACAGCTTCCATGTGAGTTGCAATTATTATTGTTTTTTTTTATGGTTTCTCCGGCTTGATTGGAGAGAGCAGCGTCCCCTACAATACCCTTGAATACCCAAATTCTCGTCAATCTTGGCGGCGACATCAAGCTCCCCTCACCTTGTCGTTTCACGATGCAAACAGATCCCCCACCCAAACACCACGGTGACACGGCCCTGAGCTGTGTGTGTCGCGCAGAGCAGTCCTTTGATATTAGACGTGTACCAGCACGTCCAAGGAATCAGTGATGCTGTAGCACTCCGGCTGTCCCCTGCCATGCTGCCACCCGTTGCCGTGTTCCTGAATCTGACTTTGCAATTTCCTGTTCTGTCATGGATCCACGATTCCATAGGGTCGCGTCAAGTCCTTCTTTTCTTCCTTTTTGAGACTACTACGCCTCTCACCTCACCTTCCTTCTTTCTACCTTCTCCTCTTACGGCACTCCAACCTGACACTCGTTTCACCAGCAGCAGTCCACTCCATTTTCTTGACTTTACAACCTTTTGGTATCAACAGCCAACATGTTCTTCAAGAAGTCTACTGCTGCGGCCGCGGCTGCGTTTGCTGGAGTTGTCGTCGCTATCATTGACGGAGGCGCCTGCGCTCAGAATCAAGTCAACGGTCTCCGTGAGCGCGACGATGGAGACTGGACCACCGTATCGCTCACCACTACCGTTTACGGCACCACGACCCAGACCGTCCAGTTGACTGCCGCTGAGGTGACCAGTACCTCTTGCTTGACCACCACCTATGAGACTACTTTCAGCCCTGTCGAGACCGAGACTGGTTCCCCCGTTGAAGGCACGTACACGTCCATTGCCAGTCCTGGGGGTGTCACTACCGAGACGTCTACCAGCGTGGCTTACGCCACAGAGACCTCCACCATCGACACGTCCAGCAGTGAGACTTCCACCAGCGAAGCTCCCACTACCACCGATGTCACCATTATCGTCCCGGCCTCGACTGTTATTGCCAACACTACCACTGACTTGGTCACCTCTCATTTCACGGTCACTGTCAAGAGCGGCACCCTCACTTCCACCATCTGGGCTACTGCTTCCGAAACCATCAGCGTTACCATTCCCAGCAGTGGTTTCCCTCTGCCGAGCTACAACTCCACGGCTACAACTGTGGCCAGAACCACGTACACCAACACGACCACTGTTGTACCTGCCACCAGCTTCTTGTCATCCTACACCTATCTTTCCTCCGGCACTCCTGCCTCGGTCGGGTTTACCACTACTGGCTACGGCAGCCCTTATGCATCTGCCACCATCACTGCTGGCGCTTCCGTCATGGAGGCCGGCAGTCTACTCGGTCTCTTTGGTTTCTTGATGGCTCTGTTGGCATAGAGTGGCGTCTTTCCTACCTCTTGAACATTCCTTTTGGGGGAGCCATGGATAGTATCACAAGGGTAAGATCTCTTCTTTACGGCCTTAGGGACATGAGCTGACCGGTGTTCTAGGTTATGACATCTTCCGTATCTTATGGCCAAGCTTGGCTTACTCCACGGGTGTTGGTATTGCCATGTGAGGTCTGGTGATTTGGTTGGCATGACTGCTATGATTTCATTTGGAGGCCATGTTAGTGACATGGTCGGATAGTTTTTCTCTTCTTCCACTCCTTTGTCTCAATTTTTCAAAAGATTTTCATGACTGTTATGATGTGGATGCATCAGAGTATAATCGGTAATGACTTGTGGTATCTCTGCAAGGCGGTGCGCATGAGATGCTGGAGACAAATGATCTCGGGGGTCCTTGGGCAGGCTGATGATGAGTGGACAAAAGGGCACTGCATGTACAATAAGCCCTAGTGTGTTCGAGTCAAAGCAGTAACTCGACATGATTTCCATCCTCTTATTGTTTCGTGAGGCTTTTTACTTGTTAGCCGATTCCACTTCCAAGTATCCATGTTCCTGAACGGGGATGTAGCCCAATGTTCCATATTTCCTTTCATCATAACATACGGGTATCTCAACTTGACTCATTACATTCTCCCCGAGTCTTATCCAACTCCATCCCCCATTTCCCTTTTGCGTTCCCATCAATCATCCCATTATCATTAATTTTCCACTTTTCATCTTTTTGTGACACCCCAATTCCCCCTTTCAAATCCTCAACACCACCCCCGAGGCTTCTTTAGACATATGACCTGGATCCCATACCTCCACCCCCTCTACCCTTCCGCCACCTGATCCAGCCCACCACCAACAAAACCACAAGCACGGCGAACGCCAAGAACTGGAACACCTCATCCGCAAGTCCTTTCTTGCAGCTCGACTGCAGCCGGCTCCAAGCCGTCTCCGCACTCGGGTCCCCGTACAGAATGCCATAGTACCAGTCCCCCTTGTACTTGCGTTTGCCTTGATTCAAGAGATTGTTGTCAAGAATCTTCTTGGCCTTAGTGGGATCGGTGCAGGAGAAACCGCGGGTTTCGACTGCCCAGGCCTGTTTTATGTTGTTAGTATCAGAACAAACAAAATGGAGGGAGGGAGGGAGGACAAAAAAGAAATTGGATAAAAAGAGGACGTACAATACCACCAGCCAACAACACCAAAGCACCAATAGCATCGGCGCCTAGTACCGCGATATCTGGGAAAGAACTAAGAAAGAGGGCGGCGATGCCCAGAAAGCCTTCGAGAATGGCGTAGACGCCGGTAAAGACGGAGTATTGCGTGGTGGTCGCTGCGGAACCGACTTTTTGGGCGGTGATGAATTGGGCGGAGAGGCCGACGATGACGGCGCCGAAGAGGATCTGGTTGTTTGCGGAGAGAAAGGTGTTAGCTGGTTTGGCAGTTTAGATAAGGGGAAGGCTGAATACCTAGGTAGATATAAGTGTAGAGTAGGTAGGGTGTGGAGAGAGGAAGAAAGAAGTGATGAGTGTACGGTAGGGTAGTAAACATACCTGAAGGCCACGAAGGCCGATACATAAACCTGCGAGCATCTTGTTTTGTTTTCAACGACAAGAGTGAAGTGAAGTGAATAAAGTGATAATGGGAAAGTTTCAAAAAACCAAAAAGGAAAAGGAAAAGGAAAACCTCCCGGCACTTGAGAAAGCATGGGAGGAGAACACCACCTTTTGTATCTCTACATCATAGTCCAAGAGTCTCAAAGCAAGGTACCTAGTGTAGTATCAAACGGCCAAGGCTACACTACATACCACCCTCATCTGACCAGACCCCGTCTTTTTTTTCTCGAATTACCTAGCGATTCTGCCGGGGATTAAATTCAACAGTCCGAGCCAAGGAAAGATAGAAAAAATCTCGTCATGTGAGAACTAGGCAACTACCTACCTTACCTACCTAGGTACCTAGACAACATCCGATCGGCAAAACCTCCCGAATCTGGGAACGCGGGGAGGTGACACTGACATGGGATGGAAATGGAGATGGAGAAGCTGACCTGCATATTCTGGAGTTTAGACTAGTGTACATGTGTATAACCAAGAAGGCTGAGCTCCGTGGCTTTGTTCTGTTCTGTTCATACAGTAGCGTTGTTCACTTCTCCCGCCCGATATAGCCGCCCTATAGCATCCACGGTTACCTAGGTACATAGCCTTACTCGGACTCGGACTTTGACTTGATCAATCAATTCGTCCAATTGAAATTCCGAAGACAAGTTAAATGCGAGCTCGCACTTGGCGGGTAGGCTGAGGAAGTCAGGCAGCAAAAAACCACAGTTAGACACAGCCGAGGGAGGGGGACAAAAAAACCCACAAGGACCGTACATAAGTACTACATAGCTTGTACAAGCTAAACTCTATCGGCTAAATAGACAACTTGACAGTGACAATGGAAGGCATCACAGTAAAAAGGACAGGCGTAACGGGCTGCAGTGGGGAATGTCGTGATATCGTGGCATATCCCCCTCCCAGCTCCCAGCTTTCACCATCCGAATCCAAGAAAAAGGAAACCCCAAAAGCTTAAAAAATTGAAAAGGGCTTGGGACAATGAAGAACTTTGCAAATGGTACTACTATTCTGGGAGAAAAACGGGAATAGGTACCTGAAAAAAAAAACTCTAAGTGGTCCAATGCAACCCCAATCTCACGATCCGCCGCTGGTGCCTAGCGTTAGTCTTGTTAAGTCTTGTTAGTGCAAAGTATGGAGCGTACCGGCGTAGTACTAGCAACCGAGGGCACCTAGGATGGCTCGGCTGGCTGTTGTTGTTACCCCTGAGCTGGCTTGGCTTGACAGCTTGTGTGTGATTGGTTGGTTGGGCTTGGCTGGCTTGGGAGTAGTATTCGGGGCCGTCTTCCCGATTATGACTCTTTCTCTGTTAATGTAGGGAGCTTCATGAGAAGTGAAATTGTTGCATTGAGTCGTATTCGGCTTTCATCACAACACAAATTTGGTCTTTGGCGAAAGCATCGATCAGAGTCCCTGTGCAAGCAAGCGAATCCGTAATGGAGCCCTCCCTGTCAGAAGCCTCAAAGAGTTGCTGATAAACATAGGATGGATGTTGCATTTTCGGAACGTTTGTTCTCTGTGTGAACTGCTTAAAGCTCTGCTCACATCGAGGTCCATAACGAGCGTCTACAAAGAGTTGTCGCTCAGATAACTGGCCGTATTAAGCTGACAAAACAGCCAGGGTCATACTCTGAGGTGTTGTTAAGCTGTCAGAACCTTATTTTAAGTTTCAAGCTGTCTCCCGTCTTCCTTTTCCCTTGCTCAATAATGTATTTCCAAGTAGCCTTGTGGGGTGAAGCTTTTGCTAGTTCTGGCGTCGTACCGCATCGGGCAGGTGATGCTAGGTATCCCGTTGGAAGATTCGGCCATTTTCGCTCCATGTTCGATTTCCCAGGTTCGTCCCTGAGTACTTCCGTCTGGGGTTCCATCTTCGGGTGCTGCCTCGGGTCTATCGGTGTATCTTTGTATGGGTGCCGTTATTTTATCTCCTCATGTATACAGGGTTCCTTCAATTCGGAGTCTAATTTTCTGCGCTGGGCCAAAATTGGGTGACATGGTGTATCATCAATCGTCTCTTCGTTCCAAAGCCATGTCAATTGCTGGTCATGTGCATATTTCGCGTGTGTATAGTATCAGCGAAGTTGAGACTCAGTCACCCTCTACCATTGTCCATTAAGTTCGAGGTCTCATAACGACAACGCTGGTACAGCATGTTCCAGCGGTTCCCTGCGCACTTCCCAAGCAAGCCAGTCGGATCTCGTTGTCCTGTATTCACCACGTTAGCGTCCATTTCACTTCATCCTTCCCTTCACACACTCTCCCCCAGGATAACTTACGGTAGTAGTCCCATACTATTAATCTTCCACACGCCCACCGCCAGCGCCAACACCTGCATAAGCACATAGGCCGCCTTCACCTGCAGAATAGACCCCCGGTTGCTGTCCGTCTCGAATCGCTCAAAGGCCTGGTTGGTCGACAACAAGCCCATGATGGGGTTCTTGAAGGCCATAAACACCATCATGATGCTGAAGATCTGGAGCGAGTTGCCGGACATGTACATCATGATGAGAGTCATGGGCAGGTTCTTGGCGGGCGCGAGGGCGACTTCCCAGGCCTTTTTGAGCTTGAGCTGGTCCATCTTTTCGGGGGAGGGTTGTTCGCGGGGGGCGGCGCGGGAGACATCCTTCTTCTGTAGGGGAAGACATGTTAGCGGGGAAGGTCTATCATGTGTGACGATAGGGAGTTGTTGCTTGCCTTGGAAGGACCGGACACGGCTTGCGACGAGTAGCCTGGGGGGTCGGGGATGCTGGCAGGCTTGGACTTGTAAGGCGGTGGGTTGGCGAGGTCGGTTACCCATCTGGGGGCGGGGTCGGCAACGGGTTTGAGGTCTGTCATGGCGGGCGTTGTGCCTGTGTCGTCCATAGAAAGTAAAGGTATTGGTGATGGGAAGTAGTGGAAGCTGGATTGCGATGACGCCCAACGTGTGGTGTAGTGTACGTGATGGAGTCCGTGCTTCGGTAGCTTGCCCGTCCCTGACTTCCACTTCGGTCTCTGAGACAGGGCCCCACTAGTTGAGCCGCTTCCCCACGCTGGCCGCTGAGTGGTGGGGACCGTGCGCTGTTGATGATGCTACCGAGCTCCACTGAAGCGTGCCAGTCGTTCACTGGCAGAAGGACGTGGTCCAGTGGGCGTTCAGTGTTGACGGCACCAAAGCGGCAGGTCCAGGTCTGCAGGGTCCGCGATCGCTGACCAGGAGGTGCCGTAATTAATCGACCCGACGGTTCAGGGGACGCCCCAACCTGACCGGTGAACAGAATTGAACCATTATTATTTTCCATCGTTACCCCCCGGCGAGTCAAGAATTGAACTAAACATCATCTTTTTCGTTGTCCGTCTGGCTCGTTGAAGTTCTGTTTTGCGACTAGGAGGCTGTTCATTCCGATCAACTACGTACAGCAACAAAAAGTGGGAGGGTAGTTTGCGCCGGAACAGATCTTCACCGAGCCTACCGAGAGAGTGACGACGACGAGAACGACGACGACGAACATCGCGATCCTTCTTCGACGACAATTATCTCCACTAGTACTCCAACACTCGGGAAATTCTTCGCGACGGACATCGAATTACTTGACTCGACTTCGAGGCTAAAACAAAGAGGAGGACAAGCAGCAGAAAGAGTGCCTGTGACACCCTGTTTCACCTGCTTGTTGTTACATTGGTTGGCTGTTCTCGACTCGACGATAATCGCAAAACATATCATTGTGTTCCAGAGCAAGAGGGGCATTTTCTTTGCCTAGCCCACCACCCACCACACCTTACGCCCGCGCCGAGCTCGTTTGCCATTCGTCCATTTTGTCGATATCGAACCTATTTTCGTTGCATCGCAAGCATTCCTCGGCACCGGGTTCGAATCGACCTAAACAGGAATAGTTGTGAGGAGGTTGTGGACGATAATACTATACTCTACAAGCAGCCAACAACATGTCGGCCGCACAAGGAGGAGGAGACTCCAAGCTGTTCGCGAGGGTAAGATGAAATATATCATTACACATGTTACGCTGCTCGGGATATGCCGTTGCTTTGTCTACCACCACCACCCCTCCTCCCATCCACCACCCCAGCTCAGCTTCCTTCCTGTATCTCCCCCCTCCCTTGCTTGCTTGTTTGTTTCTCCTCGACATCGCGAACCTTGAGGACCGCAATGATCACCGCCACCATGTTTGTCGCATATCCTATCCCGCCGAACATTAGCTTACCACAGACTCGACAGGGCAAAGTAGCTGAGCTACGCCTCGAGCTGAACAGCGGCAGCAAGAAGGACAAGAACTTTACCCAAAAGAAGATTGCCCTCAAGAAGATTGTCGCCAACATGACCATGAGTAACAATGACATGGTCGGCTTGTTCCCGGACATTGTTGCCTGCATGGCCATCCAGAGCTTGGAAATTAAAAAGATGTGCTTCTTGTATCTGGTCAACTATGCGAGGATGAAGCCAGATATTGCCGTAAAAGCAATTCCGGTTCTGGAACATGTAAGTCACCAACCACGTCCACCTTTTGTTGTGCGATATAGTTAGTCACTAACAAAGACCAGGACATGGAAGATCCAAACCCCCTGGTGCGCGCCCTCGCCCTACGGACCATGTCTTATATCCATGTGCGCGAGTTCGTCGAGGCTACTGTGCCACTAGTCAAGCATCTTCTTCGCGATATCGACCCCTACGTTCGCAAGACAGCGGCTTTCTGCGTGGCCAAGCTCTACGATCACGATAGACACATGGTTGAGGCTTCGGACCTTATCGACAGACTCAACAACCTCTTGAGAGACGATAACCCGACAGTGGTGGCCAGTGCCCTGGCGAGCTTGATGGATATCTGGGAGAGGAGTGATGCTATCAAACTCACTATCGACTACAGCAATGCCTCCAAGATGGTGGCCATTCTGGCCGACTGCTCCGAGTAGGTTATCCCCCTTGCAACACAAGTACGTTCTACTGACAACACCCACCAGATGGGGCCAAACTTACATCCTCGAAGCCCTCATGTCTTATGTCCCCCAAGAATCCGGCGAAGCTCTCCTTCTCGCCGAGCGTATCGCCCCACGCCTCTCACACTCCAACTCCTCGGTAGTCCTCACCTGTATCCGCGTAATCCTCTACCTCATGAACTACATCTCCGACCAAAAGCAAATCTCGGCCCTCTGCCGGAAACTCTCCCCACCACTGGTCACCCTCCTCGCCAAGGGCCCCGAAGTGCAATATCTCGCGCTGCGCAATGCCCTCCTCATCCTCCAACGCCGCCCCGAAGTCCTCCGCAACGACATCCGCGTCTTCTTCTGCAAGTACAACGACCCCATTTACGTCAAGGTCACCAAGCTCGAGCTCATCTTCATGCTCGCCAACGAGAAGAACATTGACGAAGTCTTGACGGAACTCCGTGAGTACGCCACCGAAATCGACGTCCACTTTGTCCGCAAGGCTGTCCGCGCCATCGGCAAGCTGGCCATTAAGATTGAGCCAGCGGCCAAGCGGTGCATCAACCTGCTGCTTGAGTTGGTCTCCACAAAGGTCACCTACATTGTGCAAGAAGCCACGGTAGTGATCCGCAACATCTTCCGCAAGTACCCGAACCAGTACGAGTCCATCATCGGCACCCTCTGCGAGCACCTGGACTCGCTCGACGAACCCGAAGCCAAAGCAGCCATGGTGTGGGTCATTGGCCAATACGCCTCGCGTATCGAGAACTCGGACGCCCTCCTCGAAGACTTTTTGTACTCCTTCGCCGAAGAGCCCGTCGAAGTCCAGCTCGCCCTGCTCACAGCAACCGTCAAACTCTTCATCCAACGTCCCACCAAAGGCCAGGACCTCGTCCCCCGCGTACTCAAGTGGGCCACGGAAGAAACCGACAACCCCGACCTCCGCGACCGCGCCTACATGTACTGGCGTCTCCTCTCCACCGACATGGAATCCGCCAAGCGCATTGTCATGGGCGAGAAGCCCGCCATCACCGCCGAGTCGGAGCGTCTCGACCCCGTCACCCTCGAGGAAATGTGTCTCAACGTCGGCACCCTCGCCACCGTCTACCTCAAGCCCGTGCAGACCGTGTTTCGCAACGCCCGCCCGCGCAAACTCCCAGACTCCCCGTGCCTCCAACGCCCCGACTACCTCGATTACGCAACAGCCCACCAACTGCCCAACCCCAAATCCCTCTCCCAGTTCGGCCAAGGCCACCAACCGTCCGACTTTGATCCCCGCGTGCCTGGGTCCCGACCTGCTCCCCCTTCTTCTGCCAACAACACTCAGAGTCAACAAGGAGGGAACTTGGCTCAAGCGGTACATGATGCGGACGCTTACTTTACGCAGCAAGCGAACCAGCAGGCGGCGGTTAATGATGCGGATGCGTATTTCGCGCAGCAGATGAGGCAGATGCAGATACAGCAGCCCGGCGACAGTTTTGGTGGGGATGCGGGACATTATGGGTATGGGCAGGGGTACGTAGTCAGTCAGAGCTCGGCGTACCAGCCGGGGATGGGGGGGATGAATGGCATGGGAGGGATGAATGGGGCGCAGGGGGATTTGTTGTTGTGAGATAGTGTGGTGTGAGGAGTAACTAGCTAGGAATGGAAAGGGGGATGGGGTGGGAAGGGGTAAGAGTCGGAAGAGAGGAGAGACAAGGTAGTAATGTAATAGACAGACTAGGAGTTGGGAAGCGTGGTGAGTGTGAGTTGGTGGGAAAAGATATCCAGTTAGGTTTTTGGTTGTAGATAATGTGAATAAGAAGTAATATCCCGTCACTTTGTATGTTCTGGTGTGTTCTTAGGCGGGTGTGAAGCATTCATGTCATATCACTACAAGACTTGAAAGTCAAAGGCGCGAGCGCAGGACCACTTTGTATGTTCTAACCGTTTATTGCACTGAAGATCATCTTGAGAGAACCGTAAAACGCCAATTTAACCATATACGAACTAAAAACCGAAAGGGAATATTTTGCAAGAGAAAAAAAAGAACAGAACGATTACCAAACAAATCCGAATATGTATATGTCCGTAAAGCCCCAATACTTGAACCCATCCGAGCCGCTTTAAGCCAGATTGAAATCCTTGAAAGTCCACTTCTCCGTAACCTTTGTCTTGGCCTGCTTTTTGAAGGGAATGTGCCTCCTCGCCTCCACCTTGCCTCTAAGCAACATATTCCTGTACCTGTCTTTCAACAGATTACCCTCCGGCTTGAGTAGTCTCAGCGAATCCTGCAGCTCATCCGGCAAGACCAGCTCCAGATCCTTCTCGGGCAACTTGAACTTGCCTAGTTGCCTACGGCGCAGCTCGACGTCGTCATCCTCTTCAATGCTAGCATCGTCCTCTTCGACATTGTTGGATTCGGCTTTTTGGAGAGCAAGCTGCCTCTCCTTCTCGGCCAGTTCCTTGGCAATCTGCTTGACCCGCGCGGCCTCGGCCTCCCTCTTCTTGATGGCCGCCTCGTGCTTCAGACGCTGCTCCTCGGCCTTGCGGCGCTTGATCTTGTTGCGCTGCGCTTGCGTCTTGCGCTCCGGCCGCTTCTTCTTGTTGGCCAACCCTTCCGCGTCGCTCTCGGCCCCTTCCCAGGCGGAATCATCCTCCCACTCCGACAGCTCGGCGCGCTTCTCGGCGGCCTCGGCCTCGGCGCGCGACTTGGCGGCCGCTTCGGCCTTGAGACGCTCCTTCTCGAGTTCCTCCAGCCGCTTCCGCTCGGCCTCCTCGGCCTTGCGCAGCTCCTCCTGGTAGCGCTCCGAGTAGTCGGTGAAGGCGGGGTTGTACGACTTGTCGCCCTTGGGCTTGGGAACGGCGGGGAGCTGCTTGCCGGTGGCGGCGAGGGAGATGGGTTGTTGTGTGAGCGTCTTGGGCGCCTTGGGCTTCTCGACCTTGGGCAAAAAGTTAAACGTTTCCGCGGCCTGCTGCTGCTTCTTCTGCTCTTCCTCCGGGTCGGCCCAGGCGTCAAAGGTGGCGTCGACGACCTCGACCGTGGTGGTGTGGTGGCCGTCGGCAACGCGCTTCAGGCGACTGAGCTCCTTTTGGGTGACGTAGGTGGCCCGCAGGCGCTTGGAGGGCAGGACGCCGTCGGTGACCTTGCCGGAAGTTTCAGAAGCCGGGCGCTTCTTGAGGGAGACGGCAGGAACGGCGGAGCGCTGGGCGAGGATCTCGTCGGCCTTCAAGGGCTTCTTGAGCTGCTTGGGGAGCTTCTTGGTAATTTCGGTGTCGGGCTTGACGTCGATGGCGAAGAGTTCTTCGGAGGTCTTCTCGGCAATGACACCACTGTTATGCGATAATTCATGTTAACTAATTGGTGTCTTTGGTAATACAAAGCATCATAGAAGGGGCGCCGTACCCCTTGATGATCTGGGCGTTCAACTCATCGAGACCCTGCTCGACCTCTGTAACGTCGACATTCTTCCTCCACGCCTTCTTGCCCTTTCTCGACGGTTGGTTGTATTGCTTGGGGGCTTCGGGATTGCCCGACAAGGGTTTTAGGACGGGCATTTTGGGTGTGTGTGGTGGTGTGTTGTGCCTGTGTTGTTGGGTTGACGACTCGAAGAAATCAACAAGTCGGGAGGGAGGTTCGAGGCAGATAAGAAAATGGAAATATTGATACCTCGAAACCGCCTGGAATTCTGGGGTCTCCTCTGCAGTCAATCCAACTGTCCAGTGGGGTGTGCAACTCAAAATTTCAGCGGCGACGGGACAGGAGGCAGCGATAAGATAAGAAAGAGACAGGACAGGGAAGAGCAACTTCAACCAAAGCGTCCAGTGCTTCCCTTCCCCAGCCGTGCTCAGCTGGCAGTTGGAGCAATTCACCAATCAGACTCCAAGCTGCCTCGGCCTCTGGACAAATCCAATGACGGCCGCCAACGAGGCTTCCATTGGTTGTCTCTGTCCTTTTGGTCAAGTGAAGTGTCGAATTTGTCTGGGCGCAGAAAGGCGGCGGGCGGCCACTGTTTCCCTCCACTGATCGCTTGGCGCGGTCCCCTTTCTCTCGCATGAGTCCGCTTCGGGGAAGAAGACGGACTGTGAGGAAAAGAATAAAGTCGCAAGAAAGACTTTGTTGTTCGGACTTATGCACACAAAATTAATAAAAAAAACGTAAACTTGTACACACGTGCATACGGAATGTCGGTCAATCAATTAATCTGATCCAAAAAAAATATTGAATGTTCAGATATTTTCTCCTCTTTGTGGTTTCAACTCTTATAAAACGATCTCTCGACCCGATTTTTGTTTGGTTAAAACGAAGACGGACTGCAAAGACCCCAGCAACCAAGTCGGCAACGAGACCCCGACTGGATCCCAAACACCGACCCGATTGTCCTCCAAGCTCCCTTGTCATCCACCCCCGGCCACCACGCCCCGTCCGTCGCACCACTGAGACCACTCAACGCTGCATGATCAGTCTCCGGCAACTCTCCGCCGCCGTCCATCTTCCACTTCGATCCTTTTAGGTATCCCTCGACCAGCAGACACCTACCTAACTCTAGACCAACTCCGACCGCCTACACTACTAAGCTTTCTGCCACTTAACCACCACCACTTCCTCCAAAGTCCGAAAGCTTCCTCCCCTTGACCGTGTTTCCGAATACCTTCAGCTACCTACCTACCTACCTACCTACCCCGCCAAATACCGTTAATCCGCAAACACATTCATCACAATGGCGCAAGCAGGCGGGTCATACAACAACCCCTTGAAGAAGTTCAAGTAAGACAAGATACCCGACACTTTTGCAGACAATGCACTTGAGAAGTCAAATGGAAGACAAAACAAGTCAAGATGCTAACCACTCTTTCTCCTCGCCAGGTTGGTCTTCTTGGGCGAACAAAGCGGTATGCGATTACCTCAACCTACAACACTTTCTCCACGATGCTCTCCGAGACACCAATGCTAACTCAACCATTGCGCGCAAACAGTCGGCAAGACGTCGCTCATCACACGCTTCATGTACGACTCGTTCGATAACATGTACCAAGCCACCATTGGTATCGATTTCCTTTCCAAGGCATGTTCGATCCCCGTGTCCCGTTAATTTTTTACCGCCCTTCCTTCCCAGACAGACAATGCGCGACAGTTGCAAACACCAAAGAACTAGTAGATCAAGGTGAGAGCGTTTGGCTAACTTTACGGGGAAAAAAAAAGACCATGTACCTCGAAGACCGAACAGTCCGTCTACAGCTCTGGGACACAGCCGGCCAGGAGCGTTTCCGCTCCTTGATCCCTTCGTATATCCGCGACTCGTCAGTGGCCGTGGTAGTTTATGACATTTCGAGTATGTTATGTTATGTTATTTCTTTTCTTTTCTCTTCCGCCTTTCTTGACTATCCTCTCTCTCCCCAAATTACCCCCTCACCGCCTTCCACCCCCGCTATTTTCCCCTCCTCCCCTCAAGCCACCAATTTCAAAACCTCCCCCAAAGAACAGGACACTAACATTCATAACCAACACCAGACGCCAAATCCTTCCAAAACACACGAAAATGGATCGACGACGTGCGCGCCGAGCGCGGCAACGACGTGATCATTGTCTTGGTGGGCAACAAGACGGATCTGAACGACAAGCGCGAAGTGACCACGGCGCAGGGCGAGGAGGAGGCCCGGCGCAACAACCTCATGTTTGTCGAGACGTCGGCAAAGCTAGGCCACAACGTCAAGACGCTGTTCAAGAGGATAGCCCAGGCCTTGCCCGGGATGGAGGGCACCGGTGGGGAAGGTGCCGGTGGTGCGGGCACGGGGGCGGCGGCGACGAGGATCGATGTCAGCAGTAAGGAGACGGTGGCGCAGGAGGGATGCGCTTGTTAAGACTGACTGGACTGGTCTGACTGGTCTGGCGGCCTGGTGCGGTTTGATCTGCTCTCGTCTGGTCTGGTCTGGTCTGACCGGGACAGAACAAGTTCACGGTGTGGGGAGACTAACCATCTTCCTAGGGAAAGGGGGTACTGAAGAAGTTGAGGGGAAGAAGACAACAATGGGGATGACGATCATGTTGACGATGTTAACGAGGTTAACGATATAATGGGGTAAATATATGATGAGAGAATGAGATGGAACATGATGATGATGATGGGGGGTGGGGGGAGGGAAATAGAGGTGGGTGGGCTAGACAACCTGACAAACGGGGAAGCAAACTATAATGAGAAACTTGGCTGTGCTTTGTGCTTACGGTTTGGCTGGCTGGCTAAAGCAAGGCGATCGGAGCATTAGCATGCGAAGGAAGGGGTTGGTTTGGTTTTGTCGGGTCTTAACGCTTATAATAATACAAATGATAAAAGATATAATACTTTGTATCTAGTTCCTGAGTTGAACCAACTGTGTCTTTTAGGTGTTGTTCAGAGTTGTTGTGTTGTCGACTGAGTGCAAGATGGAATCAACGAACGGGTAGTAGTCCAAGATTGACCTTGGATATATCCTTGGCTAGGATACCTAGTCAGGTCTCGAGCTACAGAGGTCAGTCACGTTGGCAGAGACAGAACGAGTAACTTGTCGAGTCAGAAAGTACTGAGGATTACTACTATAAAACAAGACAAGACATGACATGGCAGAAAGAAAAACAAACAAGTACTTCATATTTTGGGTCTCCCCGTGTCTATTAAACGCCAAATTCGCCGATTCCAATAAAACCGAAATATGCTTTGCTACTAAAGGTAGACTGATTGATCCCCCCTGAAAACCATGGTTCTGAATGTAATGAATCTTTCCAATGACCTGTAGCGACCAACAACCAACCAACCAAGCAAGGGGTATAAGCAAGCCCCGAAAGCAGCCATCGCTCGGGGGAGGATTGTCTGTCCAAAGCCACAGTTACTGTTTTTTACAGTTAGAGTGTTGACTGTTGGTCAACCAATTGCTGTCCTGTCCTCTTTCTGTTCGTTCCGTCTTTTCTACACCGGACCCGTTCGTCGTGTTGGGCTTTGTTGCTGGTGTCAACTAAGCAGGTCTCAGTGGCGAGGAAGGGCCGCCGAAAAATGCAGCAGAACCCTCCCCGCATAGGGGTATCGACAGCCGCGGGAGCAAGTTCGTCCAAAAAGCAAACGTCTAGTGGTCCCGAGAAAAGAGGTGGCTGGTTCCGGTGTTGGTGATGGTGGTGGTGGTTGGTGGTGGTGGTGGTCGCGGTAGTAATAGTTACTGAGACTCGTGCGCTCAGTCGGTATCCATCTCGTCATCATCGTCCACGTCCTCGAAATCGTTCTCGTCATCGTCATCCTCATCGACCAAGCCTCCACCAGCGACGCGCTCCGAGATCTCTTCCACGCCGCCGTCTGTCCTGACACGGAGCCTCTTGGCCTCGCCGCCAAACGCCTTGGTCTTCTTGCTGGCCGCCTTCTTGGCCAGCTCCTCGCGCTCGAGCTCCTCGACGTCCTGGCCCGTCTCCTGGGCGAGCTCGGCCAGTCTCCTCTTCTCGGAACCGCGCAGGCGCGGGAGGAGGTGCTCGTTCTCGGCGACGAGCTTGCGGGCGGCGGCGACCTCGCGGGCGCGCTTGCCGGCCATGCGGCGCTTGTAGAAGATGCGCTCGCGGCGCTGGCGGATCTCCGAGATACGCTCCATGGCCTTGACCGTCTTGGCGAAGAGCTCGCGGTCGTAGCGGACGGGCACGTTGCGGCGGGCGGCGAACTGCAGGGTGCTGTCGACCACCATCTCCTTGCCGGCGTTCTTGCGGTAGGCCTTGGTCCACTTGAGCTTGCGGGGGTTGCGCTTCATCTTGAAGTTCTTGTGGCACTTGGAGCGGCAGAAGCGGAAGGACTTGCCTGCAGCATGTGATGTACCCTGGTTAGCAATTGGTCTTGATATTGGAGAGGTTTGATGATGGGAACTGAAGTAAGACAAGAACATACCATCGTTACGCATAAAGGTAATGCCCTTGGAGGGCCAGGCCGGACGGCCGCAAAAGAAACAAGGATCGACACGCATCTTGACGGGTTATGTGGGTGGTTGTGGTGGTGGTGGTTGAGGAGAAGCAGCGAGCCGGGTGCGGATGGGCTCGTTGTCTGTTCGGGGGGGGGGAGGAGAGGGGGAAGCAAGCAACAAAGTCAACAACAGCGAAACGGTCCAGGGCGCCGCTTCTGAAAATTTCTGGATGTCGGTGTTGGAAAAGTAAAGTGGGGCGGAGGGGACGCTTGGCTTATCTTAGCGCTATCGTGTTATCAGCCGACAAGACTCGGGTTAGGGTTGAGCGTGCATATACGCCAGCCCAGACGTTTCTTTTCTCTGATTTGACTTTGATGGTTCCCGATGATCGATTCCTCGATGTAGGCTGGCCGGCAATTGCGGCTGCTTACTTTTGATGCTCTCTCCACAAGCGAGGGCCATGATGCTCTAGTCAACGGGCATGTTTACTTTTCCCAAATCAGTATGTTCCCCTATCAATCCATTACTTCTTGAGCTCACGGTCTCTTCACTGCAACAAGGTTCAGTGACCAAGGAGGCATTGGTTTCTGTTAACAGGACTTTCGCGCACCCTGACATGCCTGGGCAGCTCTACCCTCCTTCTACCTCATCGGCGGCTGCCGATGATTAGAGTAACACCCATTGAGTTGTTCAGTATAGTGTATCATCGTTGTTCGTGATTGCAAGTTTACCATGTCTAAAGAACCCGTTTCGAGTTGTAAATCTTCAAGTTCTTTTCGGAGGCCGTGGCGAAATCGGATATTGAATTGTCTGCCATGTTGCACAACGATCAAGACCTTCAGTGGAGGGAACACGGCAGTAGGCGAGGTCTCCGTCGCGCCAGTATCTGTTGAAGGTGACAAGGTCTTTGTGCAAGAATCAAGAACTCCACAAAAACAGAAGTATTCCTTGAAACTTTGTTGCTCTGTTTCCGTCTTCCAGATCGAACTGCAATTGACTTTCCTCACTCCTTCCCCAATCACAGTGCTCCTTCCGTCTCACTCACAGTTGAGGTCGGGTGCTGACCGAGAGCCCCATCAGATCCACAGCGCTAACTCAAAAATGCGGGGATAAAATCTGGGGAAAGCGTCAAAAGTGGAGTCGGATTCCCCTGGGGCTCCACCAGACTAGCTCCTGCCCTGCGACAGTAAGGGTCCCGAAATCGTTCTTTCCTGATACAGACAGTAGGAAAGTGAAGATATCGATATCTCTTTCCAATTTAGTGTCGGTAATTATCCCATGGTATTTCGCAAATCTTTGTATCCAACTCGTTGCATTCTTGTATGCGATGGTTCAAAATTACAAACACAATGCTGGTTCCTCCCCCAGCCACAGCACACGCGCACCGGACCACTCCTCGCTCCGTGGTGCCATCAGACATCGCAGAATCAGACGACGGAACTCACAGACGGGCCGCTGTGATACAAAAGTGACGTCCAGCCACACGAGATGATTGGAGTTTGGATATTGCCTGCCACTCCTACCCCGCTCAATCCTGGGTTACACCATGCCTCAGCCAGACAGTTCCATGTCTCGAGAAGCCGTTAGACATAAATACTCACAACAGAAGAAGGAGTGGAGGAGGTGCAGGCGAGAAAGGCGGAGGTGAGCGGTGGCTTCCTGTCTGGACCGTCCACTTGCTGCAAGGCAAACCGGGGAGGGGAAGTGGCACGACAGGAGGTCAAGGCTTGGGCATCTCCCCCCAAAAAGATGGCATCGAGTTAAGGACACTGCGTGGAGAAGGAGAGAAAACTACCACCAGGACCCTGACGGTCTAACAAACAGTAATAATACCTGCTGCTTTGTGTTGTGGTTCCCATTTCTGCCACATAAAGGGGACTCCCGTCTCTCCCACTCGTTATATATCTGCTTCTTCTCCTCGTGGCACCTGGAGAAAACATTCATCCTCGATTCATAGACTTGTCCAGACACACGAGTAAAGAGCAACCTATAACACTCGAAGAGTACAGCATCAACTGCTGATCAAGCAAAGAACACTCAGCTACAAGTAGAGGTACGTCTGTGATCCATTCCATGGTCACTCCTTGAATATTATTCATAGATGACACGGCTTCATGTGTGGGCATCAAGAATCATCATCATCGCAGCCATCTCTTCCTTTTCTTCATCAACTGCATCTCCTCTGCCCACCATCACACACGTCACTGCCTCATCTTCCCTCCACATGTAACCTTACTCGACACAACACACTAACCCAACCACAGCATCTTCCCTCAAACAAACAAACCCCCAAAACAACCACCAAAATGGTCGTCCGTATTCCTGCCGCCGGTATGACCGAGTACATCTTCTTCGGCGCTGCCGGCGTCGGCACGCTCGCCCCGCTCGCCATGGGCATCCCCGGTGCCGAAGAGCGCGTGGCTCGGGCAACCGCCAAGTGGGCGCCCCGATGGGAGCGCAACATCAACTACTTTACGAACCACGTCCCCGTCGAGCGCGGCATCCAGCGCATCACACCTCCCGTTGAACGCGCCGTTCATCGCGTCGAGCACGAATTGCCTCTCGAAAAAGCGGCTGTTGCTACAGGCCATGTCGCGGAGAAGAGCATGAAGCCGTTGGAGATGATTAAGCATAATTGGACTATGGAGTGAACTCTTTGTTGATGTGATAAGGGACAGAGTAAGGGCTGGACAATGGATTTGGACGGTTTGTAACACGGCATAGCCGGAGTTTTTGGAAGGGCAGGTCGTTTTTGTACTGAAATGTCATGGATTATGGATTATGTGGTTATGGATCGGGATCGGGACGGGATCGGGATGGGATTGACGGAACGGCGAACAATGTCTTGGTTTTCCTAGCATGGAAATAATGACAACAAAGGTTACTGTCGGTGGTTTGACCATGATGCCATTGTCCAAAGTGGCGATTGCCACCTCTTGTTGATGGCAACAGCAGTCAGTGGTCCAGTGGAGAGCGTTGAGTAACCAATCGATACATATATCCTACCAAAACATTATAACCTTGAGTCGCTTCATGAACCTACGTGCACGTTCGTCCTGTGGATTCAAAAGAGACACTTCTTTGATCATGTCCTTCACCTTCCTGTCCCATATACCTTAGTACCATGTCGATAAAAGAGCCCCTTCATCACCCCATGTAAGTGCCAGAGGACGTGAGTAAGGCGCGATATTCCTACTGCAACCTCACATGGGCGAGCTTCCGCGCCGCTGAAAACAACTAGGTGATGGAGACCATACTGCAGTATTCAATATTCAACTTTTCAGGGGGATACTAGTTCCTGGAAGCACATTACTGTCAAGTTATCTCGAGTACACATGAAACTAACACATCTCTAGGTAGGTATCTAGAGGTAGCCTTCGACATCAACTGTCCAACAAGCAGCAAGAGGCCGAGCATCACACTGACGATATCTTATAGTGAAGTACTGTTCGGTGATGGGCTAGGAAGGGCACTCATAGCCGTCTCTCGGTCGATATAGGTACTTGGTGATTGCAGGACGCAGAAGACCGTGGGATAGGTAACCAGTTTTCACTATTTTCTGGAGACTGGCATTTTTGTCGACCTTTCGTCATGTTGTCTTGCACAAAAATGACGGGAGCCCTGCCTTGAAGAAATGACTCGACATCCGGGTGTGTTAGTGAAAATCATGACTTGGCAAGGGAGAAAAAAAATAGGTAGGTTATGGACATCTGCAGGACCAGACTGATATCAACAAAGGGTTGGTTGTCCGTGAGGGTTTGGTAACGATGAGCAGTGAGAGGGTTTCGAAGCATCTCCGGCTCAACGATGTGAAGATCCGGCAGATTCTTGGTGGTGATGTTGGGTAAAGGGATAGAACCAAAAGAGATAGTGCCGCTGCTTGATGTCAATAAGTGTATGTTTAAGAGGAGGTTGCGGTCTTGGCGATCCGGCTACGTGGATGGATGCTCAAGAAACGTGACAATCGTCAATATAGGTACCTATCAAAGCCACCCGATACCATAAGAGTGTTCAACCAGGTCTACATAGTAGGTATAAAACCCATCTGCCGCCCCCATTCAATCAATCATGCAATCAACCAACGTGCAAGGGCCCTGTCGCAACTTTACCTCCCTCTCACGCCATCCCGACAGCCCGCGACAGCCAGCCAGCCATGTTGCGTGGGCGGGTGACCATCATTCATTCACCTTTCCCATCATGTAGACCATACTACAGCGCCAAACGAACTGCCTATCTCTCTCTCTCCCCCACACGCGTACACGTTCCGTTCCGGGTACATACCTAGACTAGACAATTCCCGGAGGCTGCCGGGGCAGACCGATAGGTGTACCGCCCAGCCGGTAAAGGAGTGGAGAGCTCGGCCGGACCGAGAGCCGCCGACAGCCGCCCCGGTCCCGCAGGTCGGGCGGGTGGGAGTCCGGGGTTTTAATTTTTTAGGGCGGATGTGTATGTACCGCGTTGAGTATTGCACTATCGACGCTAACAGGACCTTTTTGGGGTCTTCACTTGCCGAGCTTACATGTCCATCATGTCTTCTGAACAGATTTGTCCATGGCCATCATGACATAAGACGATATGGATGATCAGCCTTGCGAAAAACGTCGGATGGGATTCGGCAAGTGATTTTCAGCCCGCTCCTAGAAAGGAACTCGTTGGATTCAGTGGTTGTTCTCCCAGGGTACTCGAGGTTCCTTTATTCTTCAGTATCTTCTCTTGAGTTTCCTTTGGGTAGTGTTGAAAGTCGGTCTCGAGTTTGTGCCGTTGAACAGCTGGGATCTACGCGTGCTGCAAGAGATGGAAGGACTTACGTCCAAACGACCCTTCTACATGGGAATTATACATATGCAATCATTCAACCTCGGAGACATCGTCCGCGTTCAGGCATAAAGTTGATGTGTATCTTGGCAAAGGGGTCCTTCGGGGTCCCCAATTCAGGGGTAAACTGGCTCCACATGGTTATGTCTTCCACTGTCAAAATGCAAAGAAGACGGAGTTGCCGTTCTTGTCCACTTGTTGAAGACTTCAAAGTCATTGACTGAAAGAAACCGAGTTATACACATATCGGAAAATCGGTGATACCGTCAGTCGTCACGGTAGATGCCCAAAATGGCCAGTTTAGTGAAGATGAGCATACGATTCCAGCCCAGCATAGTTTTTACCAGGGTCCAGGAGTACGCGGAGATTTGTCTTGTGTGATGTGTGTCGGTGCCGTGTCCAGGTTGGCACTGATCGGAACCGGGGGGTTCTGCTACCCCGTTCCGACTCCCCTTAACATTTCCAGCTGGTGAGTGATACACGGACATGTTAGCCGCCAAAAGCAAGTCACTAACATGGACCTAACAACCCCCCGTGAACACCAACCCCTGTTGATTGGAGTGCGTCTCTGCCCTGTCCGTCTCGTCACGGAAGGCAGGCCTTTGCGTCATAGCCCACCGATCAAATAACCGAGTCGAGTCGAGCCTGGCAAAGCCTAGAAAGGCGGTTAGGCGAACGGACAGACAGACAGGGAGGACACGCGACACCGAAAGCGCGGCTTTGTAGTGTAAGCGAAAGAGAGGGAGGCAGCCTGACGAGGAAATCGTGTGAAATGACATCAGGTGTTGAAGGAGGGTGCCGTGGTGATGGACTCTAATCTAGTCTTTTCCGCGGATTTGATTTTGATATGTGGTGTGGAATGCCAAGTAAGAACGGTAATTGCGAACGACGACGGCGCCTTTTTGAGTTTCAAGTTTCAAACCAAACAATCAATCAATCCTGTTGAGCCTGGAAAGAAAAAGGCTGGTGACCGAGGAATGGGATAACAATAGCGCCTCGCAAATTCGCATTCGTACTACTACACTACAGTCTATGTATGTATGCCGACTGATCCGGGTTCCATCCAAGCAAGCAATTGGCGCCGCTTCGTTAGGTTGTTTCGCCGCGAAGTGGTGTCGCAACTCGCTCGCAACTGGCGTAGTGTAAACCCCGGACTCCTTCGCGAGCCCGTCAATCCGTCGGTCTGGTGTGTTCACCAAGAAGTCTAGGTTAATTTTCTTTGGGATCGTTGGGGGTCTTCTCGTCAGCAGTTGGTGGTGTTACTTTTTTTTACTTTTCAGAAATTCCCACAAATCTGGTTGCCTGCCGTGCCCGTCATCCAACTAACTGCCCACTTCCATCCTCGCTGCCACAACCAAGCCCACCCACCGCAAAACTGCTGCACTGTACGTTTGTTGAGGTGGCTGCGCTGCAAGAACCAAACACACTTCCACTTCCTTGCCGCCGTCGCATTTGAACCGCTCTTTCAGCTGCTGCAACCTGCAACCTCACACATCCGTCACAGCCAGCCGCTCGCCGCAAAAAGACCCCTTTTCTTTGCTGTCGACATCATCGTCTTTATCAGTTGCATTTTTAATTGTTTTTTCCTTTTCATCTTGGCCTTTTATTCTCGCGATACAAACGTCCAACTAGAGTCTATACTTTGCTCTCCGTATACATAAACAATAATCATGTCGCGAGGTCTACGACTTCGATTTCCCCGGCCGAGGGTAAGTCTTTTTTTGCATCTTCAATCCCCAGCCATCGTGACCACCCTCACCATCAGGCATCACCGTGACGCCATGCTAACAACAGCACGCGCAAAACACAGACCTTCCTCGGCTTCATGTCCCTCCAAACCGGCACCGAGCTCATCGCCCTCTCGCTCGTCTTCAACCGCATCACAGGCATCTACGGCATCCTCGCCCTCTTCACCGGCTTCCCGCTCTCCCTCCTGCAAATCAGTCTCTACCTGCTCTCCGTCTTGGTCGTCGGCTCGCTGGCGTACCTGATCCCCCACATCCGACACCAATCGCCCTTCCAGAACCTGGCGCTCGCTTTTCTCTATGGCATCGACACCCTCCTCAACTTTGCCTACGTCACCTTCTTCGCCACGACGTGGTACCTGACCCAGTTTCACGACCCGCAGGGCCCCGCTAGCAAGGGTGACATTCCCGAGAGCGCGAGCCCGTCGAACGGCGAGGGCAACTACGAACACGATAGTGCGCAGAAGCATCAGCTGGAGAAGGCGGTGGGCGTGCATGAGTCCGCGGCCAGCATGTGCCTTGTGGTTGGGTTCACGCTGATCCGGATCTACTTTGCCCTGGTGGTCTGCGCGTATGCCAGGGCAGTGGTGCAGAGATATGTGGACATGAACAGCGGGTGGGCCGGTGGGCCCCTGGGTTCGGGAGAGGTGGTTGATGATGATAATGGCAAGGAGGAGGGACACGTTGCGGATCCGTTTGTGGAGGGCGCGCCACTGGGTGAAGGGTGGCAGGGCAAGATGGGCCGGATGATGGTCGGCTTTGGCAGGGGGTATTGGTTGGGAGGGAGGAAGGAGGACGAGGAGTGGGCGAGGGAGATTGGTGGGCGGTTGAAGGGTGGGAGATACTCTAGGGTATGAGCGGCCACCAGAGTTGAAAAGTGTTCCCGTTCGATGGGACTTTGAAGACGTTTAATCATCATCGAAGACGAGGAGACGGCATAGCCAGCAATCATCCCAACATACGACACATCATGCATGGGCATAGAAGAGAGGCATTGGCGCGAAGACAGCCATCCTCACAACGCATTATAAAGAGGAGGATACTGCGACAGAACGCTTTGTTATAGGGGACCAATCTTTCCATGAGGCGGCTTGCTATTGTACATTGAGACATTTGGATTTTTGTACTTGCATCGCATTTGTACAAACTTACCACGGACGGCTGGGGCACCACTATATCCATGATATCTCTATATTTACCTTTCAAGGATACCAGGGGGGATTACGGCGCAAAGACATATTTGGGGGAATTAGGCAACGGGTTGGTTTTTTTCTGAATTGGTTTATACGCCGTCAGCACCAGCAGGGAGATGTTGGACGACGTAATGATAATAATGGAGGCTCGGGTCATTTGGAGATATATAGTGTATACATGATAAGATAGCTTCATGCAAATGTAATCGACATTTGTGAGAAGCATAGAAATGACACCATAATTCAAAGTCGATATATCCATGTCATTGTGTGTCTTCTTTTTGAATATGCGCAGGGCTTAGCCATGTAACTGCTGGCCCTTCTTGGAGATTCCGCCTTGGACATGTCGTTGGCTTGTACCCCCCACCCGACATGCCCGCCTCCCGAGTTGACACCGCGAAGTTGGTTACTTCGGGGAATGTGAGACCATCAAGGTGAAGGAAACAATCAGATGGAGGAGCATGTCACTGATAGAACAATGGGTGGGGATATTCATATATACCTTAGGCCTAGCGCCAGTGCAGAAATGGTTTCAGGTGTGGGTTAAACAGATAGAGTAGGCTCGGGGGATGTTCGGGAATGGGGGGAAAAGGGTTCAGAGGTCCCGTCTTGATATGTCATCCATCCGTCCTGTCAGATTGTTTTCGTACACTACAGTACCTCATGCCCATGTGTGTGTCTCTGTCTCTGCAACTCGGGAATAGAGTCATACATTTCGTCCCATGTCACAGACTAGACCTGAGACCAATGTGGATATCCAAAGATGGGACGGTGTCGGGAGTTGTTCACCTGGAACCACCCCCTGGGATATCGTTGCGAACAGACGTTCACTCTTTTTTTCCTTCTTCCTCAGCGGTTTGGTTTCTTTTCTTTGCAGAGTCTGCTGCCTTCCCGAGTCCCCGAGGGCCGTGGCGAGGTCGGGGGGGACATGGATGTCCATCCATCTGTCTGGGTTTTTTTTGTTAGTGCGGTACCTCTGGATACGTCGGAGGCACGGAGGGAGTGACAGTGAGATGGACACACACTCGGTTCCTGACAAAGGCAAAAGTTGAAAATTGGAGACTTTCTATTCGCTGGAAGGGTCAGCAAAGAGGCAACTTGGCGAGGGTCAGATTTATACAAAGGCCGGCCAAAGTGGGTGCGCTCATGACTGCGAATGAAGCTAGGCCGATCACGCAATCGCTCCAGACGAAACAGCGCAGCCATTCATGTGCCGGCATCACCACAAGTGGACTGCGGGGGCGGCCGGGCAAGAGAGAGTGTTTAGCTGTGCTTGTTAGTGAGTTTATACGCTAGAGACCTACAGACATCACCTACCGCGCCCATTACATAAGTGCCCTCCCACGCCTCGCTGTACATATTTGTCCCGCCCTCCGCATTAGGTTGTGACATTTCTACAAAACCTTTCAATTGAGACTTGTTCTGCCGATTCTCAAGGTTGGGCAGTTCTCTCTTCTCGAAGAAAAAAAATAAGAAAGGAGAAAAGAAGGGAGAGCAAGTCAGTGAATCATCGATATATTCCCTCTCATCCCCAAGGCTCATACCTACCACTGTACTTGTTCCATTCCCTGTGGTTACTCGTTGTTCTCTTTTTCATTATTTTTTCTTCTTCTTTTTTTTTCTCCATTGATACCTCCTTCCTCCTCCCCACACTCCAGCCATCACCAGACTCCAACGATGGCTTCCACACAACAGATCAAGACGCCTCAAGAGGCTGGTGAGTTTGCTTCCCTTGTCCCTCCTTCCCGTTCCCGTTCCTCTCCAGAGATCCTGCACCCCGCTACATCCGTGCCTTTCCAAGTGCGCAATCGGCGCCATGTCCTCTCAACACCAACACCAACACCAAGATATCACGAGATGCATTCGACAACCAATGAGAACAAACCTAGAATGGAAACCACTACAAAGACAAAATGGCTAATTCGTGACCCAACCCATAGTCGCCAGAATCGCATACCTGGCCTCCGATGTCGTCGTCTCGGTGCAGCCCTCGCTCGCCGCCGAGTCCGACTTCTCGGCCACTCTCAAGAGCCTCGCCTCTTCCAGGACACAAAGCCTCGTTTCCAAGGCCGCCGATGCCGTCGCCGAGATCATTCCCGTCAGACACAACAACGATCCTCTTCTCTCAGTATTCACACCCATCCGCTCCGGCCGCCTGGTCTCGGTAACAACCACCTCCGAGGTTCTGCTCCCCAGCATCGCCCACCTCTACAAGCTCGCCCAGCTCCCAGTTGTCCTCCACGTTGCGCTGGGTCCCAAGAGCCTCCCAGACTACACCGCCATCACCTCGATAAGGAATTCCGGCTGGACCTTCCTGCAGTCCAACTCTCTCCAAGAGGCTCAGGATCTGGCCCTCACTGCTCATGCTCTCGCCGTCCAGTCCGGCAAGGGTGTTATTCACTTCTTCGACCCCAGCTCCAGCGCTTCCGAGCAGCCCATTGCCGCTGAGGATATCAGCCTTGTTCAGGAGATTCTCAACCTCGACAATGTTCGCCGCTTCCAGTCCGCCTCCATCTCGGGCTCTTCCATCTACGCCAACGACGGCCGCGTAGCCGTTGTCTCTGAGCAGTCCGAGCCTGTTGCCAGCCAGACCATCCTTGATGCCCGCCAAGTTGAGGCCGCTACTGCTACTGCCACCGATTCTCTTGCCCCTGCCCAGGACGGCTCCGATGAGTCCGCCCAGACCAGCCAGGAACAGAGCGAGGCCAGCGAGGCCAGCGCGACCCCCAGTGCCTCCGTCGCCACCACCATCGACGAGCAGGCCCCCGTTGTCACCTCCGAGCACATCTACAAGTACGTCACTGCCATCTGGGCCAAGCTCAACGACCTTGCTGGCAGGCAATACAGCGCTTTCGAGTACTCCGGTCCTTCCAACGCCGAGAACGCCCTCTTCGTCTTCGGCTCCGGCTCTCCTTTGTTCGCTCAGGCCATTGCCCAGGCCCAGTCCGACGACAGCTTCGCCAAGGCCGGTGTCCTCACTGCCCGTCTCTACCGCCCGTGGTTGGGCGCCAAGCTCCTCGAGGCCATCCCCAAGTCGGTTAAGCGCGTAGCTGTCCTTGAGCAGGTCTCGAGGAAGACTACCAAGTGGGGTCCCCTCCTCATCGATGTTCTTACCTCGGTCAAGAGCGGCCCTGGCGGTGTCGAGACCATTGTTGGCCACCAGCTTGGCTACATCTCTCAGGAGACCGTTGTCCAGGCTCTCCGCGGCATCTTCCAGAACCTCACCTCCGAGAAGCCCGTTCAGAACCTCGAGGTTGGCGAGCGCGAGGCCCCCAAGGAGGCTTCCGAGTACGGTCTTGAGAAGCCCAAGCTTGAGACTGCCTACACCAAGATCCTCGACCAGCTCTTCGGTGAGCGCGCCTACATCGCCAACTCCATCGAGAAGGACAACGCCGGTGTTTCCAACACCATCTCCGCCACTCCCGAGTACGGTTTCGGTGCCCTCCTCGCCCGCAAGGAGCGCAAGCAAAAGTTCGTTTCCGAGGTCAAGGAGGCTGCCAGCAACGGCCAGTTCTCCTCTGACGCTCCCAAGCAGGCTCTCGCCAAGTGGGTTGCCAATGCTGAGGACTCCAAGAAGGTCGAGGAGGTCGCTTCTGAGGCTGTCTCCAAGCTCTCTGAGGATGGCTCTGACCTTTCCAAGTCTCTCCTAGAGTACAAGCAGTTCTTCCGCAAGCAGTCCCTCTGGCTCGTTGGCTCCGATGCCTGGTCCTACGACCTCGGCAACTCGGGTGTCCACCACGTCCTTGCTTCCGGCGAGAACGTCAACCTGCTCATCATCGACTCCACCCCCTACTCTGAGCGCGCTGCTGCCGATGCCAACCGCCGCAAGAAGGACATTGGTCTCTATGCCATGAACTTCGGTAACGCCTACGTCGCCTCTACTGCTGTCTACAGCTCCTACACTCAGGTCCTCCAGGCTATGGATGAGGCTGACAAGTTCAACGGTCCCTCCGTCGTCCTTGCTTACCTCCCCTACTTTGGTGAGCACGACTCTGCTCTCACTGTCCTCCAGGAGACCAAGAAGGCTGTCGATATCGGCTACTGGCCCCTTTACCGCTGGAACCCCGAGAACGAGAAGAAGGGTGAGCCCAGCTTCTCTCTCGACTCCGAGCGCATCAAGAAGGAGCTCAAGGAGTTCCTCGACCGTGACAACCACCTCACTCAGCTCATGAAGAAGGAGCCCTCGTTCGGCGCTGTTCTTTCTGAGGACTTTGGTACCGAGATCCGTGCCCAGCAGAAGCGCAAGGCCAAGGATGCTTACAACCAGTTGCTGGAAGGCCTGTTTGGTGCTCCCCTTACCATCCTCTACGCTTCCGACAACGGCAATGCCATCTCCCTCTCCAAGCGTCTGGGTAACCGCGGCCGTGCCCGTGGTCTCAAGACTACTGTCATGTCCATGGAGGACTACCCCGTTGAGGACCTCGCCACTGAGGAGAACATCGTCTTCATCACCTCTACCGCCGGTCAGGGTGAGTTCCCCCAGAACGGTCTTTCCTTCTGGCACGCCGTCAAGGACAACACTTCCCTTGACCTCGCCAACGTCCGTTACTCCGTCTTCGGTCTCGGTGACAGCCACTACTGGCCCCGCAAGGAGGACAAGATCTACTACAACAAGCCCGCCAAGGACTTGGATCGCGTCCTTGCCAACTTTGGTGCTAAGCCTCTAGCTCCCATTGGTCTTGGTGATGACCAGGACCCCGATGGTTTCCAGACTGGTTACTCCGAGTGGGAGCCCAAGCTCTGGGAGGCTCTCGGCGTGGCCAACGTTGATGGCCTTCCCGAGGAGCCTGCCCCGAGGACCAACGAGGACATCAAGATTGAGTCCAACTACCTCCGTGGTACTATCGTTCAGGGCTTGAACGACACTTCCACTCTCGCCATCTCTGCCGACGACTCGCAGCTCACCAAGTTCCACGGTACTTACATGCAGGATGACCGTGATATCCGTGATGAGCGCAAGGCGCAGGGTCTCGAGCCTGCCTACTCCTTTATGATTCGTTGCAGACTGCCCGGTGGTGTGTCTACCGCTAAGCAGTGGGTCCAGATGGACGACATTGCCAACGAGCTCGGCAACGAGACCATGAAGCTCACCACCCGTCAGACTTTCCAGTTCCACGGTGTTGTCAAGAGCAAGCTCAAGCCCGCCATGCAGGCCATCAACCGCGCTCTCATGACCACCATTGCCGCTTGCGGTGATGTCAATCGTAACGTCATGTGCAGCCCTCTCCCCGCTCACTCCAAGTACCACCGCGCGGTTCATGCGTGCGCCAAGCGCATCAGCGACCACTTGCTCCCTAACACTACGGCCTACCACGAGATCTGGTTGACCGATGACGATGGTGCCAAGACCCAGGTTGGCGGTAACGCTGTCCAGGACTTTGAGCCCCTTTACGGCCCTACCTACCTTCCCCGCAAGTTCAAGGTGTCCATTGCCATCCCTCCCCACAACGACGTCGATGTCTACGCCCACGATATCGGTCTCATTGCTATCAAGAATGAGGACGGCAGCCTCGCTGGTTTCAACCTGCTCGCCGGTGGTGGTATGGGTGCCACCCACAACAACAAGAAGACGTACCCCCAGACTGGTCGCATGCTCGGCTTCGTCACCGCTGCTGACGTGCACCTTGCCTGCGAGAAGGTCATGCTTGTCCAGCGCGACAACGGTGACCGCAAGAACCGCAAGCACGCTCGTTTGAAGTACACCATTGACGACATGGGCGTCGATGTGTTCAAGGCCAAGGTCGAGGAGTACTGGGGCCAGAAGTTTGAGGAGGCCCGTCCCTTCCACTTTGACTCCAACGTCGACACCTTTGGATGGACCAAGGACGAGACCGGTCTCAACCACTTCACTATGTTCATTGAGAACGGTCGCATTGAGGACACCGCCGAGTTCCAGATGAAGACTGGTCTCCGCGAGATCGCCAAGGTCCACAAGGGCGAGTTCCGCCTCACCCCTAACCAGCACTTGATTCTTTCCAACGTCGCCGACGAGGACAAGCCTGAGCTCGAGAAGCTCCTTGCCCAGTACAAGCTGGACAACCTGCACCACTCTGGCCTCCGCCTCTCGTCGTCTGCCTGCGTGGCCTTCCCCACTTGCGGTCTCGCCATGGCTGAGTCTGAGCGCTACCTTCCTGTTCTCATCACCAAGCTCGAGGGCGTCCTTGAGGAGGTTGGTCTCAAGCAGGACAGCATCGTCATGCGTATGACTGGTTGCCCCAACGGCTGCGCTCGTCCCTGGTTGGCCGAGGTGGCTTTCGTTGGCAAGGCCTACGGTGCTTACAACATGTACCTTGGCGGTGGTTACCACGGTCAGCGCCTCAACAAGCTGTACAGGTCTAGCATCAAGGAGGATGAGATCTTGACGATTATGAAGGGTCTCCTTAGGAGGTACGCCAAGGAGAGAGAGGAGGGCGAGAGGTTCGGTGACTGGACCATTCGTGCGGGAATCATCAAGGCGACTACTGATGGAAGGAACTTCCATGAGGGGGTGAGTGAAATCTTTTGAGTCCTTATCGTGAAATCTTTGAACATTATGCTGACCGGATTTCTTGCTATAGGTTGCTGAGGAAGAGGGCGATGAGGAGTAAACGTGCTCCACCAGGATTTTGACGATCACAGAAACAGATGCATTGAAATGGGTTGTGGAGTGTGGGTTCAAGGCGGTCAGGGACCCAGGGGGAGCAAGGTTCAAGGGTCAAAGCGCATTCTCATTGGCGTCGAAAATGACTTGGTTGCAGTTTTTGTTTATTGTTTTTACATGTCTCTCCGTATATACCTCTTGATATCTCGATGCATTGTTTTTTTGTGTCTCAAAGGTTGTTGATAGCTACTCGGGGTTGTATGTTTTGTTTACTTTGACGTCACTCGTGCTACGCGTATGCCAGGGCCCGTCTGAAAGAGTTGGGATGGCACATGGCAGTTGCTTACTTGCTTGCTCGCTTGCTTGCTTGTGCTCGTGCTTGGTACGTATGTGTACACGTGCGTGCATTTCAAGACGTGCGTTCGAGACCAGACGCAGAAGCAGGGCGAGAGAAGTGATGAAGTGTTCACGGGAAGCGGGGATCGAACAAACCTTAACGTTACCATCGCCAAGCAAGCGTTCCTGAACTGAAGTTCCTGAACAGCAAGCTGCTAATTTTATAGCCAATAGGCTGTACGGAAAAGAGAGGGGGGGCAGTCGCCCTGTTGAGGGTTGTGTTGTGGTTGGTTGCCTGGTGACCGATGAAGACTGGATGGACAGTACGAGATGGAGAACCTGAAATCGACAAGCTACTTATCTGAACAGAGCGAGGGCGGTGATCTGATTTGATCCAGATGATACCGATGAGACCTGCCACTCAAACCATATTCGATAGTATGTCTTTCAATCTTCAACTACACACATACAAAAGCTGTCACAAGCACAACAAGCTGCGCATCACCAAGCATCTGCGGTCTTGGTCCCCACTGGCTGAATACATTGGTAGCCAATAGCGGTTGCATTTATCCGGCCTCACTACCACTGTACTGTAGCCATTGACAGGCATAGGTAGGGTATCCTCCGCCTGGAGCTGCGCAACCCGACCGACCGACCTCCTTCTGCTGGCGCGGCTTCTCCAGCTTCGACAAGGACGGGGGGGAAGTCAGCCCAGCCACCCAATTGCGGGAGCTCCCTCCGCACGCCGTCTCTTTTTCTGGTTCATGGGGGGGGACGGGGATTGCGCAAGGAACAACGGGGAACGACAGACGACGACTAGATTTCACCGCATTTCAACTAAAAGAAGAAAAGCAGGACAACGACGGGAACAAACGAATTGATCCCCCTTGAACTTTCACCGTTAGTACCTACTTGTAAGCAGCCCCACGATAGAGGTAACATGAACCCCCGTTTCCACATCTCCATCTCTCACACCTCAGTGGAGGACCTGGACGGTGGTGACCCGACCCGACCCGGCAATTGCGATCTAGATGATCTAGTTCATGCTAACTGACGCGCAGTAGGTAGTCGACATCCATTCGACTTTTTCTATCCAAACAACAACGCCTTTACTGCTGTCACTTGACCCGCCGCATTGCTGTTCAGTCACGTCAGTCTGTCAATCTGTCAATCGGGTACTTACCCTATCAGCAAATCCCAATCCACCAACCGAACGACTGGAGAGGGGCCGCGTCAGTGACATAGTGGTTGTCTGCCTACATACTACACCCACAAGTCAGGTCCATTGTACTATCCATCATCGCATTGAGAGCCAGGACAGGAAAAACCGCAACAAGTCTCACTCTCACATACACCACCCGACACTATGGCCGGGTATGGTCACAGCACCGCCGGCGGCTTCGGCAGCGGCAGCGGCAGCGGTCCGCCAGGCCCTCAGTACATGCTCCCCCAATACGACGAAGGCGACGACCCCGATGCCGATGCGACTCCAGCTAGTCAGGGCGTCCGCCTGTTGACGAACCTCGACAACAGCTCATACATATCAGTTTCCGAAATCACCAGCCAGAGTTCACATAGAGATAATATCAGGCCGTATGTCATGCCCCTCCTCTCACAACCCCTCCATACCAATGCCTCAACCCAGACACATACCCGAACACAGAGTCCTCCCTTCCATTCCAACACCAGTCCCAAAACAAAACAAGGCCATGACGAAGCCGTCGTGGTCAACATCCCCCCTGCCCTTTCTCCTTCCCTGTCCCGGTCAGTGCCCAACAAGGGACCAGAGAATCAGGAACATCAAAGAAGAAACAAGACGGACCTGGAGACGCCCCCGACTCCACCAAACCAAAAAGAGCACGCGGCCACCACCGAAGAAGACGACTCCGACATGGGAAAGGCCGTGACGTTTGCTGGCGCGCCAGAGATCCTGGGAAGCGAAGACCCTCAACAGCAATACGCCCACCTACCTCACTATCCTCCACCATACAGTCCTTTTCGACCCGAGGAACAAGATCAATTCCTTATGCAACAGCAGCAGCGACAGCAACAACAACAAGCGAAAGCGCAGCCACAGCAACAAGGAGAATCTCAGCTACGAGAAGGAGGAAAGTTGCACAAGCGAAAGAGGCTGGGTCAAGTGAAGCCTCATAAGCTGTCTGCGCCTCCACCTACTCTTACCTTGCCCACAATTCCAGAGGGAACATCCCCGCGACGAGCGTCGCTTCGGGAGGCGCGCAAGAAGAAGCAAAGAAGCAAGCAGCGGCTCAGCAACATTACCGAAGAAAATGACTCTACAAGATCACTTACACCACTACCCTCGGTTCACCTTGGATCACCGAAAAGGCGAAACTCAGAAGCAGCACGCTCACATATTATTCCTAATCACAGCAGCCGGTTACGACAAGCTTATGAGCCTTCGATCGACGCCCGCACCTACGAACCATCACTAGATACCCGAACATACGAACCCTCGATTAGCGATCGACGACACATGTACGAACCGTCCATCGACGAACGATCATCATACATGGACCCCCCACGCATCCCACCACCCGACGGCGGATCTTACGTTTCTTCCTACATGGGCACCGAGAGCATGGTTTCGGCACACGGGAGACCATGGAGTCCCGTATCAACAACGGATTACCGAGTTCCACCACAAGGACGGTACGAGCCTTCGGAAATTGATGGTCATGCCAGGCCAGGGACACCGGGATCGAGTTACGGGAATGCGAGGCGACCGCTTCCTTCGGCACCAGCGCCTCTACATTACAATAGCCCAAGTCGCGCAACGAGCCATTATCCACGGTACCACGGCGCAGGAGGTTATGCGGACGACGTGACAGTTAGCATGGGACCGGACGACGATCGTACAGATATCTTTGGCCCCGAAACCGATCTCAGCGAAACGCGCCACCTCAACGACGCATACGGGTTTCGGTCATCCCAGATCACCCTTAGCGAAGATCCCCACGGCACCCACGCGCGTTCCCGGTACGACGACGAAGACGATGTGAGCACCACTTATTCCTCCAACACGGGCACCAGCGCTTCAGGCGTCGACAAGTTCGAGCATTACGGTCCCATTCCGGAGGAAGGCAAGCACGAGCGGCGCGGCGTGCGACCACCACAGATGTCGAGGAAGGAAGTCCAGCTCATCAACGGCGAACTCGTTCTCGAGTGCAAGATTCCGACTATATTGTATTCGTTTTTGCCCAGGAGGGACGAGGTGGAGTTTACGCACATGCGGTACACGGCCGTCACTTGTGACCCTGATGACTTTGTTTCCAGGGGTTACAAGTTGCGCCAGAATATCGGTCGTACTGCCAGGGAGACGGAGCTGTTCATCTGCGTGACCATGTACAACGAGGACGAGTTCGGATTCACACGGACTATGCACGCAGTCATGAAGAATATTTCACATTTTTGTTCCCGAAACAAGAGTAGGACGTGGGGAGCGGATGGGTGGCAGAAGATTGTGGTCTGTGTGGTTTCGGATGGACGAGAGATCATTCACCCCCGGACCTTGGACGCCCTCGCAGCCATGGGCGTATACCAGCACGGTATTGCCAAGAACTTTGTCAACCAGAAGGCGGTGCAGGCCCACGTTTACGAGTACACGACACAAGTGTCTCTGGACAGCGACCTCAAGTTTAAGGGCGCCGAGAAGGGCATCGTGCCCTGCCAGATGATTTTCTGCTTGAAGGAGAAGAACCAGAAGAAACTCAACTCCCACAGATGGTTCTTCAACGCCTTTGGTAAAGCCTTGAACCCGAATGTGTGTATCCTTTTGGACGTCGGAACCCGCCCCGGCGGCACAAGTCTCTACCATCTCTGGAAAGCCTTCGACACGGATTCCAACGTGGCGGGGGCCTGCGGGGAGATTAAAGCGATGAAGGGGCGGTTTGGCGGGAATTTGCTCAACCCTCTGGTGGCTAGTCAGAACTTTGAGTACAAGATGAGTAATATTCTGGATAAACCGTTGGAGTCGGTGTTTGGGTACATCACGGTGTTGCCAGGCGCGTTGTCGGCGTACCGGTACCATGCGCTGCAGAATGATGAGACGGGCCATGGGCCGTTGAGTCAGTATTTCAAGGGCGAGACGCTCCATGGGCAGCACGCGGATGTGTTTACGGCGAACATGTATTTGGCGGAGGACCGAATTCTGTGTTGGGAGTTGGTGGCCAAGAGGGGTGAGAGGTGGGTATTGAAGTATGTGAAGGGGTGTACGGGTGAGACGGATGTGCCTGGTGAGTTGCCCCCTTTTTGTCAATGTGATGATGATATACTAACGAGTTGTGATAGACACTGTCCCGGAATTCGTCTCGCAACGTCGTCGTTGGCTCAACGGTGCTTTCTTCGCCGCCGTCTACTCCCTCGTCCACTTTCGACAAATCTGGAAAACCGACCACACCTTTATGCGCAAAGCCCTTCTCCACGTCGAATTCCTCTACCACCTCCTGCAACTCCTCTTCACCTACTTCTCCCTGGCCAACTTCTACCTCGCCTTCTACTTTATCGCCGGCGGTCTTGCCGATCCCCACGTCGACCCTTTCAACTCGGACGGCCACGTCGCGCGCATCATCTTCAACATCCTCCGCTACGTCTGCGTACTGCTCATCTGCACACAATTCATCTTGTCTCTCGGCAACCGTCCGCAGGGCGCCAAAAGGATGTACCTCGCATCCATGATCATCTACGCCGTCATCATGGTGTACACCACCTTTGCCACCATCTTCATCGTCGTGCGACAAATCAAACCCTCTCAAAAATCCGACGACAAGCCCGACCTCGAACTCGGCAACAACGTCTTCACCAACCTGATCGTCTCCGTGGCTAGTACCCTCGGGCTCTACTTCGTCATGTCCTTTCTCTATCTCGACCCCTGGCACATGTTCACCTCGGCCATCCAGTACTTTGTCCTGCTGCCTTCCTACATCTGCACGCTCCAGATCTACGCCTTTTGCAACACCCACGACGTGACATGGGGCACCAAAGGCGACAACGTGATGCGCACCGACCTCGGAGGCGCCATTGGCAAAGGTAGTACCGTCGAGTTGGAAATGCCTTCGGACCAACTCGATATCGACTCGGGATACGACGAATGTCTGCGGAACCTGCGCGATCGCGTCATGGTCCCCGCTGTTCCCGTGTCCGAAGACCAGCTGCAGCAGGATTACTACAAGTCGGTGCGCACGTACATGGTGGTGTCGTGGATGGTGGCCAACGCGACGCTGGCCATGGCGGTCTCGGAAGCGTATGGGGATTCGGAGATTGGGGATAATTTTTACTTGCGGTTTATCCTGTGGGCGGTGGCGGCCCTGGCGCTGTTTAGGGCGTTGGGGTCGACGACGTTTGCGGCGATTAATCTGGTGAGTGCTCTCGTGGAGGGCAGGGTTAGGCTGAGGTTGAATATGAAGGGGTTTAGGTGGATTAAGGAGAAGTGGGGGGATGCGGATGTGAAGGGAAAGTTTGAGGGGTTGGGGGATCGGGCGAGGGGGTTGGCGAGGCGGTGATGTCTTGTTTGTTTGGGATTCGATTCTGTTTTATGATTTTCATGCCTGCCGTGATTACGTTGTGGTCAGGCAAGCAGCGAGCAGCAAGCAGCAAGCGAGCGAGCGAGTTCGTTTTCTTCTTCTTCTTTTCTTACGACATCTCACGACGTTACGAGATTCTTCTTTTACTTACTTGCCTACCTACCTACCTTTTACGGATGGGGGGTGGGGATCATTTGGGAATAAGGGCTAAGGACTAAGGGCTGGCGGCCTTTTGATGGATATAGTACTGTTTTTTTTTTTCACCGAGTTGATGATACCACATTATTGTATGGATTGTTTGTTTGTTTGTTTGGGATGGATATATGGGGCTCAGCTGGCTAGCTACTAAGGATACCAATGATTTGATTGATACCATTAATACCACCAACAGTTTGGTAGCTATGGTTAATGCAGGATTATAACAACTGACCATGTTTGTTTACTTGTGTCCTTAATTATGTTGATGTGAAGATTGTTTATGGTGCAGATACAGAGATATTGAGTTGAGGAGATGACGATGAAGTTGGGGAGTTGTCTCCCTCGCTTTGTCCTATTGTAGGTAGCCAGTTCTTTCAGGTCTACTTACCTTACTATACTAATTACTTGTGAACTTGAAGAATTAGAACTATATAATCATTCCTGGAAAGAACTACCTTAACTTTTCATTGTGCTCTAGAGGTGTCGCCGATATTCTATTCTGTTCTAGTTACTATTCACAGACTGGCGGGACCAAAATGACTGCGCTACGATACGTGTGGCGGGGAGGAAGTGGATGGGGGGTTAGCCTAGGTGGTCAAGGTTGAACGTCTGTCTGTCATGAGTAGTGTAGAATAACGTATATGACCTATAGATGGGGTCGCCAAACTGGGGAGCCGAGCAAGCAACGTCAATAACCACAAAGAAAAAAAAAAAAGATGTAGAATATTGACGACTTTTCACAGCACCGCGCAACCGATAGATACCTACCTACCTACCTAGCTAGCTAGCTATGTTGCTTCCGTATCTCCCTCCCCTGGTAAGTCCCATCAGACCTTCCCTTCACGCACCATGTCTCTCCCTCAATTCATCCATCCATCCATTCAATTCATTCGTTCATTCCTCCACCGGCAACGTAATGTACTCCCGCGGCTTAACCACCTTTCTTTTCGGCACCCCCTGCGAAGTGCGGATCTTGTGCAAAAAATCAACAATGATATCGTTCTCCTGGACGCCCAGCCCATTAAAGTGCTTGCGCACCGTGCTGGTCAACTGGTCCTTGCTTTGTCTTCGGTACTCCCTGCGTCGCGCAATCGTGGGCGAGTAGAGCCCGACGCTGCCTGGTTGGGTGAGGACCCATTGGTGGACGGGGTTGGCGTAGGCGGTGGGGGTCTGGAGGCGGTAGGCTCGGCGGTAGGCGTGGAGGACTTCGCGCTCGAAGGCGGGCCATTGGAGCTTTGGGAAAGAGATGGGTTAGCTTGCGGACGGTCAATGGGAGGGTGGGGTGGGGAAGTCAATTGCGGTTTGGAGGAGTTAATTGCCATTGGGACATTGAGGGATTGGGAAGGAAAAGTCAACGTACACCTCCTGAGTTGCTTGTCTCCGATTGTGTTGTTGTTGTCGTTGATGTTGTTGTCGTCGTTATTGTCGTCGTCGTCGTAGGATGCGGATGCGAAGTAGGACCGGCGGCAAGAACGGCGGCGGCGTTGGTCACCTCACGCAGGCTCGAGCCCGTGGAACTTGCGCCTCGTCGCATCTTGGTGCCTCCGGTATGGCCATTCTTCTTTCCTGTTCCTCCTCCTCCTGCTCCTGCTCCTCCGCCTCCTCCCTCGTGGGGAGTGTCTGGCTTGTCGTCGTGGTTTTGGTTCTTCCTTGGTGGTGCCATGGCGTACTACAGGGTTTTGTTACGGGACGAGAAACGGATCGAAGAGTGAGTGGACTGAATCGGTTGGAGGAGCGTCTGGTTGCCGCGTAGACTTCAAATCGGAACGGTGGATGGTTATGGTCTCGAGCAGAGGAGAGCTTCGGGTTGGGTAGTAGTATGGTGTGTACGATTCGTAGTGGCTTTTGGATCACATCGTAAGGTCCAAAGTGGTGGTGGTGGGCGGCTCTGAGGCAGTCGTCGTGGTGGTGTTGCGGTGACCCAAAGTGGCATTGGAGTGTGCCTGTCGGGTGAGAGGGGAAGGAGGACTGGAGACGGGAAAGACGGGTGGGCTGGGATCTTGGGATGGGCAATCGTAGGTCAGGTTGGGAAGAGATTGCAAAAGTAAGGAAACCTGGGCTCCGGCCGGCACACGCCCCCAGGGCTACTGTCAGGGCAGTCAGGGCAGTCAAGGCAGTCAAGGCAGTCAGGGCAAGGCGTGATTGACATTGATTGATTCGTCCCAGTCCAGGCTGCAATGCCGCAAGCAAGCAAGCTGCCGTGCAGTGCATGTGTCCTGCAAAAGAAAAAGGGCCATCCACCGGGTTGCTGGTGAGCCGGATGATCCCTGGAAAGCTCTGACGACACTTGACTCTCCTCTCCTTGTACATACACTGCCTACTTGACGATAGCGTGTGGCTGGGCACATTATCGGCCCATCTGAATGGTCAATATTTGAGTACAGTGCCACACTTTCCCCTCACAAATGGAGGAATGATCTGAACTTCTATGGGCCCCGCCCGTTTAAAGTGTTAAGAGGTACCAAACGCCTGCCACGAACGCGAACGCGCAAGTCCAGCCAGCCATTTAAAAGTGGATTCCAAGATTCAGACGAAAGACACATGCTGCCCCTGCCGAGCCTGCTCTTTTACTATTGCATTGCGTCTGGCAGAAATCAGATTCCCGCAGTGGAAATAAAAAATCTCAAAAACTGTGAAATGCGGTTTTGGGTATGCCGTTTGAATCGAGTATAACTCTAGAGGTAATCATATATAACCTGAAGCGGGATCACCACGACCGCTGCTGGACTGAATCTGGTAACTCTCGGGCGTCACCTCAACAGATAGTCAAATCGAGACCAAGTGTGGATTTTTGGAGTCTCCTATGTAATCATCAAGCCTGGCGGTATAAACAGTTGTCCATGGTTCATCCCAGGTGCAGAAAAATCATGGCCAGGGTAGCTCGTGGACCTGGCGAGCTTGACAGGGCTGAGGTTCCATAAGAAAGAGCTTTCAGAACGACGTCTAGCAGGATGTCCTAGGTACGTATGTATGTAGGCATTTGTCGAGTCGATACAGCTCAGTTCCACTTCAGTTTGATGGCTCAAAGTTCGGTTTGGCATAAGCACATTACTGGTACGACAATTTTATATCGCTCAGCTCCTTATCCCTTTTCCGTCGACATGCATAATAGTTGGCTGCAATTGGGAGAGACGAAAGTGGCGCTTTTAAGAGATGGTAATGCTGTGCCGCGACATTTCTGGAGGCAGGCCTTGTCTCTGGCCCTTGAGGTGTGTTCATGCCTGTCCCCTTCGAGCTCCCTACATGGCCCCGCCCTTCCTTCTGTTGAGTTGAAGAATGATTGCGGGGAAGATCCAGGGCATCCCACGTTCCTGTCTCATCATTTATTCGTGTAAGGCTTCTCGAACTGTTCGCCTAGAATCAGAGAAACAGGTTCGGGGTTCACCCGTCCGTTCGGGTTGGGGGTCGCTCCGCGGGTATATGTATGTTACAAGGCGTCGACAATGGTGGCGCATAGGTACAATGTGATGGTTAGTTAATTTGATATCAGGGCGTCGTCCGTCACGGTCAGGCTGCGAATTATTGACTTGTGTTGTTCTGACAGCGGTATCAATTGGGAACTGTCTGTTTAATGAGACCCTCTATTGTTCTTGATTGTTTGGCGTGCCGGACCAGAATATCTTGATGATTGTGAAGATGACTGAGACTGCAGACTACCATACATGATATGCTGCTGCAGAACGCGCAATTGAAGCAGCCAAGGATCGATAAGTCGGGTTCCAATCACAGTGAGCATGACACTTCTTCCGTCCGTACAATTCAAGATACCTCTACCTACCAGAAAAACATCAGAATTTCGAAGACGGCAATCGGGCTTGAAGTAAGTATACCCAGTATACTAGTGTACCGTGGATTTGTCAGGTCAACATCATAGTTTTAATAACAGGCTCGGGTGATATTGTGAGTGATGGTGAAATAAATGGACAGGGCTCATGAAAAGATGACCAATCAAATAATAGGCATTTGGAGTCCCCACCTAGACTCCTCAATATCAGCAGGGTACCCTTACTCGGCGAGCATCTCACTGAATGTTCACTGACGGCCTTTCTTTGTAACTTTCACCACTTTGACAGGATACACTACTCAAAGTGCTGCGTTAGGCCACTGTCATCACATTGATGGACTACCATGTATAAACTAGAAGTAGGCTTGAGGTATATTCCAAGATTTATGTATAGCCTGGCGAGTCTGGACCTGTGGTGTTGTTACCTAAGCGAGAAACAACTCGTCACAATTTTTTCCCATCGTTTGGATGCGTCAACGGAAGCGAGGTCGCGACTGCAAAGAGACGTCGTGGACTCTTGGGTAAATTACCGATCCAACTGAACAAAGTCAAGTCAATGGAAAACTCCAAATAGACACATCAGCAAGTCACCATCATTCCCACCAGGACAGGCACACACAGCCTGGCATTCTCGGTTTTACATAGTATGTCGGGCCGGTCTCCTGTTGTCAGCATGAGTGGATATTATGTAGGTCAATCCTTTTCCAGATCTCGTACGGCAAAGATGCTACAGAAGCATACATATGATGCCCCTGAGACCCATAGGGATCGTCACGATATGCCCGGCTGTAAGCTTGCAGGTTCCCTTCGCGTGGGAAGTGGAGGCCGGCCGGCCGTGTTGGCACGTCAATTCCGCCGAGAACACACGATAGCTTCAGGCACAAATGGCACCTCGTCATTTTCACATGGCCCGTCTTTCGTTCAATGCAGAATGTCACCTTTAATCTAGTCCATCCAGATAGTACAGTGGCGTGACGTCGGTTGACTATAAAAGACAAGGTCGGCGGATATACTTGGTAGGTAGTAAAGGTAATGTAATTCTGGAAAACGATACGATACACTCCAGGTATGTAACCCGAGGGGACCGACCCCGGAAGGTGGGGCCGTTGCACCCCAATCGCACGCTAGGGTCGGACCAAGAACGGCCCCTCTTAGCGTAGGTGGTGGACTCGCGTGCTACATACCCCCCGTCTGGCCCGTCCATGGCTCTCTGCCTGGCCCGGGCTAGACGGGAGGGAGGCACCTAGGCACTCCCCCATCCTCTCCCCTCACTGCCTGGCGCTAGGTGATGGGTGTTGAGTTGGATTCCCTTTCTCCATAAGTTCCCAGAGAGACCCGACCCCCACACGGAGGAACTCCAGTCTTCCAGTCTCCTCCCTCCAGTCCCGCGCACTGCACTTCCCCAGACATTCTCCCCTTGGGTCAACAGGAACCTACCCACGTTCAACCCGCGCCGGCAGACGAAAGAAGACAAAGCAAGGACACTTCCTCCGCCTGATTGACAGCGGCAATATTTCACACGGATTACACACGATCCTTCGTTACGACGGGACTACTAGTCTGTTCAGCCCTCGGCTGCCTACAGTACCTTGCTGTGCTACAATCTACATCCTCGATCACGGTTACGACAAAACCACCAAGGAAAAACTGAGTGATCAGTCAAACTACCTACCTACCTACCTACCCCGGTGTTTCCCCACCCGGCTTATTCGGTTCGACAATTTAACCATCTGGAAGGTTGAGGTCCCGTTGCTTACCTTGCGTCCATCCCGACTGCCGTCCTGACTTCCGTCTTCCGAGTCCGCTTCCAATCCCGATTCCGGCTGGACTCCTTCCTTCAAACATCAGTGTCAGTCGTTTGTGTCGGTACATGTTGATCAACTCCATCAAACTCAAACGACTATAGACGTTTTCACACAAAGTAGGTATGTTATATCTCCATCAATTATCATGATATAGACGACCATGTTTCCCTGCCCCACCTATCCCAGCATTCAGATCCCTCCGGCGTCGGCAGTCTGCAGTCTCATCTCATCAACAAGCGTTCGAGAAGGCCTCATATTAGGTGGTCTCGTGGATATCATGGGTAACCCCGGGCATGTCACCACTCAGAGCAGTGCCAGCGCATTCTTGACGAGACACAGGCCACCTGACATGCCGAACTCTTTGCCTTTCTCCCTTTGGCACGTCATTGTGTTACAACTGAAGTTTGAAGAGTCTACTACTTTTCATCAGACAATTATTCGGGACAAGGAACTCTGCGTGATCCTTCATGCTGGCACTGGCTGGCGCTTATAATCTGTCACTTTTCACTGCCGTTCTTGGGTCGTACAAGGTGGCTTTCCAACAATGTGCTTGTCTTCATGTCTTGTCTTTTCAGTCTTCCATCCTTTCCGCTCTCTTCAAGACACAGCCTATCGATGGATACCCTGTCTTCTTTTCTGAAGCTATTCAGTCTCCCCATGTTCCAGAGGTCCCTACTTGGGCTTGGTGAACCCTCAACTACACACACACCCGACCGTACCTCCCTTCCAAACCCCTGCTCATCCCATCGTCCTTCAGTTCCCTCCTCTGATCCCCTGTTCGTCTGCTGTGACCTTGAACCCCACCCAAGCGCTGGGTGCGCCGACTGGCTTCAAGTTGCCTCAATCAAGTGAGCTCCTGGCTGGGCTGCTTGCGTGCAGTTCTAGTGTAGGTCTTACAACGAGCATCAGCACCAATGAGGCAAAGGGACCTGTGAGTGGACACTGGCAAAAAGGCTGGGCCGGTTCTTGTTGGATGGACCGGACAAACAGTGTTCCCAAGGAGCCGTGTCCCGTTCGCTTGAACGACGCCTCCCAAAGTACATAATCCAGCCTCTAGCAAATATTACTCTGCTGGCTGCTGACTACCCCTCCCGTTTT